GCGAATGCGAATGGGAGGAATGAGCGACGGCCGGAGAGGAAGACGAGGCCGGGCGCAGGGCGGCGGAGGGCGAGGGCGAAGAGGCTAACATGTCGGCGTCGTGAGAGCACGTGGGCGGACGAGTAGACGAGGTGCCACGGCTGCAAAACCTTGTGCTGCTGCTGCTGCTGCGACGGAGGATGCCGTGCACACAAGCATCGTGGATCTGCAGCTCTAGAGAACTGTAGATGTAGAGGTGTTGTTTCGTTTGATGCGATCGTGAGGAGGCTGTTGTGTGTATCAGGATGATGCTAGTATTAAGGGAGAGAAGAGGAGAAGAAAAGTGTCCCTGAAAATTTCAACAAAAAGAACACCCAAAAAGGGAAATTACAAAACCATACCGTGTTGGAAAGATACTATGAAATATTTAGCCAATTATAATGTCCAAAAGACACACGGTGGAGTGTATTGTCATGCTCGGTACATGGACGATGGTTTGTGACGGTAACGACACCCTGAACGCTCCAGTTCATAAGGCAGACCAGTCAAAACGCACAGCATAATGAGCAGCCTCGACCGTTCGATATGTGAGGAACCAGCAGCAAGCGTCCTGCAACGGCTGTAGTTCTTGGCTCTTGGCTGCCATTCGAGTGATGCTGTTGGCAGAAACCGTTCGGAACCGGCATGTTAGCCTACGTTACCATACTGTACCGCATACGGCGGCTTGAGTACATAATATCATCCCCACAGGGCTGAGTCATGTGACCATTTGTCATGTGATGTCAGCGGGTACATGGTCAGCACGAGCTTACTAACATCTCAGCACGAGTCTTGGCATTTCTTTACTAAGCAAGACTCGTACCGAGATATTCCCGTGACCAGGTGTTTAAGACTCGTACTGAGCTTTAGCAAGTAACGCTAGTCCATTTTTGGTTAAATTGTACTTTAATGTATGTATTGCATTACCTTATTGATGTATACAGATTTGACAGGGATTTGAAAGAGATTCACTGAAGATTAGTATAAGACGCGACGCGTCAAAGAAATATTTCATTATTTCTTGTATTTTTACAAGATATACCGCGTGCTACTCCCTTTTAAGTTTAGACTAAGCTGAATTGTAACCAGCAAATTATATAAATCTGTGTGGAGAGGATTCAGAAATTCAGGAATATCATTTGTTAATTATAGGCTTGGCATATTCTCAGTACGAGTCTTAAATTTACGGAAAAACTCAGAATTTAAGACTCGTACTGAGTGTTTTTCCGGGACTCGCGCCGAGGTGTTAGTAAGCTCGTGCTGAGCAATGCCCCCTGATGTCAGGTGATTGCTTTATCATGTGCCCTCACGTGAGGTCACATGCCGCAGCCGGCGTATCATCATTACGCCGGGGATCGAGTCGAGTCTGGGGAATGCGATATCGACTGTTCTATTCAGCTGTTGCCCGTTACCATTTTTATAATATCCTATCTAACAACTTCAGCAGCTAATCATCATCCTCCGTCCTCTATCCCGTATACCTATCCTCGCTCACGGCGTCCGCCAGCTCATCCATACACCTCATATCATAGCGGAACCCCTCTCCCTCCCGTCTTTGTTCCGAACTTTGTACTCCATCTGAGCCTCCGGTTTGAGAAACAATATTCTCCGATACTCGTTTTCGACCTCTTCTGATTCGCTTCGTATCTCGCCAATCTCCCTCCTCCCAGTGACCCTGGCCAGACTTCGCTGGAGGTGGTTCTTTGACGGCGGACCATGACCCGCAACTCGATGCCTTCTATCATTCACCAACTCCAAAACGCAGAGTCCGTGTCGTCCCAAGTATCAATCCTTCGAAATCTTAAGAATGAGACAATTGGCCATGATCAACGGAAGGAGACCTTGGTCAGGTGGGGGATAATTCCGATTTTGGCTCAAGTGCTTGCGTTGCGCCAGCCTACCGGCAAGAATACCGCAACTTCGGAGCTCAATGGAGCTAGCAATCAAAGCTCTTTTAAGCCAAAGTCGGAACAGGACGAAGCGTGCTTACAGGCGATTATCATTCTTGGTAGCTTAGCACAAGGTAAGTCCTCCAGCGGAGTGAATATTAACTTGACAACGTGCAAGCGGAACTAATGAATCTCTATCTTTACAGGCGGTCCGGCTTTCCTCTCCCCAATTCTAGCCAGCGGTGTCCTCTCGAATCTTCTTTCCATCCTGTCGTCTCTCGATTTCCCTTCCTTCTTCTGCTTGCCCATACTCCGCGCTCTCAATAATGTCGCCGATCGACTGCCACTCCAAAGCCAACATGGTCGCTCAAGGGACACTCGTCTAGCCGAATTGCTTTTCCAAAAAGAATATGTGGAATGTCTGGCCCGTATACTTGGACAGGATTATGGTACTCACCAGGCTCAGGCGTCGATTGAACTTACAGCATCGCTCATTGGCAAACTGTGCACGGAGGAAACACACAAGGCTCTTTTGGCTGACTGCGGGGTGCTGGATGCCCTGTCTGCCAAGGTTGCCTCCTTTGTTGTCGCCCAAGGCTTCGTTTTGCCCGGTGCAGAGCAGCATGTCGGGGCACCTGGGGCTCTGGGGGCGCTTCCTTCCCCCGCAACCCCATCCGCCAAACTAGCACCCATCCTTCGTGCAGTTGCAGTCATCATCGAACACTCGAAATGGCGCGCGGAACACTTTCTTTCGTCCCCTGGAATCTTGACGGTTTTTCCGAAGCAGCTGCCGGACTTCGCACCCAGTGATGTCAAAAAAGGTCCATGGGGTTCTACCTACCTATCCGGATCTGCCGTACCACGCCATCCTGGGGCGAGTCCGGTCGAACATCTCTTGCCGTCCGTTCCCATCCCGCAACTAAAGAATTCACCAAGCGCATTGAACTTCCCACCTTTGGGTCAAGGCAGTCGTCGACACAATCAGCCGTTTCCCACACCTTTCTCTCTCTTTGAAACACCGGCCGCTGAAGATGAAGAAAATACCATCGTACCCTGGCTTCTGTATGTCCTCCGGTCTGAGAGTGGCATGGTACGACTGATGGCAGCTCGCCTGGTTACTGTACTGTTCCGCCTGGGTCTCGCCAAGAAGCACAGGGTTTCCATGCTTGGTTTCCTGTTGATTCCCATCCTAATTCGGTTGCTTGACAAAGAGTCTGATGTTTGGGGAGGGGAAGACAGCGGGTATGAAGGCTTGATCCCCATAACCAAGCGTCTCCGGGAAGAAGCGCCAGCAGTGCTGGCCTTGTTGGTGATGGACGATCAGGAGTTGCAACGACATGCGGTGGAAGGTGGGGTGATTAAGCGGCTTTCTCAACTTCTAAAGGAGTCTTACAATCCGTCGCAGGAGACCGCGCGGCCGATGTGGCATGCGGAAGAAGAAGAAAGTGAGCAGAGATTTGAAGGATCACAAACCCCGGAGTGTCAACTCGGTCCTCCGGGGCTTCCTCCGATGCACTGCCATGTGATGCGGTACCGGGAGAATATCCTCAAAGCTCTAGCAGCCCTCATTCCTTTTAAGGATGAATACCGCAAGGCGGTCTGTGAGAATGGAGTGGTGCCCTATATTATCGATTCTCTCAAGCCGTCCTCGAGTGAACCACTTACGGAAGTGTCCAATCCGAAGAATAGTGCAGCAGATGGCAATCCGACACCAACATTATTGGCCGCCTGTGGTGCCGTTCGAATGCTTACCCGGTCCGTTAGCGCTCTGAGAACCAGCCTGATAGATGCCGGTGTTGCATCCCCGTTATTTGTCCTCATCAGACACCCGGATATTGAGGTGAGGATTGCCGCGACGTCGGTGATCTGTAATCTGGTGTTGGACTTTAGCCCAATGAAGGAGGTAATTTTTATATCCTGAAACTTGACCAAAGTTTTGAGATGATAACGTTTCTAGGCTATCATTTCTGCCGAAACCCTCCCTCTTCTCTGCGAGCACGCACATTCGTCGAACACGAAACTTCGAATCGAGTCCCTTTGGGCACTGAAACATGTGTCCTACAATGCTACTAATGATATCAAAATTAAAATAGTCGACGCTTTAACCCCTGACTGGATTAAGCAAATTATTACGCAGGACCCGACAAGGGCAGTGCCCAAGCGAGGGCTAAATGCAGACATGGAGAGCGTTACTCCGGTAGGCATGGGGCGAGCCAACTCGGCTGGAGAACAAGTCGACTTGCTGAACCCTGTTGATGACTCTCAGGATGACGATGAAGATATGAATATGTCGGATCCAGTCCCGCAGTCCAAAATGAGTCTGGGTTCATTCCTTCCGGATGCGGGCCGACGGCGCAAATTGGCCCTGAATGGTGACCTGGATCAGACAACGCAAGCCCGGCAGGACGATATTGCGGTGCAGGAGCAGACACTTGACTTGATCCGCAACCTGATATGTGGGCACGAGTCCTCAGAGGTCATTGATTATCTGTTCAAACATATTGGCGAAGATGTGATCCTGGATGCACTGGCAGACAAACTGCGGCCCCGGTCGATACCGCTTCCTCCTCGACAGCAGCCATCTTCGGATAGAACAGCACTCCACGTTCCGACCGAGATTGTGGTGTCTGTTACATATGTCTTGATCCACCTCGCTGCGAGTCTTCCTCGGCATCGTGACCTTTTGATGAAGCATCACGACCTGTTGCCCAACATGATGAGCTATTTCAACCACAACCACCGCGACGTTCGGGCGAACTGCGTTTGGGTGATCATTAACCTGACATATCCAGATGACAACGCCGACCGGGATGCGTCTAGCGGACGAGCATTCAGACTACGAACTCTTGGCGTTCTGGATCGACTTAGCAGCTTGTTCGAAGATCCGGATCTGGATGTGCGCGAACGGACCAAGACGGCCGAGCATCTGCTCCGGTCTTCAGATAGCGATAGGGCCGTGCGAACAGGATCTGGGTAGTCTACTCCATTACTGGTGAGGTATACGATAATAAGGGACCATTAATGCATAGCGGTGTTTATGTTTATGGATGGGCTTCCTCGGGACGTGCAGGATAACGGAACATGACCTTGAGGGAGCCTGAGATTTGCGCAGGCGTTGGACATTGGCTGCTTGCTGTATAAAGCATCATATAAGACTAGATACTGTCATCTATTCGAAATCTATCTCAAGCCGTCAATCTCTAATCTTGTTATCTGATCCTTATCGATAAGCGGTGGAGAAGCGACGTCATCGGAAACGGATCGAAGAATTGACGGTTTCGACTTCAGAACGATACTTCTTTTCTCTTTCTTCTCAATCCCACTTACTATTTCGCCGTAGTCAATTGAAACACACCTGTCATTCTACATCAATTCGAAAAAATGGCATCAGTCCCAACCACACTCCTCCGCGCCCTCTCCCTCCCCGACCCCTCCAAAGCCAGCCTCTCTACCTCAGGCCTAGGCTCCGGCTTCACCAGCACAGGCGCCATACGCGCCACAGTCCCCTCCCCCGACGGAAGCAGCGAAGAAGAACGCCGCTACTTCGTCAAAACCTCCTCCGACGGCAAAGCCGCCGAGGAAATGTTCCGCGGGGAATACGAGTCCCTCAACGCAATCGCAACCTCCATCCCGGGTTTCTGTCCACGAGCTCTCGCCTGGGGACCGTTGGAAGAGGGGAAGGGGAAGAATTTCTTCCTTGCGACGGAGTTTCTAGATCTTGGTGGTGGGGGAAGACGAACGGGTGCGTCTCTTGCGCAGAGGTTGGGGAAGTTACATTCGACGCCTGCGCCTGTTGATCCGGAGAGTGGGAAGAGGAGGTTTGGGTTCCCGGTTCCGACGTTTTGTGGGGATACGAAGCAGCCGAATCGGTTTTGTGATTCGTGGGCGGACTTTTATGCTAATGAACGGTTGATGAATATTCTGGAGGAATCTGAGAAGAGGAATGGGCGGGATGCTGGATTGAGGGATCTTGTTGAGCGGACGGCGAAGACGGTTGTTCCTAGATTACTAGGCGATGGCCATTTGGGATATAAGGATGGAAACGGCGAGGGTATCACGCCCGTGGTGATTCACGGCGATCTTTGGAGTGGGAATGCAGCCAGTGGTAGCATTGTGGGAAGTGGTCGCAAGGACGATGAAGAGGGTGGTGAGGTTGTCTACGATCCGTCTGCTGTGTACGGGCACAGTGAGTTCGAGCTGGGCATTATGAATATGTTCGGGGGCTTTGGGTCGACGTTCTTCAATGCGTATCATAAAATCGTGCCTAAGACGGAGCCGGTTGAGGAGTATGATGATCGGGTGCGGTTGTATGAGCTGTATGTTTCCCCCGTCCTTGAGGCCATTGGAGATGCTAACCAGATAGGTATCACCATCTGAACCACCATGCTATTTTCGGTGCCGGATATAGATCAGGAGCTACTTCGATTATGCAGAGGCTGATTAAGAAGTATGGAGAGTAACTTGTTCATAATGTTGATAGACGACGTCAGTTATATACCATTCAATGAATTATCAATCAGTTATCTTGCACCCCCTATAAACCAATACCTTCAATGTTCAATTAGCGATAAAGCACTGAATTGGCGAATGCAACATTGATTTATAATGACACCATCTGAGTAAGCGTCTTGAAGCTGCAACTATATCACCCCGCAGCTCCTCTCTTATCTCTTTATACAGAGTACGCCGAAACCCAACTACCATCAATATCCAAGTCTAACCAGAATCAAAACAATCGCAATGCCTCCACCAGACGCCAATCTCCACCCTGAAGCCTCAGGAGCAGCAAAAGCCCTAGTTGAGAAGCACAGCGCGGAGCAGCCATTGAAGTTGTATGCAGGATGGTTCTGTCCATTTGGTACGTATCTCCAATCACTGGCTTCTTGAAAGCAGACTAATAAGACAGTTCAACGCGTCTGGCTCGCTCTCGAGGAAAAGCAAATCCCCTACCAATACATCGAAGTCAACCCATACCACAAACCGCAATCCCTCATCTCATTGAACCCACGAGGCCTTGTACCAACTCTCTCTGTTCCTCACAACGGGACCTCAAAGCCACTTTACGAGTCCACGGTTATCCTCGAGTACCTTGAAGAAGCGTATCCAGACCACAAACCGCATCTTCTCCCCGAGGATCCATACGAGAGGGCTCGCGTGCGCATTTGGGTGGACTACGTGACTTCACGAATTATCCCAGCATTCCACCGCTTCCTCCAGTTTCAAGAGGATCAGAAAACAAGCAGTATCGACACCCTGCGCAGCGAATTCCTAAACCACCTCAAAGAATGGACAAAAGAGGCCCATCCCGACGGCCCATTCTTCCTAGGAAAAGACGTCAGCATCCCCGACCTAGTCCTAGCACCCTGGGCAGTTCGGCTGTGGATCTTTGACGAGTTCAAGGACGGGGGACTGGGTATCCCTGCTGAAGGACATGGAGGTGAGGATGAGGGTGTTTGGAGTCGGTGGAAGAAGTGGTTGGCGGCGCTTGAGGCGAGGCCTAGTATTCAGCAGACGACAAGTGAGAAGGAGTTTTATATCCCGATTTATAAGCGGTATGCGGATAATACGGCGGAGAGTGAGTTGGCGAAGGCTACTAGGGCTGGACGGGGGGTTCCATGAGTGGACGAGTACAGGAGAGATTGTTTTTATTCCATTTCAACAGTCAACATTCGTCATTGATAAACATAGTATTTGTCTTGGATTCCAATTTATTCAATTCGAAAAGCAGCAAGGCGTCACACGTCCATAATGGCATTCCTGTGCATGAAGAACAGCCATGCTAAATCCTCAAATACGCCCGTTCAAACCGTCACTACTCAGGAAGCGTGTCACCATCGTCACCAAGAAAACTATCACTCGTCTCCTCGTAGCGTCTAAAAGCAATTATTGGCTTTTTAACCCTCACTTCGGAGCCGTCCGGTAGTTTCTTCGTAGTTCGCAGGGCGAAACGAGTCGGATCCAGGATAAGGGTAAGAAACAACATCAAGGTGACGAAGCTGAATAGATTCTGGTTATAAGTTTTGTAATAATAACTTTTAATGGTCGCGATCAAGCCGATTATGAGGAACAATAATTCCAGAATTCCCAACCAGATGGGCATGTGGTAGCTGTAGTAGACGGTCATCGTAGCAGACGCGGAGACGTGCACTGCAAGTGTGTTTTAGTTTCTGTAAGAGAGATTGGGTGTGTAGGAGCAGTCTTACGGAAGTGATATGGGGTGTTGTTGTTGATCAGTGGGGGAAAGTTGGGGATGGCAGATCGCTAAGATCTTACTTCCTTGTTTACACTGCCCCTTCAGCCGCAACTCAACGCAGAGTAAATTGACCGAGGGCTACACGGGAACTCTATGGATGTGTAGTTTCAGAAATACATGATCCCTCTGGTCAGTTGTGGTCATTAATCATATACAATACAGGGTATCATCCGTTATAAAATTATAGTCATGAGCATCAAGTCACTTAAAGCCCCTCCTCCTGGATATAACAACTCCCCCAAAACCACCAACACATCCGCAGTATCCCATCGATCTCAGAATCGAATGTAGGCCTTCTCAAAGCTCCACTTGCCAGGGAGACGGCTGCCAGCAGCACCCGGGAACATCTCAGTCGTCTTCTCATATCCCTTAAACGCAAGAATAGGCTTCTTCACAGTGACCTTACTGCCATCTTCCAGCTTTTTTTTCACTTTAAATGCGCAAGAAGTCGGATCCAGAAGAAACGAAGCGGCGTCGATGGTGTAGTAAATGCGCCAGAGAAGCGAGCCGTGGTCGTATTGATAAGTGCTGATTATAGCAGTGATGCCGACAAAGAGGAGATACGACCGCCAGGCTTGGGCTTGGATGGGTGATTCGTAGCTGTAGTACATGGTGACGTGACGGAGGCTGTTTTGGACAGAGAGTAGTGAGTACAAGGCTCAGTACAAGAGAGATGAGGGTTTTGGGTGCGCAGGAGGGATACTTATAGAAGGTGATCGTCAGATCGTCAATTGTCGTACAGTTTTATCGAAGATGCGATAGGGGATGAAATTCGAAAGAGCTTAGTGAAAGTACTTGAGATGGTTGGAAGGTTGAGGGAGGTAAGATGAGTGAAGACGTCCTGATCTGGAATAACACTACACCGCCCAGCCACAGTCTTCACTATAGGTGTACCAAGTGTATCTTTCATCTATACAGTTGAGAAGAACATCTGATTTAGAAGTCAATTCTGTTAGATTCAAAAGAGTGCTGGACCGGGGTACGCAGTTGAAGTATTCATATCGGTCGTTTCTCATCAATCGTCTTTTCTGTTGTATATTCTTCCAAGCAAGTAAAACAGAATTTATAGATACAGATAAATTCCAATCCCCGATATTTTCGAGAAACGGGAAGAAAAAAAAGGAACAGACTCTTTAAATTCTCAGGTACGCCTTGCCATACTGCCATTCTTCAGGGAGACCCTCGCCAAGGGCGCCCGGAAAGACCGTAGTTTGCTTCTCGCAAATTCTAAAGGTAATGAGAGGCTTTTTTACTCTCACTTCAGAGCCGTCAGGGAGCTTCATGTTGGTCCGGAGAGCGCAGAGAGTCGGGTCCAAAAGTATAGTGAGGTTGGAAGTCGTCAAGAACAGAAACCAGAGGACATGTCCACGATAGTCATACTGGTACCGTGCTATCATTGCAGTGAGGCCGAAGAGGAATGTGATTAGCTGCCAAACTAAAAATCCGAAGGGTTGGTGGTAGCTGTAATAGACTGTCATTGTAACGCGGACGAGACGTACTGCAAGTGGGATTCAGCGTCTGTATGCAAGAGGAGTTTGTGTAGGAGTAATACTTACGGAGATAATATCGAGTGGGGGGCCGAATCTCTGAGATGAAAAGAGGGGATGGCTGGCAATCACTGCTTCAGCGAAAGCGAGATGGTGAAATGAGTCTTGTCACTGGTCATGTGATCATTCCTTCTCTAGTGTACGAATACGATACTTGTTTCTCATCCCAGACTTAGGTCTCGTGGGAAGAGAAATCTCCCTGAAGCTTATTGCTTATTTGCTCCCCAAGCACGGTGGGCTGTCTTGTGCCGATCTTTCAATCGTTCAACATGAGTACACGACTCTGTAACTGTTGTTCTGAATCCTCGGAGTGGGGTTGACAATATGGAGAACTATGTACCCACCATGTAGTATCGGTCGTTTTAGTCGCTCTCCTCTTCAACGCCTGTTGGATCATATCCTCCCAGACGAGGTCGTCCTTTTCAGCATCAATAATTGGCATGTACTCAACGTTACAGATGGTATAAGCCATTAAGGTCTTTGCATTCCATGCTATCGCTCATAGAAGTGGCAGACTTGGATAGATGGACAATCAGGAACGCCTCTTCAGTCATTAAACATCGTGTTCACGTTAGCAGTCATTAATCATACACAGTACCATCTGATTGAACAATATTCGGCCATGTAGGGCAGCGAATGACACGTCAAAGCAGAATAATACTTCCATTAAGAAAAACCCCCTCCTCAGCCACAGCAGGATCCCCATCCACGTCAAATCCTCAAATACGCCCGTTCGTACCTCCACTTATTAGGCAAAGTCCCACCAGGCGCACCCGGGAACTCCGTTGTCTGTTTCTCGCACGCTCTGAACCCAATCAGAGGTTTGTTGACCTTGACCTCCGAGCCATTGGGGATTTTCTTCTTTTTGCTGAGAGAACACACATCCGGGTCGAAGAAAATTTTTAGATTCTGACACGTTTGGAAGAGAAACCAGAGGGCTTTGCTATTGTAGTCGTATTGGAACCAGGCGATGGTGGCCGTCAAACCGAAGAAGATGTACATGGCCATCCAGGAATCCATTCCGAAGGGTATGTGGTAATGGAAGTAGGTTTGTTCAGACACAGCCACGGCCGCGGAGTCGGGGAATTCTGAGGTTTCTGGAGTTTCCATGGCAAATGGCAAGACGCACTGTGATGGCGATTCAGCTTGTATCTAGGAGAACCGTGAGTACGTGATACACTGATACTCACAGGGAATGATAGCGATTGGCGCGTTGATCAGTAGGGCTAGTTGACAGAGCTGATTTCACACAGAATGGAAGAGCTATGGAATGGTACGAGTTCTCAGTAGAAGCTGTGAAAGTTCATAGAGTAGTTGGATGAGGTGAAAGTAATGCAGTACAAGGCACCCGATTTGGCAATCCCGGTGCCGCCACTCAGCCACATGCTGAAATCAGTGACTGCATATTTCTCATCTTCAATATATCCGATAGTGCCAATATCATCAGTGTGCCTTGATTAATTTACAGCTGCAGAATTGGCACAGAATGAGAATTCACAGACTCATAATGGTTCATGGCATAGCCTCTCCCTTTTTGATCGTTCCTGACCGGAAATAGCCGCCCATATATAAGACCTGAACTTCAAAGGCGTCAATTACCAGACCGAATGGGTTGAGCTACCAGACGTCACAGACGTCCGCAAGAGACTAGGCGCACCCCCGAACCGCACCCATAGAGACGGCAGTGCGCTCTACACTCTACCATCATCCACGACCTCTGCACTAGTGATATCGTCGGAGATTCGCTTGAAATCGCACAATATCTGGAGAAGACGTATCCCGACGGTCCTTCATTATTCCCTCACGGCTCGACGGTGAGCCATGACGCGAAAGGGTTTAATACCCTAGTGGATACCCTTTTCACCCAGCACGTTGTCCTTTTCATCCACGGGATGCCTTTGAACCCGGCCACTGCAAAGGCTTCCAAGGCTACTTTTTGCAAGAGGGCGGGGGTAGACGATTGGGAGAAGCTTACGGTTCACGGTGAAGAAAGGGTGAAGATGCTCGAGGACTTCAAGAAAGCGCTTGGAGAATTGGCGGAGCTTTATAGAAAGAATACGGAAGGGCCGTTCCTGGAGGGGGCTACACTATCGTACGCAGACTTGATTGTGGGTGCGTGGTTGTCGTTTGTCAAGGCAACGTCGAAGGAGTGGGAGGATATCCAGATGTGACACGATGGGATATTCGGGAAACTCCATCAAGCGCTGGAGAAATATGCGGAGGTTAATTGATAACTCAATGTACAATAGAAATACATCTATATTATTCCCATTCATACCCCTTACTCTTTTTGGTAATATTTGATTGTCCGGGATAACGATCTCCCGAAGTGCACGTGATATCCATCGCGGCCACCATCAACCGCGATCCATGAAAAGACACTCCGTCAATCACTTCGTCCAGCCAAAAAATCCTCAAAAATGCATGAATCTAGAGCCAGGAGACTTTCTTTAGAAAGCGCCAATGACCTCGAAAAGCAAAATGAGCCTACCATCCCGGACCCTCCGCCCATCCATCCATCCTTCATCCAAGTAGCCAAGCCATATATATTTGAGCAGACCATCCAGGACTGTATAGCAGCCATGGGGGTAAACCCTCTTCGCGAAGAAGCGCTGCGACTTCAGGGTGTGACTTGGATTGACAATGTGCGCCGGGTTCTTCATTTGTAAGTTTAATCGAGGCTGAAGTCATGGAATAAGGTACTAACTGCGAACTAGGCCCATTCGGACGTTCAATACCGCAGTGGTGTATTATCACAAGTTCCGGTTATCTCATCCGGATAGTGAATATAACTATATGGTATTGTTCCTCTCCTCTTTTCCATTGGCTTGACCACTGACTATGTCAGGATGCTGCTGCGGCCGCGTTGTTTACTGCCTGCAAGATTGAAGACACGCTCAAGAAGTCCCGAGAGATTGTCTGCGGCGCTTATAACCTAAAGCGCTCTCCAGCAGAGCAGATGTCTCCTGATGAACAGGTAGGTTCAAGACTCTTTGACTAACAGCGCAATGACTGACTTCGACAAGATCTTCGAAGTGCATTCCCGGGGCATCATCGGTCTCGAGAGACTTATGCTTGAAGCATCGGGGTTCGACTTTCGAACCCGTCATCCGCAAAAACCGCTCATCAAATTGGCTAGACATTACGGCCTAACGCAGCAATCAGAGATATCCCGGGTTGCTTACCGTATTTCGCAAGATCTTTATCGGACTTTTGCGCCTATCAAGCAGACTACATCTACCATGGCCTTTGCTTGTCTGGAATTGGCAGGACGGTTACTAGATCAACGAAGTGAGGCGGTGGAATCAGGGGTAGATCACGAGCAATGGAGAACCAGTCGAGAAGAGGTTATGGGTAGGTTGAAGCACATCCACCGCTTCGAGGAACTAACTGACAATCAAAGAAACTCTCTTTGACTTACTAGAACTCTACACCCACCAGCGCGGAGCGACAACAGTCGGGCCGCATTTCCCCCCAGACCGATTCCTCACCGTCCGCATCCCTCTAAATCAAGAAGCCGAAGCACAAAAATTACCACGGTATACCCACTGGGCCGATAGAAAAGACACGAGCACCAAGACCATCAACGGTTTCAAACTAAGCAGCAAGGATGCCATGCCTGAAAAGGGAGGTGTCCATCCATTGACGCCAGTCGCGGCAAATGAAGACAGACCTAACCCTGGTGAACGGGGCCGAGATGGCGCGGTACGGTTTATGATCGACCCGGAGTGTGCGAATGCGGAGAAGTCGAAGGTCGCGCAGTACTTCAAGGTTGAGATGGAGGAGTATGAAGTTGAGGACGAGAGATGATGCGGGAATCTGCATTGTTGGTTCATGGATGCAATGCATTATCGCTCTTCTTGCAAATCCACAGGCTATGTGCGGACTATCTACGGACCAGCTACCTAAGACCCTTGGGAGCCACCTAATCCGGAGCGAACCCGCGAGACTGGCATCATGCAGAATAATTGGCACATTTACTGTCTCAGTGACAATGTGTCGATACCCACCAAGATCTGCAAGAAAGATAGAGGATTGGGACAATACTCACCGGGTACATTGAGGCGTGATATCTCAATGTAGTGAATCAAGTGTGGTTGTATATAATAATGCTCATTCACATGGAGCAGGTCTTTATCTCAATGACTACTTCACTGCTGGCAGTGGCCAATGTCCAAATTCATCATTCCTGGCCTTACACTCTCCTAACCTGAGCAATCATCTACCTTGAAACGTCAAAATGCTGCATCACAGTATCCCTTTTCTATCGTATCTCCCTTTTCTAAACGGATTCATGAAATCGTGGATACTGAGAATGGCAAAGCGATCATATTCAAAAAGAAACGGGAAAGCAACGACAAGCACGGTCATAGAGACATGGCTGTCGCACCCTGGCAAAAGCTGGCCTCGCCACTGCAAGAAAGTCAAGTGGGGCTTACGGGAAGAAATCCAATATTTCACAAAGCAACAAGAGAAAGCGTGGGCCAGTGGCTTTGCGTTTGTTGGCCTTTTACAAGCAGGGGTGCTGGTATGATTACTGGTGGTAAGATCAAGCATGCAGATAGGTATGGCCTGATGAAGGCTCCAAGCCCTCCCTTCCCAGGATTCCTGTACTGTCACACTTTCCGGCTTCAGCAGGATACATTAAAACTCGGGACATCAGAGGATCAATATCGAAAATACATACAATGTCCGATCCTCTTGTGAAAAATGAGCTGCTTATCAGATGAAATGCACCAACAAAAACCACATCATATTTATCCCGTCAAGTAGATGGAAGTGCATGACGGACTATGATGCTAGATAGAATACTGTCACAATCCTTTGCCAAACCACAGAAAGTACAAGTATAACCCCACCGACAAAATGTCATCCAGCTATATCTGGTGTATGAGCCCCATCTATCTACAGCCAAGTAATATAGAAAGCTAATCATACCAACCCGTTACTATACACAGAGCCAGAGTTTACCCCCACAGAAAAAGAAGTCCTCAAGGAGTACGGTAACTGGGCAAATTTCATGGCGTGCTATAATCTGAGCCCCGGGAAAGATAATGATACCGAGACGGCGTTGATGATCTTGGACGGGTTGACTTACGATGTTGATGAGAGCGAAGATGATGAGGAGGGGTTGACGATTCGGAAGGGGTTGTAAATGGCTGCTTTATGTTGCTTCTACGATACAGGCCCGTATTGTAACTCCCAAATGACGGCATCCAACAACAGTCCTAACCTTCTATTTCCGGTTCCCCCGAATCCTTACCCAGTTTTCTTCCGTATCGATAAAATCGCAGTCTCGCGGTATATATGAGATCACGTTGTAGACGAGACTCCTCGGACCAGATTCCTATTCCATCACCTAGTCACAATCTCAACCCTCATACCAGAACCAAAAAACACAAAGCAAAATTCCTGCTACCGACGCCCTTCGTATGATCCCAGCCACATACCTGCATACTCGTTGTTACCTGATAACAAGCTAATCAATCAATTCTAATGCTAGAACCACCGCTTACCCCTCCCCCCAGAGAGAAACATCATCAAGAGCTACGGCGGATGGACGAACTTCATGCTGAGTTATACGTTGAAGCCCTGGAAGGATGAGGACGTTGAAGAGGCGCTGCAAATTCTCCGGGGGTTGACAGGCTTTGATGATGCGAGTGAGGATGAAGCAGAGCAGGTGGTTATTTATGGTATAGGGATGTAAACTGTTAGACCTGTCTCGCAAATATGGCAACAGTTCAATACCCCACTGCCGGAATAACTCCTCTACCCTATCGTCTAAAAGAGCTGTATGGTATCGAAACTTATCCATCCATTCCACCGCATTCATAAACGTCGCATACTCTGAGTAAAAATTGTCTAGCACCTTATTGAAGTCTTTTACAACGTTAGTTGCAATAGCCCAGCGTAAGATCTCAAGACATACCATCCAGCTGTAGAGGCCGCGAAGGCTGAAGAGAATACCAATATGGCTCTTCACGGTAGAGGACCAGAGTTGGTGGTATGCCAGTATCTGCAACAGAGCAACATGTCAGAGATAGTTCCATCCTATGGGAATCTTGACTCCTGGGTCCTGTCTTTCTGAATACAAATCACCTGCGGATCAGCTGGCTGAATCTCCCCAGTTTCCACCTCCTCTTCATAGACGTCCCACTCGTTCCAGAGTAATTCCTGGAGTAAGCGTATATTCGGCATAAAAATGGGTCCGTTTGAGTCTGCAAAAATACCCGTAGATTCAAGTTATTCCCATCGGTCTCTGGTTCTAATGGGCCATGGCACTAACAAGGATAAGTCTGCGAGAACATAGGATACACCAGGCCTTCTTTATCTACGACCACCCCGTCTTGGTAATTTCTGCCATTGTCCTTCGTGTAGTCAAATAGGTGCAAGTGACGCTGTAGTTGAAACCGGTACATCGTTGCAGGGAAGTATGAGCAGATAGATGGAAGAGGGTATTGGCGCTGGGACCCGAAGTTGCGGCGGGTGGATGCCAGGCTATGGTAGCACCTGGTAAGGAGTTGTTTTTGCATTGTGATTGACGACTAAGTAAACAAAGAACTGAAGGTAGAGAATGTAGTCCTAAACGGTCCGGGGATATATATACCTGCCGAATAGGGTAACAACCACACCGCCACATCTTTGCATATCACGTGGGATCTACAGGAACAAGTACCAAACCCACTTGATCTTCCATACAACCCCTCACCTCTCTCAATATAGTCAACTCAAATACAACTTCCAAATCCCAAAACCCCAAAAACCAAATCCTCAACCGAAACAGAAACCAAAACAATTCCAAAATGCCTGCCAGCGACGCCCTCCGTATGACCCCAAGTCCCCATCAAGACACATTCCTTGGATGAAAGACGCATGTATGGGAGAACTAACGCTAACCACATCTTGCACGCTACAGAGCCTGCTGGCCTCAGCCCCGCCGAGAAGCAGGTGGTCAAGTCGTATGGCGGATGGACTTCTTTCATGACGGCCTTTGGTTTGAAGCCCTGGGAGGATGGGGATGCCCAGGAAGGACTGCAGATCGCGAGGGCTTTTGCTCAGGTTGATGATGATGATGAGTAAATGGATATCGGTCTATGGGAATGATGTTTCGGATGGGTTACGCGTGAATGGACGGGATTGATGATAAAGATGAAGACATGACCAGCATAAATTAAGAAAATCGACACTTCCAATAAGCGTTCTCCTGTTAATCAAGTAATTCATTGGGTTATATAGAATCAATTTTATCTGCAACGCGCAGCAAGACACTGCTCGTCTCACTCCAATCCATCTCATCCGCAGACAGCGAAGCCGGACAGAGCAAGAACAAAAGGATAAAGCAAAAATGGATGACGAAGTCAAAGTTTTTGAGAAACACAAGAGAACCATCCGAACCTACTGGCGTTTTCCTCATAATATACGCTCATAAGCCATAATAGGATGACAGGAATCAAGTTGAAAGCACGACCGGAAAGGGCAAGAGAGCACGATTTTGTTTTTTGAGGTTGAAGGGCGAGGAATGTCGCATGGGCAAGGAGGTGGTCGATGGTCCGTTCGAATCAAAAGGGTAGATGAGAAAGCCCCGGAGAATGTTGAAGGAAATTCGGTAAATAAAATAATATTAAATTGAATTCACGTTCGCAATGCTCACTTCCGCTGGTCAAGGTTGGAAGAGCTCAAAAGGGGCAATGGTTGAAATAGTCATAGAAGCTAACATGAAGGGAAGAAATGGAAAAGTCGTCAATTTTGATGCGCTCACCGACGCGTGAGTTCGGTATTCAGGCAATCCAAAATCTGTTGCTGTTAGAAATGCGACAAAAAAAAAAAAAAAAAAAAAAAAAAAAAAACAAAAAGAGAGGGGCGAAGAGGGAGAACATACAGTTTCCGAGACCGTTCCCTGGTTGTACAAATACTTGCCCAAACCACGGACAACCTCAAGCTGTTCTTCGACAGTCAGACCATTGATGGCGGTCTCAATGATATCCCCTACACTGGCCTTGTACACGGCAATGAAGCTGTGGTAGTACATGTAGGCGAAGAATCCCATGATGAACTGGCAGTCCATACGGTCCGTAATACCACCGTGGCCAGGGATCGACTCGCCAAAGTCCTTGATCTTGAACGTGCGCTTAAGTCCGGAAGCGAAGAATCCACCGAACGGCGCGATCAAGGAGGCGAAGGATGCGAAAACCAGGATGTGGAACTGAATGGGCTGGATGTAGAACGTGGTTCCAGCTCCGGTCCAGTCGGGAACAGTGTATGGCTGGGGCACAAAGGTCGGGTTGGGCGTGCACTCCAATCCGGTCAAAACGTTCGCACCGAGGTCATTGACAGGGCAAATAAAGTACTTGTAACGCATGAGGATGTTGGTCATGAAGTAACCGAAACCAATGGTGCAGAACCAGGCGCCCAGGAACCCTTCAACCGTCTTCTTAGGCGACAGCTGGATCAATTGAGTGCGGCCAAAAGTGATACCGCAGACGTAGGCGAAGATGTCGTTTGTAATCACCAAGGACGCGGGCAGGAAGAACCAAATCATGCCCTCCAAGACGTTGTTCATGACAAAGTGCGCCTGCACGACAATCAGGTAGAGCGCCATGTGCGTCCAGGCCCACTGGGTGAACTGGAAGCGGTAGTGGCCTTTTTGCAAGGATGCGACGAAGAAGACGAAACCTAGACAAGAGACAAATAAGCGGGGATTGGAAAGGACGGGGGGATGATCGCGCGCAAACCTACCCATAACATAGAGCATGAAGCTGATGAAGCGATGGTGGGTGGCCAGGGGCAGCAAAACCTTATCCACCAGCAGAATATGCTTGAAGTAGTAGATGACACTCTCTCCATACAAAAAGTACATGGTGGTGGCCAGGAAATACCAGTTTAGCGACTTGGTGAACCGGAGATTCTTCTCTTTGCTGGGGACATTGGCAATTGCGATAACCTCCTTGAACGAGACGATTTGAACAGCAGTTGCAAGACCGATGATGTAGATGTGGCCGGAGAACATGGCGATGAAGAACCCCGCGATCATGACAAAGGACCATATTGTCCGTGTAATGAAGGTCTGCTTTTTCTTCTCATATTCGGACAGTGGGGGCTTGTCAGACTTCTGGGGGTGTTGAACATTTTGTGTCAGCGTTATACACGGATGCCAGATGACCTCATTGGGCTGAGCTCACCTCCTCGGGGATGGTGGAAGGCCTCGAGGCGCCATTGCCCTCGGTATTGCCGGCGACAGCATTGCTGTTGCTGTTCTGGGACGGATTGCCTGCGTCAGACGGCGCATCGCTAACGTCCGAGGACACACTCATGCGTCGTTCGTTGGAGTTCCGATGTGGGAACCTGACGTTCCGGCGAGACTTGGACATGGTGTAAAGACGGAGGAGAAAGGATAGGGGGGTAAGGAGAGGAGAGGAGAGAAGGAAAAGGAAAAGGAAAAGGAAAAGAAAGAAAAGAAAAGAAGATCGAAGTTACAAATCAGGGTCCAACCTCTGGCAAGACGCGAAAAGAAAAAACGAAGAAGAGGAGAAAAAGAGACAGTTGGGAAGATTCGAAGTTAGTCCGGGGGGAGATTATTCATTCATGTGACGGGCGGAAGAGCCGCATTTCTCTCTACTTTTCTTCTTTGCATACTTCTAATATTCTATGAGCATACAATGATCTATTCTTGACAATATTTATCTTTTATCTCCATTGACTCTGTTTGCAGTCTCCCTCTCCACCGTCTCAACTGATTCTCCCGCATCAACCACCCCATTCATGGCTACTTGGCATGGACGACCACGACGAGGACTTCTTCTCCGACGATGGATTCGATGATTTACCCCCTGCGACATTGCTCCAACTGGAGCAGAGTGCATATCGTTCCACCCAAGCTCATCAGCAGAAGCCTTCCCTCCCTCCGCCCACAAGACCCCCAGAACCTCCACGAACCTTTGCATCACGAGACATAGGGCAGTCCGGCCTTGCGAATACAAACTCGATCCCTTCGCGACTACAGAGTGGTCTGACAAATGAATATGGGAATTTGGATGTGGGGGAGTTGGACGCGGAGGTGTTTGACGATGATCTGGGATCTACGAGCCCGTTGGACCAGGCGATGGCCTTTGCGGAGCAGGATGCGCTCCAGCAGCAGCAAGGCCATGTCCCGGTGGTGGATAGGGATCCTCGGGCGTATAATCATCCTGCGGACGACTACATGGATGAGGATCTCATAGGCGACGAGCCGGGGATCAACAATGCTTACAATTCTCTTATGGAAAAGGTAGCTGATATCCAATGTAATTACTTGAACTGGACGGCGGCTAACTTGGATAGTTGGCATGGGAAAACGAACGCAATAAACAGGCCATGGAAGAGCTGGCCGCGGCCAAATCTCTAGCTGAAACCAAGGCCGGCGAGATCGCGATCATCCGTTCAAATCAAGCGAAACTAGCCCAGAACTATGACCGGCAAATGGCAGCACTACGTCAGTCGATGGAGGAGGAGGCGCTGAAGAATAAGAAGGACTTGGAAGCTCTACGCACAGAAGGGAAGATGCTGGCTACAGAGAATGCATTTCTGCGACAAGATTTGGCGGACGAGGTGATGCGCATCAAGGATCTAAAAGCAAAAACGAAAGCCGTGGAGAAAGCACCGCCCGTGACTCCGAAGAAGCCTAAGACTCTTCCATTTCGCGATGGCTTCGACGACGACGAGATCATCGCGGTTTCGCCCAGCAAGTCTGCCGCTAGGTCTAAACAGACGACACCCGTCGTACCGGGCAAGAGAAAGAGACAGCTGAGCGAGGACAGCCCGACAAAGCTACAGCTAAGCGGACGGGTCAGAGAACCGGCGGCCGAAGAGACACCCGGGACATTGTCGGATGATGCGATGCTGCTGGATACAGATGTGAACGAGGAACAGAATCAAGAGCCTCCGCCCCCGCCAAAAGAGGATATCAGCCTTCGATTCATGAAGCGCATCTTGGATCATCGGACTTGGCCAAACGAAGAACGGGATCTGGAAGTAATGGCCTCGTTGACGTTCCCATCGGAGCCAGAGCGGAAGTTGTCGAGCATTGTCCTGGAAGAAACGGCCAGGCTCGAATTGGGTAACTACGCGGAAGGATATGCGCGGATCATTTCTGTACTATGGTCGCGCTCGTTGAAAGAGAAACTCTACACGCCTATTCCAATGTTCATGGTGATTATCAATTTCCTCTTAGGCTTGGACATGTGTTCATCAGTACCGGGAATGATTGAGCCTGTCGTGCCCGTGCTGCAAGACTCGGGAGACGTCAACGGCGTACCACGATTCAAGCACTCCCCCGTTTGGCGACAGAACCTAGGACAAATTCGTCAGACGCCACAATCCCAGCTAGAGCACGACGTCAACTCAACTGAAGCGCTAAGGCTGCTCTATCGAATGGTATCCGGATGTCTACATCTCAGCGGCGCATTAGAAAACTTCTGGCGCCACATCCGCTACGACTTCATCCTGATGATGCTGAACTGCTCGCAGCCAATCCAGGACATCATCCTAACCTTAGACCTACTAATAACCAGCATCCGCGACGACTCCTTTGGCCCCATCCGCGCGACAGAAGCCGACCAAATCGCCAACGAGAACTACATTGTCGACCGGGTCGCAAACCTCCTCAGCGAAATGCCACAGGTAGACGAGGGACAAGAAGCGTATACGAAGATGGAGATCTGCAATATGCGACAGGAGGCGCTATCGCTGTTAATGGCGATAGCCTTCCCACCCATGTCCCCGGGGAATGAACACGGCAGTGCCGTGATCGCAAACCATCCAACCGTCCTGGCAAGATTGATACGAGCGATGCACGATGAACTGGATTCGCTGTACTCGTACCCACCTGAGCGAGATATGCACGCGTCATTGGTGAATGCGTTGATGCGGTTGGTTTACGGGGTTATGCAGCGGCACGAGGGCGTGGATTTGCAGTCAAAGCTGGGGAAGGTTGCGGGAGGAAAGCAGAAGTTTATTGTGGTGTTAACAAGGCTTGCATTTAGTGAAGGATTGGTGTTGGAAGAGGGTATTGAGGACGAGACGGTGGAAATGGCGCATGAGATGTTGGACGACGCGGTTAATCCGCAAGAGGCGGAGGCGTTGTTGGAGGCATTTCCCAGCGCGAGCAGGACGGAGTAGAACATGAATTTACGAATATTTAATAGCATATTTGGAGTTTTAAAATACCACAATACAATCAAATTTAGTCTCTTGCTTATACACAACTAAGGTGCTCTACAGTAACCTCTTCTCCACCCTTGGGCATATAGCCCAAGACCTGATGAAAAGGAAATAGAAGTGCTCCCTAAGGAACGGTGCCAAAGAATACGCCTGTCAATGACCCGAAGGCCGTTGAACGGACTGGTCCGCCGCGCTGTGCAATGCAGGGCCCAATCCGTGGTAAGCCGCCTACTTGAGCGCAGCCACCCAAACAAGGTAAGTATGAAGAAGAAAAGAAAAAAGGCCTAAAGGGCGGCGGGGGGAAGATGTTTATATATGACTATATGTGGTCTGTGCACGCGCTAGTGGTAAGCGAGAGTATTCAGCCAATAGGAATGAGTAAAAAATGCCTGAATATTCAGGTTCAAGTTACATGACACGTGACTGCGAAATTTGGCCGACATTCTGTATACGGACACGGACGGAGGGACAAGGCCATACACCATAACCCAAACCCGCCATCATGAGAAACAGGGCCACGACTCCTTTGAGCCGGGCTGTACGTACTCTCAGCTCCCCTTTTCGCTTTACCAACGCGGTACTAACAATTGCAGAAAATCCGGCAATCATGGAGCAAATACAACCTCTATAACCTCCAACGCTTCCGCAATCCCAGCACCAACAACCGCACCTTCTTCCAACAGAAATGGACCGCCAAATCCTCCGCTCGCGCATACCACGGCGAACAAGTCCCCGAAACCCAATGGGAGCGCATGTTCTCCCGCCGCATCCGCAGCGTCGTCCCCATGGACGCTACACGGCTGGCCCAGGACGATGGGTCGATTGCTTCCAGCGGTCGTGGTTCGGGGATCATGAGTCCGTGGGAGATGGAGCGTGCAAAGAAGGAAAAACTTACGCCGTTTACGCAGATGACGTTTGCGCCGTTGGAGAGGAGGTTGGATACGGCTATTTTCCGGGCGTTGTTTGCGAGTAGTACGAGGCAGGCGAGGCAGTTTGTGGTTCATGGGGCGGTTACGGTTAATGGGAAGGAGGTACGACAATCTTTTGCATTTATTTGGTCTCGGTATGGTGGCTAATGAGAGCAGATGAGATACCCCGGTTACCTTCTCAACCCCGGTGATATGTTTCAGGTCGATCCCGAACGGGTCATGTTCGCTAGCGGTGCACCCAAGAGCAAGGCGGAGCGTCGGGAAGGACGTATCGCTAGACAAAAGACAGAGACGCCCGAGGAGGGAGAGGAGGGTGCTGCGGAGGAACAAAAGGAAGGAAAGGAGCAGAAGCCTGAAGCGGAGGAGGCTCAGCCGGAGGACACTCGGGAGACATTGAAGGGTCTCATGGCCCAGGCCAAGACCGTCATGTCCAAAGAGAAGTCGGACCTTCCCGCTAAGAAGAAGCAGGAGCTGCGTGGGTTCCAGAAGGCGATCAAGCGAGTTCTCTCCCGCTCGGAGTCGAGCACCATCCTCAACGATAACCTCGAGTCTCAGTTCTCGGAGCTGATGACCCTCCTCAAAGCGACGCGTTTGGAGAAGAAGGATAGCAAGGGCAAGAACACCGAGTCCCAACCCGCAGCCGAATCCTCCGATCCCGTCGCAGAGACCGAAGCCCCCGACTCGCGGCCCGGCCAGGCACTGACCGAAGCCTTCCAGAAGGCCACAGAAAACCCAGCGGAGGAAGTGGACACCTCGGAACTGACAGAAAACGAATTCGACACGCTCAAGCGGGCTCTGATCCAGATGCGCGACAACCCGATTGACAGCACAAAACCATACGCCACGCCCTGGCGGCCGCGGGACTACATGAGCGTCTTTGCGTTCATCCCGCGATACCTCGAGGTAAACCAGAACATCTGCGCTGCCGTCTACCTGCGGCATCCGGTTGCCCGTCCTGGGTTCTCGGAAGTGCCGTCGCCATTCTCGGAGAGTATTAACACGGGTGCTTTTGCTTGGTATCTGAGACGGCGGTAGTGTATTTGTTCTGTATCAATCTTTTCCTCTCTTCTTGTTTCGAATCTGTATTACTGGGTCACTGGTTATGTTTGAGGACGAAAAGTCATGATAAACGGTGTTTCTGTACATGTAGCAACGGATGTGTTGGTTAACATTATGCCTGCAAATATATATCCAAGCATGAGTACTATATGCTAATAACCACGTAAAGTCACCTCTTTACAGTATCCAGAACTGCACAAACATACCCATCTCAGTTCATATAAATTATAGCTCATAGCTCGAAAATATACTCGACATAGTGAAAATAGAACGTCTACAAATTTGCACAGCCTGAAAAATACCGTAACATACCCACCAACCACAATCCGCCCACCGCCCGTAATTAACTCAAAAATTGCAATTCTCCCACCCTTTTTTCACTTCCGCATACTCCAACGTCAACGATCAGCATATTTCTTTTGACAGCTATCTTTAACCCCCCATTATTCCTATATTTATTCGAGATACAAAAATGTCAATGTATCCCTGGCATGGGATCCCAAACCACTCCGCGCCGCAACCGCAATCACAACCGCAACAACCGCATCCAAGTCCCCATGCGCAACATGCACAGCATTCACCATCAGCAGCGCATTCACATTCGCACTCCACATCGACCTCTTCCCCATCCACGCCATACCAAATGCCGCATTTACGATGGATGCCCTCGATGATGTCGCGCCAGCAGCCGCAGCCGCAGCAGCAACACCAGAATACAACCAGCGGTAGCACAAATGCGACGCCGAGTATATCGTCGAATCTGCGCATGGGCCAAAACGCGAATCACCAGGCTGTGTCGGTGGTTGTTGAGACGAGGCCCATGCCGCTGGCGCAAGGTGGTCGGGGACCCGGGGAGGAAGATGTGGAGGGGTCGGAGGAGAGTGATCAGGATGGGGGAAGGAATATGGTTGTTTTGGATCCGGGGGATCCGGGTTATGCGCCGTCGCCTGGGGAGGGTGATGCTGGGGGTGGACGACGGAGGAGACATGGTGGAGGAGGTGGTGGATTGGCGATTGCGAATGATGATCGGGATAACCCTATCGACGAGGCGGATATGAACACTGCCAACCAACTCATGGCTGCTGGTAACAATGGGGAAAGCAGCGAACGCAAACATGGCAAGCGCTTAACGACATCTGAAGAAGTGTCTCTCTTTGAAATATGCAACCGCCACGCCCCCGACTTCGGACAGCGAAGCAACCTCTGTAAATGGTGGATCACGGTCACCGCCGAATTCACCCGCGACCAAGGCCATCCGTACTCGTGGCATTCTGTCCGGCGTAAAGTCGAGATGGTCACGAAGCAGCGCATGCGGTTTCTCGAGGAACAACGTGAGAAAGGCGCCGCTGCCAGTGAAGATTTGTCGAATACTAGATGGCGCGCTGCTGTCGATGCTTGGATACCCACGTGGCAGAAATGGGAGGAGGCAGAGACAAGGAGGATTGAGAAGAGAGATTCACGGAAGACGAGGAAGAGGAAGAGTCGCGGGTGGGAGTTTCCGTGGGATACGGCTGTTGCCCCGGAGGAGGATGACGGGTGGAGGGCGCCGTCTGTCGACCATACACCCACGGGCACTCCTGGTTACAACCAGACCCCGGTACAAGTACAGCCCTCTGTACCTATCTCTTCGACACCAGTTCCCGCACTCCCACAATCCAATGTCCCCGTTACCGTCCGTCTACCACCAGGCTTCGACTCCATGTTCTCCAACCCTAACCCATCGCCACAATCACCACCATCAGCGCCACTGGCCCAGAAGACGCCATACCAATCCACCTCCCCCGCACCAGCAGTAGCAGCAACAGCAACAGCTACATCCACAGAACCGAACATGATGACTGCTCTCCTAGAAACACTAGGAAAACTAAACAAGCACCTCGACGCGAATCCAGACCCGCGTGCTGCCCTTGCCCCTGGGCAACAGAATCACCATCTTAATGGCAATGAGCATAATACAGAAAACATAATGTCTACCCCACTTGGTCTGCTCAAAGAAGAGCTCAAGCGGGAAGTACGCGAAGAACTCTGCCGGGAGATTGAGCGAGATCGCGCGTCGTTGGAGGAAAAGCTCGATTCGGTGCAGAGGACGCAGGAGATGATTTTGGAGATGCTGAGGCAGGAACCTGCCTAATATTCCCCCCAGATTTAGTTATTTGTTTGTTTGTTTTGACGATTGTGATACCCCTACGCAGATATATACCCAGTGAATGCATTTTCCAGACGTGAAGGCTAAATTACAAAAAAACATCTTAACAAACTCATACTCTATACGAAAGTCTAGTAGTAAAACGTCTCATCGACGGTACGGCCTCTCATCCAGCGGGGCTCACTGCCACGGACGTAAATGTCTTCGTAGAGAATACGGGAAGTGTTGTCGGGGACGGGCATGGCCTCAGCGATGGCGACCTCCTCGTCGACGAGGGCACGGGCCTCCTTGTCGAGGTTCTTGAGGTCGTCCTCGGTCATGACGTTCCAGTCGATGATCTTCTGCTTGAGACCGGCGATCGGGTCGTAGGTGCTGCGCATGCGCTGGATCTCCTCACGGCTACGGTAGGTGGTACCGGGGTCGGACATGGAGTGACCACCGTACCGGTAGGTGACGTACTCGAAGACCAGGGGACCGTTGCCGGCGACGGTGTAGTCCTTGGCGTACTTGACGGCGGCCTTGGTGGCCAGGACGTCCATGGCATTGACCTTGATACCGGGGATGTACTGACCACGCTTGTAGTATTCGGTCAAGGCGGAGGACCGGGCGGCGGAGGTACCCATACCGTACTTGTTGTCTACACAATTAGTATCCTTCTGGTAAATTGGGGACAAAGAAACATACTCTCGCAACCGAACAGAGCAGGAAGGTTCCACAGCTTAGCCATGTTGAAAGCCTCGAAAACCTGACCCTGGTTGGCAGCACCGTCACCGTACAGGATGACACTTGTGTTGGGCTGCTCGTTGTACTGCTGAGCGAAAGCCAGACCAGCGCCAACAGGCACCTGAGCACCGACGATACCGTTTCCACCGTAGAAGTTGGGTGCGAACATGTGCATGGAACCACCCTTTCCGTAGGCGATACCCTCGCGACGGCCGAGCAGCTCACCGATGATGGAGCGGACGGTACCACCGCGCATGTAAGCGAAACCGTGGCATCGGTAGGCAGTGATAAGCTTGTCGTCGGCGTTGAGGGCGTGCTCGATACCGACGGCGACGGCTTCCTGACCAGTCGACAAGTGACAGAAACCCCGGATCTTCTTCTCCTTGTAGAGACGGTCTGCGGCCATTTCCATCCGTCTACGCAATCAGTACCATTCAATCCCCCGAGCACGGATGGTGGAGTTATACCTGACAGTGACCATGTCGTAGTACATCTGCTTCAGATCCTTCTTGGTGACCTCAAGAGTGTAGGGAGGGGGGTCGAGTTCGTAGGTCTCGAAGCTCTCGTCGGAGAGGCGGACGGTGAAGGGCTTGTCATCTTCCTACACAGGGTTAGTATATGTCACTGTCATCACTGTTCCATCTGATCCGAACCCACCTGGGGAATGTTTTCAGCATGCGCCGAAGCAGCGTCGGTGGTGACGGAACGACGCGCCAAGGGAGTGAAGGCCTGACGGCGGAGAGGAAGGGCCTGACGGGCCCAGGCAGTGCGGAACAACATTCTGGGTATCTAGGAAAAGAGGGTGGGAATTGAGGGGGATGGAGGCCACAGAGATTGATATCTCTGTTTCTTTTCACCAACGGAGTCGCTGTTGGGAACAAACTTTCCCCTTTGCGACTAGGCGTTTTCTGGTAGGCGCTGACTAAGATTCCCTTCGGGGAGTTCCGGTGTACAGAGTGCAAACAGGGCAAACACACCTGCATTACGAGAAGTGAATGCTATGTAGACATGATATATTGATAACAGAGACCATTATCGTGTACGGTCTATATAGAGATAGACACAGAATAGAAGTACTTGCATGTACTCCATTGATCGATACCGACATCATCAATCTATTCAAGTGCGGTTCGTGATGTTCCGAGAGTTTATCTACCGGCAGCGATATCCGAGCTGAGTAAGCACAAGTACAGGTATGAGACAAAGAGTGTGTTCAGTAATATTTGAGAGGAACACAGTAGTAGTTTGAATCATTGTGCAACATGGCCGATATCTATCCTATGTGTCAGTAGAGTACTCTGTAGAGATGGAAGTGCAGGCCCCCTCCGCAATCCGGAGTATATCCGGAGAAGTCACGTGCATACCCTCACGTGCCCACTGCAAGCCATTTCAACAGTAGACACAGTCACTCTATGCCCATATAGTGCCGTTTCTGCAGCCCAAGAGTTTTCAGCAAGCTCCTGCGAGGGAGCCTTTGCCAGCATGTATGATAAAATTAGCTTAGCTACTAGATAGGCGAGTCCGCTTCGCCCGTCGTATATTCCGCTCCGGGATCTCTGTAGGCACGTGACCAGCGCACGTGCCACTTTTCCGACGTAAAATAGCAACTACTAACTACTACTACTACTACTACTACTACTCTATGCCCATATTAGTGCCGAGTCGTACTGACCTAGATCGATCCAAATGTATCGAAACTGATTCAGATCCAAATGCCGACCGATCTAGCAAAGCTGATACATCCAACAACCCCTTACCGCCAGTGCATGACAGTTAACTGCCGACAGTTAGAGCATCCTGGTAGAAGTGACCCCGTGCTTAACGGCGTTGGATACATCTGTTCCGTTAATAAAGAAATAAACAAGCATAGGGTGAGATCATGTGATCCATCACAATGTCCCACCATCGGAAGAATGAAGAATCCACATGTACCAGGTACACAAGTACAATCGGGCAGTCCGTGAGCAAACATGATACAGATCAGATGAACCATGGTCATTGCGAGTATACAGAACATGCACGTAGTCTATAAAGTATACTTACGTACATAGTAGGATACACCCTGTATACCTGCTACAAGGATGGTGCTCGTAGGTACATCTGCTTGTACCCTGGATCTTGCCCCTGTGCTTGGCAAAGCTATCCGGTTACGCGAAAAAGAAATACGGTGGGTCAATATGACAGCTGCGACCCAGAATATTATGGTACTATTGTGCATAGCAGAATTTGATGTTTGTGCTTGTCAATTATGGGGTTTTCTTCTATGCTCTGTAGTAGTGGTGATTACTATTGAGCACTGTCTCATACCTGCTGTGCACTTATTCAGTTGGAACACAAAGACTCAACTCAAGCAGAAACTCTGCGAGTCAAGAACCTCGAGACTAAACACAGACGGTTAATTGCTCCGGTTCATTTCCGACGGGATTATCCTGGAAGCGGGTGCTGATCAACCGGTGCTTGTGGTCAATTGAGCGCAAATACGAAACCCATAAATGGTCTTTCTCTCGACCAGGCTAAGATATACCTTTTTCTACTCAAATAAATGAAAATATAATACCGTAGTGTCCTACTAAAGAACTTTAAGCAATGCACAATGGATTATATATTTCCCTATTGAGCATTGTTATGCAGCCCACCTATTCAGGGGAACACTACTGCACTCAGACCCACTACTGCCCCTAGGCGGTGAACCAACCATGGCACAGGATTCGTTAGTGTACCCCACACAGCCAATGGGAGAGGGACAGAGTTCCACAGACCCGAAACTCTGGCCGGAGCATCAACGGCTTTTTTTCATGCAGAGTGTGAGTGTTACTGTAACATGCTTCATACACTACTGTCCTCTGTGGTGCTGTGTCTCCTATTCCGTGCCTCTCTCCTACGTACATACGGAGTACATACATACTCAATCCTGTTAATATCTCCTAATCTGCACCTTTACCTATTGTGGCAACCCTCCCGTCAATCTCGTCGCTTTGCCATCTCTCCGTCTCTCTGTGTCTCTCCTCCACAGTCAACTCTCACCCTTTTCTCCTATTATTCACCTTGATTCATTATATTCACTCTCCCCTGATCCAACCTTTGCCCATGTGGAAACACCGGCCCTCTTCCAGATCGGATTCCACCGGGCCTTTCGATCTTCACCATCAACCTTCTTCTACCTCTCCTCGCAATTGGTTTGGCCGGTCCAAAAAGAAGTCTCCGCTGTGTAAGTCAATCTCTCCTTTTTGCCTTTCGTCCTCTCTTTCGTTCCATTCCTCATTCTGGGGTGTCTTCTTCATTCTTCTCTCTATCTGCTTCTTCTCTCCCTTCTGTCATTCCCTCGTTCTCCCATTCATTCGTTTCAGTCTCGTTCCCAGTCTCTCGTTTCAACCACCGTTCTGGAAGGACGGTGAACACTATCTTCAAGTTCAGCCGTACCAGGTACTCCTTGTTCTTACTTGCATCTCTATACACTACTATATTACCCTGCAAGGCTGGCGCTAACCACTATAAAACTCTACAGATCCTCCGCGTCCGGATTCCCCCGCTCGTTCTACCCTTCGCTCGTTTAGCTCCTTCAGTCGTCCTCCCATAGACCGTCCCCCCATAGACCGTCCTGACAGTAGTCTGTCCGTTCGTCCCCCTTATTCTGGCAACATGGCCGGTGTCATGGAAGTCGACCGCACCCGGAACCGTCGTGAGAGAACCTTTGTCGGGAGCGAATGCGCCGTCTGTGAAGAACCCCTCGAACACACTCTCCGCGGTGAACGTGTCCTGCAGTTCTCCTGCGCCCATGTTTCCCACGAGGCCTGTTTCTACGAATATATCCGTGAATTCGAGGGACAGTATTGCCCCACTTGTGATGCTCCCCTTGGGCTGGACACCAGCCGCGGGGGAAATGTGCTAGATATCGGTATGTGCCACGCCAGGGATGACAGCCTGGAATGTGACTGACAGCAAGCAGAAAAACTTAGCAACATTGTCCGCTCCGTCACCAGTGATGCAGCCACTGCCCGCAGTGGTTTGACCACACCCACTCCCTGGGACCAACCCCCCAGCCGTGGCCGCCTCGGCAGTGATGCCGGTAGTCATGCGACTCATGCGACTCATGCGACCAATGCCTACAACCCAACTAATTCCTACAACCCCCGTGAAAGTCGCGATCCCTATAACCGTCGCGAGAGCCGCGATACGGCCAGTCATCGCGAACGAATCGAGCGGATGGCCTCCGTCTCCCGTACCCAACATACCCGCAATGACAGTATCGTCGAATCCACTCCCGATTATGCCGACGGCTCTCAGCATCCCGCCAATGGCCGCCGTCATGACTACGATGTCCAGGCCATGGAGTCGGATTTGAGCCCGCGTGCCGCTCCAACCAAGAATCCCATTCCGGCTCCCACGGTTTCTATCCGGAGCGAATTCCCCACGCTCAGTCGCTCGCGACAGCAGCAGTCATTGGCCTGCTTGATTACCGTCGAAGTCCCCGAAGGCAATTGGTCCCCAGATGTGGAGGATCTGCGCCATTCCACGGGTGGCGCTGCTGTGCCACAGGATGAACCATTTGGTGGCGTTATGCGCTTCCCTACTGTTCGCGAAAGCCGATCCAGTCAGTTCGAGGCCCAGGAGAATCTCGACGACGTGGCAGAAGATTTGCGCATGCGTGTAGACAATTGGCATGGACTGGAGTTCTCAAGGTAATTATCTCTTCCCTGTTTTTTTTTTTTTTTGGCAGTTTACTGATGTTTGCAGATTTGGCAAGCTGCGTCACCATGGACGCATGGCTGTGGGCAAGGACCGCGAATCGTGGCAGGAATTGCAATGCTACCTGTTCGCTGAAATGCTTATCTGTATCAAGGAGAAGCGCGTCCACGACCGTCATCATCAATATGATGACCAAATATCCAAGCCCAAGACTACTCGCTGCACTTTGAAGGGTTCTATTCTGATTAAGAAGCATCTCAAGTCCATTGATGGGCCAGCAGGTGAGCAATATATGTGCAGCCGTCTAGACAAGAGGGGAGCTAATCTAGTAGATGACCACGTCCTCACTCTGAACCTGACCGTCAGCGAACTGCCGTGCTTCTTCCTCCGGTTCCAGAACCGGAGTCAGCTGGAAACCTGGCGTCGCGCACTTCTCGATCTTCACAACCCCGTCGACATCTCCCCTCGTCCGATTGACTACGACTTGGACAACTCGGGCGCAGAGGAGGATGACTGGCGCGCCAGCCAGATCCGACGCCAGGCATCCATCAATTCGTCGTACGGCGCGGGACGCTCCGTCGCCACAGCAATCACCGACTACACCAACACCGGCATGGAAAACAGCCTGACGGCCTCGTCAATCCACATCCCGCTTGACATTGTCGTCGTCATCCCCGTGTCGTCCTCGATGCAGGGTCTCAAGATCACGCTGCTCCGCGACGCTCTCAAGTTCATGGTGCAAAACCTGGGTCCCCGCGACCGGATGGGTCTCGTCACCTTTGGGTCCAGTGGTGGTGGCGTGCCGCTTGTTGGTATGACCACCAAGACCTGGGCTGGATGGAACAAGATTCTGAGCTCCATCCGTCCCGTGGGCCAGAAGAGCCTGCGGGCGGATGTCGTGGAGGGTGCTAACGTTGCCATGGATCTGTTGATGCAGCGCAAGTCTAGCAACCCCATCTCCACCATCCTTCTGATCAGCGACTCGTCCACTTCCGACCCAGAGAGCGTTGACTTTGTCGTCTCCCGTGCTGAGGCGGCCAAGGTGAGCTTGCATTCGTTCGGTTTGGGTCTGACCCACAAACCCGATACCATGATCGAACTCTCCACTCGCACCAAGGGCTCCTACCTCTACGTTAAGGATTGGATGATGCTGCGTGAGTGCGTGGCGGGTTGTCTGGGTGCGCTACAGACAACGTCGCACCAGAACGTCAAGCTGAAACTTCGTCTTCCTGAGGGGTCGCCAGCCAAGTTCGTCAAGATCAGCGGTGCGCTGCACACGACCAAGCGTGCCACTGGTCGCGATGCTGAGGCGGCTCTGGGTGACTTGCGATTTGGAGACAAACGCGATGTATTGGTTCAGCTGGTCATCCAGCCGGACAATGCCACCCAGGAGAGCATGCCCCAGGACCCCTGGGACAGCCTGGTGTCCGGCTTGGAAGCCCTCGGGGGAGGCCCCGATGGCGATGATCAGCGCGTGTTGAGCGTGGAGGAAGTGCCATTGATTCAGGCTGATCTGACCTACGGTGACTTGCTCCGCGATGGTCATCTGACGCACTCTCCCCGACCATCGCTGCTGACCATTACCATGCTTCCACCCAACCCCAAGGCCAGGGGTAGTGTCGCTCGACCGATTACGCCGCCCATCCCTCCGCACCCGTCTATTGTGCAGCGGCGTATGGAGCTGCTCACCTCTGACATGCTGACCCGCTCGTTGACTCTCGTCTCGCGCGGCCAAGCCGATCGTGCTCAGCACCTTCTGAATGAGACCCGGAGTATCCTCAAGGGTCTGGGCAAGGGCAGCCTGCCGCCGCTGCCCCCAGGTGCGCCCAAGCCTTCCGGTCACAGCGACGCGGGCAGTCGGGGTGAAACCCCCACTTCCTCATCTCCGCGTTCGTCCAGTTATGGCGAGGGGCCTCATTCGTCCGCTGCGTCGGAGAGTGCGACTGCCACCCCAGTGGCTGCCGCTGTCGACCCTCTGACCATGGGCGCGCTGGACGGCGATCTCCAAGCAGCTTTGGAGTGGATCCCTCACCCGGCAGTCTTCAGCCGTGACTCGCGCAAGGCCGTGCTGCAGAGCATTGGCGTCATTTCCTCGCAGCGGGCTTACACTTTCCGCTCGTCGTCGGAAGCGCACTGGGCGCAGCGCGTGTCGGGAGTGCGACGACTCACCGAGAAGTCGAAGGACTGGCGTGAAACCGGTGACGATGCATTGACTGAAGAATGATGATCATTCTTTCCATTCTCTCCACAATTTCCTTTTCTTTAATTGTATAAGTTTTGTTTGCATTTGACACCTGGCTTCGATCAGGTGGTCCTGTTTTTGCATTGGATGATACCACTTTGTTTCAAATGACCGTGCAGCATGATACCACGCACTTAATCTTCTTCTCTTCTATTCTTATTTTTTATATCCTTCTGTGGTCTACTTGTGTATATATTGGGTTGCGAGAAAAAAAGGGGCGGATCGGGGTTCTGGATAATGGGCCAATGGACTCCAAGGAAACGGTTATGAGGTTGGCTCCTGTTTTATAGGATATCTTTGGGTTTTGTATATCGCTCTCTTGGTTTGCTTTCCCTTATTTCTGTCTAATTTACTGCTTGGTATAATATGAGTGATGATTCGTACTTTGGACATTGGGCTCTTTGATTTCGGACACCGTAGCGGTCTTTACAACAATCATCATTATGGTAATCATCGGCATCGTCCTGCAACTTTCGACAATTTTGATTAATATGGTCCGTCCATGCAATTTCAGAGGGCCTGTCGCAATTTCAAAGAACCGACGAGCCCCAATCAATTGCCATCACGACCGCCGTTGTACGAGTACCGAGAGCGCCGTCTAAGAATAGACCACGACGACCCTTGACTGATCCGCCGCTGGACATTCCCAATCTATCCAAGTGAGTATCTCGAATAGGACCAAGAGCAAATATCCTGCATAAACTGCTGCCAAAAATAGCAGACCCTACCCGACCCCTGCTGCCATACTCGGCAAGCCAGTGGCTACGAGCTGATCTGCTAGCGCACTGCGATGCAGTAATTGTTTACTCGAACTACCGGCATATCATCCATAGGGCATAGACCGTGTGTTTACTCCGTTCAGAGTCAGTGGCATACCCCCCCCCCTCTGCCACGGGCCAGGTGTTTCATGGCATTGGTCTCCCCCGCATCGGCGCTCAGCAGATCTCTCCTAGGTGGCATCAAACGCCACTTGTTCATCCTATCTACGCCGGTGTCCTGCATCCCAAAATGGAACACAACCGCGCGCGCTTCCGTCTCTGCAGAACCAAAACAAAACCACAGGATATCAAGAACGCCACCGCGCTTTTCTGCCAGTTCACCCCCAGGCGTTTAAGCACCTTAAGCGACGGAGTCCCTCTTTATGAAACATCGAAGGTATCTGGTTGCAATTGCGCGCGCGACAAGGACGATGCCGTGCCCGTGCCGATGAAATGAAACTAGGGGAATGGGAGTCCGTGGAGAGGTATATAATAGACGATAGTATTCCGCTGTTCTACAGAGATCGAGACATTTGATCCCACAGTGTTTGACTCGTGTTTTCCCCAGAGTTGGAGCAATTGAGACAGTCTAGACCAACCATTGTCGGACTGGCCGTTTCTTTCTTTCTCTTTCAACTTCTTTCTTGTATTCTGGATATTCTTTTTTTATCAGGCATACAGGCAAGGCTTAGCTGTGAGTATTGGTTGTTTGCTGTGTTTATTTTTGGAATATACGAAGAGCTGACTAACCGCATCAGGTAGTTATAGTGGGGCATTGCTATCATCTCTTCCATACAGAAAAGGGCTACGCAATAACATATCTCTGCTTTTTTCCAGTCGTCCGGTTGTTGGAACTCAGAGTGTGGCTCTCTCTGAGTTTAAAAATACATTCCTTGTGTCTTGACTGAATCAGCCGACGCACCCTTGTCTCTGGTCCCAAAGAATCAACAACTTATTTAGCAGCCACACCACCCACATCGAGCAAAGATGGCTCCCAAACCAGTCCTCAAACCTCTCATCACTCCAAAGACCATGTTGTTTCCTTCAGAACTTTACGATTCACCCGTGGCCATGGCCCAGCCCAGCCCTATCAAAACAGAAGATAGTGACTGCCAGACGGCAACAGCCATCACCCCTCCACCGGCATACACAGAGTTTCTCAATGCTCTCACGCCAACATTCAGCCCCCCGAGCTCAGCATTCCCAAAATCACCCATGGAAAAGTCTCGCCTATCATCATCCACACCATCTCTCCCATCCACCACGCTTCCAAGCTACTCAAAAACAACCTCATCAATGGCACTACCCTCTCCCGCATCAGCATCAGCCAGACCCCATTCCACCCGCCAGCACCGACGACCACTGTCCTCTCTATCACCCTCATCAGCATACTACCCATACTACGCCTACTCCCCCTCCGCAGACCACCACTACTCGCCCTACTCCGCGCGGTCTCCCTACACCATGACAGCAGCAGCAGACTGGAAGCTGCGAGCCGTAGAATCACCCCGCAGCGCTGGTGCTGGCGCGAAACCGTCGTCGCGTAGTGTGCGACATGTTATTACGAGGACGGTTACGTATCGGCAGACGCCGACGCCGGCGTTGCATCCGGCGCCGAGGGGGAAGAGGAGGAGGGGTGAGAGGAGGGAGTAGATGGTTTTATTTTCATTTCTGGGGTGTGATGATAATGGAGTGATATGGTTTGTTTTAAGGATGGTGCATATTTTCGCTCCATGGGGTGCTTTCTTTTACTGTGTACTGGCATTTATCGGCGTTATGGACTTTCTCGTTTTCAGCTTGGTTTTGTTCTACTTGTTCTGGAGAAAGCGGACAGGCATAGATTGCGACTCTGATGGACATATTTCATTTGTTTATGACTACCAATGAGACCACTCAATTCCAAAATACACCTACTACTCAATCTATACCCTACAAACACACGTACACTGTACTCCGGAATAGTACAAATTACTCGAACTGCATTCTAAAAATATCCATGCAAGAAACCAACCAATCAAATTGTATGTCTAACCAGTTTCTAAATGCACGTAAGCGCCGGCGCTAGACTGTTTTTGGTATACAGATATCTGGTCTGTGCGTTATCAGATGTACGTCTCTATGCCGGATTATGCTATTGCTTTATTTCTGGTTTGTATCTGGACTTGTATTGTGCTTTGGGTACGTACGAGTACAGGACGACTATCTACAGATGTGGATGGATGTGGTGAGAACTATCGCATTCGAAATAATAACCATTATCGACATAGCATAAGCATAACTAGGCATAAAAAAAAAAAAAAAAAAACCATTCAAAATCATAAAGCTAACGTAGAAATAAAAAGGGAATCATAAACCAGCCCAACACCAACGCCAACGCCAACACAAACACCAACACCAACACCAACATAAAACAAGAAACATAAAAACACTGAAACAAAAAAAAGCCATCGCCAGGACATCTAGTAAGCAGTAGCCAGTACCGTATACTAGACTAGAACATAAAAGTGAAGAATAGGGCTACATCAACAAATACCCCCACCCCCTCCGCTGCATAACATCCCTCCAATGCACCTGCTGCTTCCTCAACGACCGCCCCGGCGTCCCCTGAGAAGGCTCCGGCAATCTCTCCGGAAAAGTCAGCGAAGTAGCCGAGCTAGGAAGCGGCGGCGAAATCAAGTCATCGTTAAGTCTCCACAGTTCTTGCAGGAGACGGTACATGCGTCCGAAGCTGCCGAAGTCGCCCAGGTCACTTAGCGCGGAGGCCCGCTCTGCTAAGATAGACCGGAAGGGACTGGAGGGGATGGAGTAGGCTCCTGTGATGAGGAGCGGCCAGACGATGGCGCGGTCGAAGCCCCTCGCGCCGGCGGGGATGTAGCGTAGGATTTCGGCGGCGGCGCCGACGAGGCTGATAATGCTGGGTTGGTTGCAGGAGAAGTTTGGGGCGAGGGAGCGGAGGTAGATGCGAGCGGCGATGCAGAAGAGAGCGCTCATGCTGGCGGTGAGTTTTTGGGGCTCGACGGTGCCGCCGGGGGACGTGCAGGGCCATTCTAGGGTTGTGTCGGCGGAGGTCGTGTGCTCGAGCTGCATGCTTAAGGCGGAGATGTGGTGGCGGAGCTTGGCTTCGTCAATGCGGCCGCTTGCCTTGAGAGTTTCGAGACAGGCGATTTCGGAAATTAGGTACATGACGTGGTCGTCGCAGCCCATTAGCTCCTGCAGTCCTGAGGAGGTTCCGTTGATGTGGCGGTTGCGGTAGGTGTGCGCGAACTGGGGGGACTTGCCAAGCATGGTTGCACCGAATATGTCGATCCATGAGATTAGGGACATGCTGAAGGGCTGGGGCACGAAGTTGAGCTTGTTGATTAGGTTGGACACAGCCTGGAAGTGAGCGTTCCATGGGATGTCGGGGAGATAGTCGTCCGGCGCTCCTACGGAGCAGTGGAAGAAGATCATGGCCAGGGTTGCGTCGAGAATCTGCTCGTGCTGGTCTGAACAGTTCCTTAAGGCTTGGGAGAGCTGGGAAACTGCTTCGTACCGGTGGCGCATGATGTCACTGTCGATTTGTTCCGCGCTGAGATTCATGGTTGTTTTGATGTGGATTGCTGACACGCTGAGACAGCAGTGCAGGTAAGAACGGTTGGTCTGCAGGGAGCGGAGGATCTCGCTTGCACGTGTGGGACGGCGCTGGTGGAGCTCCAGGATGGGGAAGATAAGTTGTAGGACGTGGTCGAGGAAATGGGTTAGCAGAGGCCGGTCACGGTCTTCCACGGGGATGGTCGATTGAAATGATGAAAGAGGGCGATTGAATTCGTCCATGATTTGGACATTGCGTTGTGCCTGCGCCTGGTCAATGCCGTATTGGACTGCGCCGGAACCAGGGAAGAAGTTCTGGAATGGAGGAAGGCCGATTCCGTCGTAAGTTGGTGACACATCCGACGCAGACACTGGAGTCGTAAGTCCACCGTATTGCACCGTAGCTGGGGTGCGCTGAGAAAAGGTCTCTCGCATGTGGTGCATGTATTCTGCAATTGTTAGATATGACACAAATGGAATAGTGGCATGGTACACACCCCGCATAGTCCCCTCCCTCTCGATCACCTTGGTCTGCCTGATGCGGTCCTTAATCCGCTCCTTTTGCAAACGGCGCTGCTCCATGCTCATCCACCACGAGGGCTTGACGTAGTCACATTTTAGGCAGAGCTTGCTACACGCTGCACAAGACGGACGGCCCTCGTCACACTTCTTTCGCCGCACGCGACAGGTATAGCATCCTGCGGATGGTCAATGACGGTTGATAGGGTGGTAGTAGTTATATACATACCTGAGCGTGATCTTCTAAGTCCTCTGGCTCTCGATGGCTGTTCCGCCTCGATGTTAGCCGGCTCCTCGGCGGGGACGTCCGCTGGGACTTGGGGTTGGTCGTAGGTAATGAAGGTCGACATGGTGCTCTGATATTTAAAGATAATAAAGCAAGAAGCTAATGGTAGTACCAAAGAGTTTGGGGAAGTACGCTGCCTTGATTCAGACTTGTCGCCGTGGAGGACAAGATTCAGAAGGAGGGAGGCAGAGGGGATATTATATCTCTGGCCACACCCTAGGCTGATGTTTGATGAGCAATATTGTATCTTGATCTGTTGCATTGATCAACATCCAGAGACATCTGAAACCAACCCCCAGACCCCTTGTTGCTTCTATTTTGGAGTCCATGCCGTATGTCTTCGTTTCAGAACTTGACCATGCAGGTTGGAGTGGGGATAATTTTGACGCCAGAAAGCAAACCAATGCAAGTTTAGATCCCGGCAATCATGGGAAGACTAAATTTGGAATTTAAAGTATGTTTGGGGGGGGGGGGGGGGGAGACGGAAAGAACTGGAGTGGTTAGTAGTATAGAGTAGGGAAGAGAGATAGATCGATAGACGCGGAGTTCCTGTCAGGTTCGATAATCGACCAATCCAGATTAGCGTGTCATTTAGCGCGTGCAATCCAACAGAAAACATTTTGAATGGGCATCTCTGATTGGAAGAGCATCTGGCGATAGTAAATCGGCAAAGAAGCAGCCGAGTCTTTCAACACCTCCCGGTGTCTTGATTGGTCTGTTATGCTCGGCGGCTACCGGTGGGGCTCGGGCCGGGGAACTGTGGGACAGTGGGGGAAAGGTCCCTAATTAGCAACATTTAAGCGCCATATATCCTAAAAGAGTAATTGTTGGTTAGATTTCTGGCCGGAATGGTGTATTTGTTTATTTTGGAGGATGTGATGGCAGGGAAGTCGAAAGTCAAAAGTGTGAATTTGCTGCATATGCTGCAGGACTGATTTTAGTTAATTACCCTGTTCAAGTCTATTTTGTCTATTAATATCTTGCAATCATTCCATAATTATCAGCAAATCAGGTCGGAATGTGGTGTTGGTTTGCTCATTTTTGCATGATTTGACAATGGAATTGAAGGATTAGTTGATATTATGCAGATATACTTAGTACGGTATGGCATCACGTGGACATTGCGCATCTATACAGAAGAAGATTCTCCATTCAGGGAAGTCGGACAGTACTTCTTGGTTACACCAGGCTATACTCAAAGCTCGAAGAATTTCACATGGTAGAATACACACGTGCTACTGAGCATGAGTGCGGAGTACTATGCGGAGTATGAGTATCTACGGAGCACATCTCACATGTCGATTCCTAATTAACCACAATTTAAGCGAGCGATCAGAATCGAAAGCCCCTAATTAGCGGTCTCTTAACTACTGGACAGCATGAAAGCATTCGAGTAAGCTAATTGCCTATCTACAAGCATAAGAATACGGCGTATTGTGCCGATGCGTCCTCGGAGCCAATCACGTGCCGCCATCGAGCCGAATCACATCCCATTCCGTCTTCACGCACAACGGCACAACACGGTCACTTCATACAGCCAGCGAGTCAATTCCAGTTGAACAATGGCCAGTCAATTAACACAATCTGTCATGTATTCGTACCCGTGAAAGCAATCGTTGGCCTCTTATTAATTATCGCACCACATCCATGCCGTCTCCATGGAACCTGCGAAGAAATGCAAAGGCCGGGGCCACTATCACATTGCAGAGGGACTAAATGTGCGGTGAGATTCCGAAATGGCAGTCATCCAAGAGAAACTACAAGACTGACCTGGGGAGATCCAGATTGATATTTATATGCTGCTGCTCTTGAGTCTCCGTATCTGCTCCATCCTCAATAGCCGCCAAAGTGTTTCATGATTTCTCCGCGTTGTCGAGGATACCTACAACCATGAAAGAACGCATATTCGATCTGCGAGAGACATTTTCCTGATACGCAGAAATGCAGAAATGCAGAAAGTGATGTGACGAGATTCCTTCTGTCTACCATTCGACCAAATCTCCACCGAGAACACTCATGGCCATTCAGATCGCCGCATCTCCAAGGCCGGCGCTTACAGAAATGAATCTTCGTCACAACGGCCCTCGCTCGGCCTGTTGATTGGATGCATGCCCTGAACCTACTGCACCTTCATCACTGACGATTCCCTCTCTTCTCGCTCCGTCTTGCCAGTCATCGTTGCTCTTTGTCCCGATGCTGCCGCCGTGTTTCACGTTTCTGCATGTCACAGTCACTCTCTTGGTCCGTTGCTGTCGTATTCAAGCCCAATTTTCATTCCCGGCGCTTACAGTTTCATGTCATTCCCCTCTCTTTCGGTTTGGACCATTGTATATAGTACCGCCGGCACTCCTGCTGCCCCGGAGCGCCTTCTCTCTCCTCTTTTCTACTTCCCAATATTACTCCTTGTTTTATTTTCTTTGTGCTTTTGCCCTTGCGTTTGATACCCCATTTGTTGCTTTCTACCGTTAGATACGGTTTCATTATCCTGGTTTCTTTTGCCATACTCGGATAATATCAACATTAACACCCCTTTGTTTTCATTGTTTGACCTGAACCATACTTCATCATGGTAAGCCAAAAAAAAAAAAAAAAAAAAAAAAAAAAAAAAAAAAGTCCATCACTAACAAAATATAGAACTCTCTACGCGACCGTCGTAGAGCAGTCCCTGCCTCTCTCGACATGAAAAATACAAAGCAATGCTACCCTCCTCGTGCCATCGCCGTTGCTCAACGACCAGTGTCTGACGCCACTGACTTCTACGACACCGAATTCGAGATGAGTGATTCAGAGGGTGAAGACGAAGATGAATCACCCCGTATGAGCATGGACTCGGTATGATCTATCCCCTTTAGTACTTGTCTCCGGTCTTTTACTGACGAAAGCAGTTTGGTTATGATAGCAACTCGTCTCTTTCTACAGCAGATCCACCCACACCCGACAATCTCTCCGAAAGGGCCTACGACCCCAAGGATGACAGTTTGGTTCGAGGCCCGTCGGGTCCTCACCTCTTTCGCGCGTCGCTGAGCTCGGCTGGTTCGGCCCCGACGACGGAAGTCGATCTCTACCTCGAGCGGTCCCCCGTGAATTCTCAATTCCCTTCAACTTCTACGGCTTCTCAGTTTCCTTCATCGACAGCGTCCGGCTTTCCTTCGTCGATGGCCTCTGGGTTTCCCTCATCGATGGCGTCCGGATTTCCCTCGTCGACGGCCTCTGGGTTTCCTTCATCAACGGCTTCTAAGTTTCCTTTAACCACGGCTTCTGGGATGCCTTCATCTACAACCTCCCAATTCCCGTCAACTGCCACAGGCTCGCAGTTCACAGAAACCCCAAGCCGTTTGACCTTCTCGCAATACGGACCCAAGCCTTCTACGATGCACCCAGATGTTTCCCACGTCGAGGAAGAGGAGATCCGGAACTGGACCCCCAGCCAGGTCGCCTACTGGCTGTACATTGCGGGCTACGATGACTCTACGATTGAGAAGTTTATCATCAACGACATCACGGGCACCGTGTTGCTTAGTCTTCAGATTGACGATCTCAAGGAGCTCGACATCATGTCCTTTGGAAAGCGTCGCCAGCTCATCAACTCCATCGACCATCTACGCAACACAATGCGGAAGACAATCCACCAGCAGCAGGAAGGATCTGACCATGATTATTCTTCTAGCCCCCGTTCCAGTAAAGGGCGGTCCTACAGGGCATCGGTGTCGCCTGCTGGCGAGATACTATCACCTGCACGTTATGAAGATGGTGACAAGGTCACCCCTGGTGAACTCGTTTCGATTGTCGGGATCGAGCAGCTGCTTCCCAAACCTCACAGCTGTTCCAAGGGAGAGGACTGTCCCAAGTACCAGCGGAGACAGCGCCAAATCGAGAAGATCATGGCCGAGAACCCGGGCGCCGTTGTCCTGCCCGGCGGCATGATGCTCACTGGCAACCCTGGCAACCCCGAAACGGCCCAGAACATGTTGCGACCTCAATCCGATGCACAGCCCTCGGTTGTGGCATCATCGGACGTGTTTGGTCCTGCGCAGGAGGCACCCCAGCTGAGCGAGGAAGCTCTTAGTGAAGTCGAGAAGGACGATCCCAGGGAGAGAATGCGCAAGTTCCTCCACTTCCAGCATGTCAGCTCTCCCGACAAGCCGAGTCCTGAGCCTTTGGAAGAGCCGGAGCAGCAACAGCCGCTGCCGCCCATGCAGGACCAGACAGCCTTGTCGTCCATGCCACCGGTTGAGCCGGCCTCGTCGCTGTCTCCTCCCAACTTTCGCATTCCTCACGTCGCGGCCAACCTTCGCAACCTTCCTAAGCTGACCATCCCGGCCGACTCCGATTCAGATGAGCTGACCACAGCGACTGCCACTGCGCTGCGCACCATCACTCCAGGCGTGGCGAACGTGTACGGCTCCCCGACTGCTACCCAGGAATATGGTCCGTTCAGCACCTACCGTCAAGGTACTCCATTTTCCGAAATGGACGTCCCTGTCACCGCCATCCCCAACGGTCCTGTGGCTAGGGAAACCTCTCAATCAGTGCCCCCAGACATGCGGTACGGAGACTTGCTCCTTCAAGCATCGCAAGTCCCTGTTATGCGCTCCGCATCCACCCGTCCCAAGATGGCCCCTCCATTGCGTCGGGTGCACGAAGGCCGGCCACTCACGCCCATCGAGGCCCCATCGGACCTCGACCATACTCCCCGTCTCCAGAGCCAGGCGGCAACCTCGTCAGCCAACCCGGTGTTGGCTTCCGATCCCGATGTGACCCGCAGCGGATGGATGAAGAAGCGCAAGACGACTCGTATCCTCCGCCACGAATGGCAAGATGCCCACTTCACCCTGCGCGGCACCAATCTAGCCATGCACAAGGAGGAAGCCAACGCCCACCGAAACTCCAGGGCTCTTGACAACATTGACGTTGATGATTACGCCGTCGCATGCTCATCACTAGCCACAAGCTCCAAGCTAACTGCGGCATTCAAAAAGTCCATCCTCCGCAGCGGCAACCAGCCTGGAAGCGACCAAGCTGCTTTTGCTTTCTCCTTGGTCCCGACTCCCAAGGAGGCCGAGAAAAAGACCCTGTTCCACAACAACCTCCCAAAGAGCCACCATTTCGCGGTCAAGAACCGTGAAGACCGCATTGACTGGATGCGCGAGCTGATGCTCGCCAAGGCCCTCAAGAAGGGCCGTGACGGCGGGTCCGAAATGCAGGTTAATGGCAACTTTATTTGATTCCTTTGTCTTTTCTTACCCCAATTTCCCTGTTTGCATGTATTTTACTCATATTGTCGCTCATTATTTGTGTCCCTGTCTCTCATTTACTTTTGCATGGTTTGAATATTTGCATGTTGATATATACCATTGTCATGACTGAACGAACACCCAAGTCGCTGGACGGCTACAGACAGATACCCAATTTCATCATTTTATATAATTCGTCTCAAAAATACTTGCAAAATTCATTCTTAGCTAGTCTCATCAATAAAATTGATAACAATCAGAACCCACTCGTCCCAGTATCAGAGCATAGACTTGAGAATACGGTTAGTTCATAAGGCTTGATTGGCTAGGCTCAGCTATTCTCAATCGACAAGACTTTACACTGGTCAGGTAATTCGACGATAATACTTTCAGAGAAATTGTACAGAGAAGAAACGAAAAGGGTATGCCAGAGGCAAACCGATAGATGAGCAATAGGGAAAAAATGATGATCAATTGATGTGTTGAACTAGAACACAGTAACTAGGGCGATATGGCTATGCTTATAGATAGAATGTTCCGTATATGTAACTGCAAGAAGAGCAGGAATGCTGCTTGGGTACAAGCGGCTATATGCCTACAGATCGTGCAGATTTATGTATAAACAAAAAACACTCGACTTCCTTCGCTATTTACATCTCATATTCTCGCCACAGCGAGAGAAAAGACCAGACGTACCTAGCGGGGTTCAACCTCAAATTGGATGGGCAGTAGCCAACTTCTCACCGTAGAAGAAATGGGTCTGGGACTTGGAACTCGGGAATCCAGAAACCCGTGCATTCTGCTCGAACAGCATGACGCAGTCCGAGCCACCAAACTCAAAGTGCGAGATCTCGTCGCCTTTCTTAACAAACGTATCGGGTTTATCGTCAATCTTCTCACCGTTCTTGTCAAAATTCTCCCGGAGTTTATCGACAAGCTTCACTGAAGACACCTGCGCCATGCCGATGGGCAACATAGCGACCTTACCTAGCTTCTCATTTTCAATGATGATAAGACCGCGCGTCTGGAGGAACTGGTAACCTGGTGTATTAAGGGCGTCGACAGTGTGAATGCCACTCTTTGCCTGGTCGCTTTTGACCTTGGAGCGGCCGCGGATCAGACGGCAAGGCTCGAGGTAGTTGTGTCCCTCTTGCTCGTCCTTTTTAACGACTACTATATAGCTATATTCAACATGCCTCGTACACCTGGAGCCAAGGAGCTTGACTCTATTGTACGGGCAAGGATATGTGAACTTCATGATATTGGCTGTTCTCACTACAGATGGCTAGTATACGAAGTATTAAAATATTTGATCGGCTTCACATATTCCTATTCAAGTAGGCGGTATTGGTAGACGGCTATCTGTAAGCATGTATTTATTTTTGAACACGCACTGTATACAAAAAGGAAACGGTCCATATTTCTATAGGCAACCGTTCGGGTATGTGCTATGCAAGTTGTTGGCTACGTGTGTATGGAAGTAGTATCCGATATTAACCCGCACAGATCAATCGGTTGCCTAATATTCAGGCCGTCAGGCGTAGACGAAGTGCATAGGACATGACAGGAAGGACAAGATAAATACCATTGGCTGTCATGTCTTTCAGCTCTGGATTTGGGGCGTTTGGTTATGTATGATTTTGATTTTCATGTAATGGGCTTGACTCACTGCATTGGGGCTATTTCGTAATATCTGCTTCTTCTTTTCAATTATCAGATGCTAACTATTAACCTGCCTTGGACAAGAAATGTAGAGAAAACAGTGAAACAAGGACTCGTGGTTGATGAGGGGATACACGAAGCAAATGGTAACCCAAGAACACTGTATCAGCATTTATTGTCACTACCACCCTGTGTCATTCAGTGGTGTGCTGAAGCTAGTTTCATGTATTTCCCTATAAGATCAGAATAGTCTATGTAATTTCTTTCCGTTAGAGCCGGTAGCTGAAAAAATGCAGGAATGCGGAAAGTATCAAGTGAGTACTCCTTCATTGTCTCCAGAATGTGTATCCATCAGCCTGTACCTAATAGGAGAAGGTCCCTGTATCAGAAAGCCCATGCCGGGTGCTCGAAGTTGTAGGGATAGCCTCCCATTTTGGGAATGAGAGGGTGAAACCGTCGTACTCCTAATAACAGAGCGTTTCTAAAGACAAGAATGATCCCAGGTGTATATCGAGAGGTATAGAAACCCCCACCGCGTAGACGGGGGTCCCAGAATCTCCTGATGCTGTGAATGGCAGCGTGGTCAAGTAGACCACACTAAACCATCTGTGCGCATCTTCGTCGTGTGCTTGCTCTTCAATCGTCTTAACAAATCTGCCGAGAAGTACTTTGTCTTCAACAACTCGAATGTTGTGCACATTTTGAATCTCTGGGAGGATTGAGGCGTCCAGAACCACACGCCGTTCACTACGGGGGTCGCCATGGGCGTACTCCTGGTATGTCTGGACAAGGTACTTCGGGAGACTAAAGTTCGTCAACTTCTCGCCATAGAATTCGATTAAAACTCGCAGTTTTCGCATAGCTTCCGAATATTTGTATCTATCGTGTGTTGGCTGTACGAGTTCCGATACGCGGCGAACGCATGATGGGCCCAGTGTTCCTTGCTTCGTAAAGGAATATAACTGGCTTAATAGTTGTGTTGGTATTCGGTTTCAGCTTTATTTGCAACTTCGATCCGCTTTTAAGAACGAGGGGTCCAATCCGGGGCCCTCGTTGGCCCGTTTGTCGTATAAACTCAGAATGTTCAATATCTAGCCGAGTGTCAGCTTGAATCGTTCGCTTTTGTGTTTGTAATATTCCAATCAACGGGCATATTCCAGAATATATGGCCCCGGTCATTGTAAAGTAACCAATGAAGCAGTGGACTGGCTGGCGAAATTCTAGTGTGTGGAATGACCAACAGGAGAAGATCACGCTCAACTCTGAAGTTGACAGAATTGAGACGGCAGATGAAGGAGGAATATCAAGGAACGGCAGCAGTCGGTGAATGAAAGCAAGGTACGGAATATTTGGGAGTAAATGCTGATATAGTGAATTGATCGTCCATCACAGGCATAGCATAGTAATGTACATGGCGATGGCTACCTATCCCATCATACGAATAACAATGTATGCCCATCCATCTCCATAAGCTGAACTCCTGACTACTTCCTCAATCGGCGCAGACATGGGCACCACGGCTCCGTGCAGCACGGGCTTGGCTAATACGGGCGTTCTGCGGCTCGGAAACAAATGCGGGAGGAGGGTGTGGAGGGCTGTGCCGATGGTCTGTGGCTGTGATGTCGAGATAGAGGGGGGGAGTGGTGATTGCACTAATTTGAGAGAGGGGGCACCTGAATCTGGAGGAAGAGGGAGGAAGAAGCGAATAGGCACATTGCGGAACGGTTGGGAGGGGAGTAGGACATTGGATATACGTTGGAAGGAGGGGAGGTCGACTATCAATCTAGTTAGTTATCTATCGCTTTTGCACCACGAGTAGTTCTAACTCACCATCTTGAACAGCTTCCCACAATCCAGATGAATCTTCCTTCGAAAGAGTCATGATTCCCTTCGCTGTTCCATTTCGAAGAAAATCCGCTTCTTTGACACTGTTGATAAAGGCATCATTCATAACCACTCCCTCCGCATCAAGTTGGACTAATTCCTCATGAGGCCAGTCGCTAAAATGCACCATTAACCGCCAGGAAAGTGGGCCGCTGGTGGTCTCGTCTGCCTCGTCTGATTTACTCCCCTTAGATGATGCCGGATCTGCTTCCGCGTAGAGATCGTATAAAAGTCCGATAGGATAGTGCCATTTTAATGGGACACCTTCAAATGAGAACCATCCGTCATGGACATGGGAGTTAGGGTCGATCAAGGATGGAGCGAAGAACGTCCTTAACCGGGGCAATAGCGAGGGGAGATAGGTGAGTCGTGAGCATGCAATCTACAAAGACCAGTTAGTATACACCAACCATCAACACATGAGCGCGTACAAGATATGGATCTGTCTGATCATAGGACCGGCTCTCTGACGGTGCCAGGACAATCTCTAATGGAAGTTTGCCGTCCCAGACGGAATTTTGGATGCTGGTGAGAGATGGTGCTTGGCTCATGATGGTGATGGTATGAAACTGAGACAGTTTAGTTTCTGAGTCTCGGTGGCCTTAATGTAGGAGCAGTGGTTACCGGTGTTTATCTTTAAAGACCTCAGGCATACAACTTGAGTACCCCGCAGAAACGGTCGTGAGCTACTGCGTCATGTTCGATTCATGACACAAACAGATAGACGATAGTCAAGCTGTCTGCTTATACTGGGCGTATTTCGAAAGCCCTGAACCGCGGCAGTAGTCAAAAAGAGAGAACTTCGTCGTTGTTGGTGGTGATGATGCATGAATTGGCGTTTCCAAAACAGGAATGTCACGTGTTAGTGCCTAAGGCCGAAGTTATATCATCCCCTTCACCTCTTGGCATGTCTCGTCGCCACGGACAAGACGGAGTCTGCTAACTATTAGGCTTGTGATGATTAATGTATAGAGTCAATAGTTATAGCATATACTCAGTAAACCATGACATCTCAAGATTCCCTGGCCTACCATGAGCCAGGAATCACTACCGTGCTCGACAAGATCATCTACTGCGGGCTAATCGGACAACTTTTCATCGGGATGGCCTGGGGCGTCCCTGGGGGAAATTTGTTAGAGTTGGATGTACAAAAGTCGATCCAGTAGTTGGGTTACCTGGGTTTTTTGCTGCTTGTATGAGGGTGAGTCAACCCCCTTCAAGAGAAGCGTCCTTTGACCCAGTTGTCGTGATTAGACCTATTCTGGTAGCTTTCGGATTTGCTGTGGGACTGGTACTTATATGTCGATTTGTAGTTGCAAAAGCTGTGCGATCGATTCAAGCGAAGAAACTATATGTCCACTTCCCAGAGGAGATGATGTCGATGAACTTTGGGTTCGTCGCTCATATGTGTCTCTTGGTTGGGATGGTCGCGGGGGCTACGTATACCGGGACGTCAGGTCTTTTCGCAGCATATCTGGCTGGTGCGAGTATCACCTGGCTTGATGAGTTGTTGATGACAATCTCCACGGATTCTTCTACGGAAGGCATTGGGTTGCAAAACCGCTCGACTCAAGGCACGGGGAACAGTTCTCGATCGAGCACTACATCGCAACAGACAGAGTCAACAGTGGCAATAAAGCATCCAACAGGAGAAGAAGTTTTTGAACGCCTCTGCAAAGAGCCACTCAAACGAGTCTTGAGCCCGCTCTTCATATGTACACTCCTCCCCAATGCCAACCAATCCATCATACCAACAAAATGCAGGCATCGATCGGCTTCTCAATTCCCATTACCAGGATGTTCCAAGGGGAAGTCGTCTGACGCGGAGTGGTCTAAACTATCCTCATGATGTTCGGCAAGGTTATTACATGTGTCTGGCTAATCCAATTGCATTTCAGCCCGCCTCCCATCATAGAAAAGATAAGCCAGATCTCCAAGATCCCGTTTACCTTTTGCACTTCCCGACTGAGGAAGGAGAAATCGAGGCCACCTGGTACTCCCTCGAACAAACAAAAGAACCGCAAGAATAAAAACCAGGCTCCAAAATCCGAGGCTACCAGCAGATCAGCAACCCAAGATCCAAAGGAACAAACACAGCAAGATCAGGGACAGCCACCTATGTCGACGACAACTACCACAACCACTGAGCCTGCCCAGAATGAACAAAGCAGCACCCACCTCCCCCGCAAACCCCGCTCTATCTACCCAGCCTCAATCCTAGGCCTTGCCATGGTCGCCAGAGGCGAAATGGCTACCTCATCGCATCCCTAGCAGAGACCGGTGGCATCTTCTCATCAAGCGAGCAGCAGAACAGCGGTAGCTCCGAGCTGTACCTTGTGGTGGTCTGGGCTATCACCCTGTGCACCATTATCGGGCCAATTTGCGTTGGTACCCTGATCAAAAGGGTTAAGACGTTACAGGATCAACGGGTAAACTCTGGGGGCCAGGATCCGTTGGGATCGTGGGGGGTTACTTCTTGAGATCACTTCTACCGGTGGATGGATTGTATAGTGTAGTTGGTTATGGCTGTATAGCTGATTGATTAACTTAATTTCTTTATTGCGATGTAAAAATAGACTTTAACTGTCATTCGGGTTGACGTATCCAACTCTATTTTCACATGATATACAGTAGTGCAACCACTGGCACGGCGCAACTAACAAGATGATTTGCAATTCTTCCATTCCAAATCATTTCTTCAAGGATACAATACCCTATGCTGCACTATCAGACAAAGCATTGTATTCCAAAAAGAGAAGCTTAGCCAACAATTCCGAAAAAGCAAAACCATGATTGGACCGATCAGATACCAGTTTAAGGGGCTAACGGGTGATCTCGATTAGATTGTACTACAGGTATGTTGCACATAGTACAAAGTAAAACTCCGTACAAAGAACCCCCCAAGAAATACCCTTCATGTGTAAGTATCGACAAGATCAACGCATAGTAGTTGCCCGTTAGTTCAGCACCGTGCACATAGTACTACAGTACTAGTCGTGGATCAAGCAACGGCCGAAGATCGCACCGAGAACTCAAACCATCACCAGCCTCAGTGGCCGTTGAGGTTGAGGCGGATGATGATAGTTTCCAGAGAGAAATCCGAGATTCACCCGTTGGCGAACAAAATCACATCCCTTTGTCCAGGGGTCTGTCTAGCTGCACGGACGCATAATTCATCCCGAAAAAGAAAAGACAAGAAAAAGTTACATCCGCTTCGTAAGCGAACATACTCCCGTACATATCTCGGCTCGGTTCGGGGCGGGCGTTCGTTTGAACCTTCCGTTCAGGAGGGTAGTCGGTTTCTAGTACGGAGTAGGAGGAGGAGCTGACTAGACACGCGGCTTTTGTTTCAGTATGCTCGGATTCGCGCCTTTCCTGCAGGCAACACAGGGCTGCAAAAGGGTTGTAAATCACAGGGCAGTGCAAATTGCTGTAGGCCATTGTCATGTAAATCAACCATCCTGACAACAACCAGCACAGCCTGATTCGGGGCACTTTGAAGGGTCGAGGGTGGAGAGATAAGATTCACAAAGCACTGTCCACTGAAACTCGGACCAAGAGGATCAATCCCTTGCATATCTTTGAACGGTGGATTCGTAGTCCGTACTCGTATGTCGAATAATTATAGCAATAATGCAATGCAGCCCCCTAAAACGGCCCGGCATTCGAACCGGCTTATGAAGATGCAACTTTGACATATTCCAAGGTATGCTGAACAGTATACACTCTGCTTCCGTATCCCGTATAGCATGGAAGGAGTCATTCCCGTAAAACAATACGGAAATGCCAGTTCTTGAAATGAAAGGAGCTCCGGAAGGAATGCCTATACTCGGAGTTTCCGAGCTTCTCAGTCTAACTCACTGGCTGGCCATACCACCGAACGGCGCGATCCGTGCCGGGATCCCTTGCTACCAGTAGCTACGCCTGTCACAGGAACAGTTCTGACTCAGGAACTCTCAGTTAGTGGCCCTTTAGAACATTGTAACGTTACACTTAGCCCAGCAGATCCGGAAATCAGCCGCACCGTAGCTCGAGCCCGGGTCAAAGGATACTACCAACGGAGGGCGAACTATCTGAAACAGCGTCGTTCATTGTGGACGAAGATCCCATCCACCAATTTCAACGCTTGTGCTGCCAAGTGTGGAGGGAGGCTTAGCGTGGTCTTCAACCCGTAAGCTGATTGGGTATGTGAGCATGCCAAAAGGCCTAGGATCGTGATTGCGGGCACGTGAGTAGTAGACAACGTAAAGCTAACGCGACGATCGATATATGCTCAATATGCATAGAGTGGATGTGCGGGTGCTGCCCGGTCATGGCTGTGGCAGTGACCTGCGTCTCTCGGGACAACAGGGGAAAACAATGCCATAACTAGTGATGGCAGTTGAGCAAATACTTGTCGTAATCTGTATATGCGATGTTGTAGCCATACAATAGCCATATCTCATTTGCTATCAATAATGCCTGTGCTCGTCAACCCCGGAAAGGGGTTACTGCCGATCCGTATTTGAGGAAAGGGCTGGAAAAAAGCAAACATGCGAGCTGCAGGAACGCCGGGTACAGAACGGGAATAAGCAATCTGGAGCCGTTAGCCGTGAAAACTGGAATTGAGACCTGTTCAGTGAGACGGCGCATAGTAGTTTTTCATGAGATCGGCGACGATGCCAATTTCGTCCTGTTTGCCGTCACTCTTGCTCTTCGGCACCGGGACCCGGGAACGGCCACGGGAAAACAAGAACGCAATCTTATTTTTTTCAATTGAATGACAGCCAAGAACAGGCGCGCGCGTCTCATCAGCCGCAGTTCTGCTGGTCTAGACTCCGGGGTTTGAGGCTTCGTACCCCTCAACGTGATATCCATGTCAGCGTTTCAGCCTCTGCCCCTGCTATCAGTGCCTTTTTCGTTCTTAGCGAAATGAGTAATATGACCGGCAGGGCTGGGGCCCACCACTGACCACTGCCATTTCAAATCACCCCAAGCACATACCGACGGGGTGGCTCATATCCTGACAGGCTACACTAGGAGAGGATGCCCGTAATTTCCAAAAGATATCGATCTCCATATCTCAGCCTTTTCCTCTAACAGGTGCGGAATTCGCTTGTTCCAGCTGGATCCATCTGGTCCCGCTCCCTCTTACCGGATTAGGACGTTGCTCATCACGAACTCAGGGTCACGACGCCTGTGTTCGTCATCGGCGTTGCGAAAGGAACTCCGGATAGCGGATGAACACTGGGGCTTGGCAGATCTCAACAAGGTTGGCACATGCCAAGGGAGCTCAGCACGGATTCCCCAACTGCGAGCACTATTCCAACGACTGGAGATGGGGGGAATAGTGGCTATCATGCTGTCAGGTTCCTAAGAAAGGGAGTGGAACCAGGACGTCACGGATCCCTAGCTGGTAATCCCGTCATGATCCTCGGGGTTAGTGCCAATTTGATCATCTTCTGCCCGATGCTAATTATTCCAGTGGCTTTTGCGGGAAAGCATTGTTGCACCTCTCCAGTGATGGCGCATGAAGTTGACCAAGGTTAATCGGGACCTCCTCACTCCTCAAACATATAAGGAATGGATTCTCTGCCTGATCAATCCATACCAACAGCTGAACCTCATTCCACAAAGCTCTTTCAATACAGAACTATCTTGAAGGATTTTCCAATCTCATTGCATACTTGCCCCCGGCTTGCACGAACACCCACTGGAGCAATTGCACTTCGGACCTCATTCGCCAATCCAAAGACTGCTATATCAATCAGACTGTGATATTCACGTCAACCATGTCTGCTGAGAACAAGAACACCACAAGGTATGCGCCCTGAATGAAAGCCATGCATCGACAGTAACTAACGGTTCCAGGATGACCAATGGTGTGGGCAACCAGCCTAACGGAGATGCGAACCACGGGGCAGACAGGAGCAACGCTGGTATCGCAGGCCCCAACGGGTCATCCGCTGCAGATGAGCCGTATTTTGCTCACACGCGGATGCATGACCGGTCTGCGCACGTATCCCGCCTGTCAAGTCAAATCAATAGGACGGATGAGATTTTGAAAACATGAAAGACACATGTCTATTTGCAAGGAAAAAACCAACAACTGAAGAAGAATCCGGTATTCTCAAGAATGCAAGGGATGATTTCTATATACAGAACCTTTTGGATGCCATAGTATAGGTGACAATGACCAGAAGACAGCATGGTCGTCACTTGGCGGGTATATCCAACCAAAGCAAGCTCTGAGACCCAAGGAAACATAAGGGCAGTGGGTCTCTGTCGTATACACAGCCCAAATCTCGGAATTTCAATTTAATTCAATAAGTCCCAAATGTGTTGTGCTAGTTCATCGTATTTGGTACTGGGGAATTCATGTCCAGCGTCGAAGTATTTAAACTCAACATTTCTCTCGAGGGCATCGGTAGCATCTGGTACAAGCTCCTCCTTAACAATAATAGAGTCGTCAATTCCGCATATAATTTGAACCTTGTCGCCCGTAAGGCCGTACTTGATTTGCTCTTGGGGAGAACGATTTCGCTGCGCCGTCAGAAACTGGCCCAGGCGTGCCCATGTATCCCATTGTCGCTGACGCAGAATTGGCCCGAACCGCATGCTAGACATGAAGGCATGAACAAACCCGGAATGGTAATTGACTTGCCAATAGACGGCCGTGGGAACAGCAACATGAGGGTATGCTCGGGAAAGTATTTGAGTACCAGCAGCACCTATCGAGGGAAGTTCTTCAGTGAGCGCGGCTCCGGCATCAATCTTTTCATTACCCTTGGGCTTCGGGGTAACCAATGGGCCCGCGCGGAGCCGACGGCCGACGAGGAAACCCAGAACCTTCTCAGGTACCAGTCCACGGGAGTACAAAAGCCGTGACTGGAAACTAATCTGGGAGTCTCTGATCAAACCGGATGGGGCCAGTAACACCAAGGACGAAAGAAGTTGAGGAAAAAATGACGCAAAGGACGCAGCAATACCGCCTCCGAGAGAATAACCCACGAGGCAGAATTTACCAGATCCAGCACCGGTCCACGAAATCGGGGACGAGTTCAATGCAAGAGAGATCTGTGTCGATAATAGTCGGTCATCTTGAGGGAGGTCTGACGGACAGTCGGAATAGCCTCGTCCAAACCTGGTGGTTGGCTTTTGTTAGCGATCAAGTCTCAATGGGTCCTGGAGGAAGCACTTACAGGTCAAACAACATGACACGACAGCCGCGATCAACTAGAGCGTGTGCCACACCGCCCAATGCGATACACGGAGTAGTGATGCCATGGACAAAAAGCACCTTAGGTCCATCCTCAGGACCCCATTCGTAGACCCTGATTGATCCATATGGGGTCGACACATCACGGGCTCCGGGGAGCACATCGGCCGGCAACGGAAGAGCACGAATTTCTTCATCTGAGAGACCGGGTAAAACAGTCGACCGCGGGGAGGGAAGGATCTTTCCTTCAGCGTGCAAATCTGAACCAATTGAGCGAAGCAGGAAGCCTAGAGTAAACGATGCTGCACCGGTTGCGGCCAGGAGGGGGATCTGGGCTCGATGATTTGCGAAGGAATCGGACAGGAAGTCGGCAGTCTGGCTGTACCAGGACATTATGGATGTAGTATTTCCTCTAAAAATACTATACAAATTAATCCAATATCAAACAAAAAGCAATTGGTGATACCGGTCACTGACTGAGAGAAGCAGAGAGAGACCGGAAGAGGAAAGCCTCGGCGAAAAAGCATCGGGCCGAGGGACCAGCCGGATTGACGTCATGTTTCCTATCCGGGTTAAATGTCAACTATGGAGACATTGTATAAACATATCTTAGCGAAATGCTGCAGAGTACGTATACAGCAAATATCATCTGAGAGCATGATAATGGGTAAATTGTGCTTGAAAGGTTCAATGCGGTAAGCGCTGCTAGATATCTGAAACAAGAGTGTCAGAGATACAACGTTGCTGTCTAAAATATACAAAGCTAGACAAGATGTTTGTGAACTCAATTCAAAACACCAATTGACATTTTCGAGCGTATCCTTGCCTGGTAGGGCTAAAGAGACGCTCTCGAGACTAATATATCCACCGCCACCATCCGGAGCTGACAATCAATATAGGGCGCATACTCAACTTCAGACAACCTCATATAAAAACATTCAGCTCAATAGACAGTGTCGTCCTGGACTTCGGGGATCTACAGGCACAGTGAGAAGAAATTGATGACCTATCAATCCTTCATCTTATCTCTCGTTTCCGTTTCACGCTGAGGTTTTGGTCCCTGCAGATGCTAGGTCAATAAGTGTAGGGAATAAGTTAATCAACTCTCATCGGGCCACACATGCATAGCAAGCATCCGTCCCTGGCAGGAACAGACCATATGCGAATCTTAAATAGACTCTGAATTGGTTACCGCTATGGAAAGGCTAAGTGTCAAAGCAGCCCTAGGTTCAGACTGCTATCTGAGCCTGAGCACATCCATATCACCCTGGAACAAAGTCCAAGAAGCAACTGAGATCGATCATATCCAGTCTTCGAATTAATTGCCATATTTATCCGGGGTTAAATTAACCGAACAGCTTGGAGCGCTGTCCGCACACCCTATATTGAAAACGAGCAGAAGCTCTGCCCACACAACCCAATCAAAACACATGATCGAGTTGAAGAGATCGGATCCACTGCTAGATGGCAATGTCGATGACCAAGGAGCAATGTCTATCACTTTGAAACGAGTCAATTAACGAGTATCAAATAGAATAGAACGGGAACAGGGCATCTCGTTAGGTATAAAAGGATGCAGTTTCTCCTAGCTTTGGGATCATTCAACCAATTCTGCAGGCCAGATAACAAATACTTCCATTCTCTTTTTCTCTTTTTTTTGCTTATATTACTTTCCAGTTCAAAATATGTATAACCGCGCACTCCTTTTCTCTTCCCTTTTGGCAGTTGCCAGCGCCCAGCAGGCTGGGACACAAAAGGAAGAGAACCACCCTTCTTTGAACTGGAAGAAGTGTACGGCGGATGGCTGCACGGAGCAGAAGGGCTCTGTGGTCCTTGACGCCAACTGGCGTTGGGTCCACTCGACCGATGGTTACGACAACTGCTACACCGGTAACTCGGCAAGTCTCTATTATGTTGAGAAGATAGAACCGTGACTAACAGAGAATACAGTGGGATGAGAGCCTTTGCCCTGACGACAAGACTTGCGCTCAGAACTGCGCCGTTGACGGAGCTGACTACGAGGGCACCTATGGTATCAGCTCTGACGGCGACGCCCTGACGTTGACCTTTGTCCAAGACTCCAACGTCGGATCGCGGTTGTACTTGATGGAGGATGACAGCACCTACCAGATGTTTAACTTGACCAACTCCGAGTTCACCTTCGACGTCGATGTCTCAGAGCTGCCTTGTGGTCTGAACGGCGCTCTGTACTTCAGCTCCATGGATGCGGACGGTGGACTCTCCAAGTACGATGGCAACAAGGCTGGTGCCAAGTATGGTACCGGATACTGTGATTCGCAGTGTCCAAGGGATATGAAGTTCATTAACGGCCAGGTAAGATACCCTGTCTTGTTTCCCCGGATTCTCATGGCTAACAACTGAAACAGGGCAACGTCGAAGGCTGGGAGGCCCAAGACAATGACAAGAACGCCGGCACTGGCAACCATGGCTCCTGCTGCCCCGAGTTGGATATCTGGGAGGCCAACAAGATCTCCACGGCTGTCACGCCCCACCCTTGCAGCGACCTCGAACAGACCATGTGCAATGGAGACAACTGTGGCGGAACCTACTCCGGCGAGCGCTATGGAGGAAACTGCGACCCTGACGGCTGTGACTTCAACCCCTTCCGTATGGGCAACGAGTCGTACTTCGGCCCGAACAAGATCGTCGACACCACCAAGAAGATGACGGTGGTGACCCAGTTCATCACTGACGACGGCACCGACTCTGGAACCCTTTCGGAGATCAAGCGCTTCTATGTCCAAGACGGCAAGGTCATTGCTAACGCTGCTTCTAACATCGACGGTGTCACGGGCAACTCCATCACCTCCGACTTCTGTACGGCCCAGAAGAAGGCTTTCGGTGACGACAACGTCTTCGCGCAGCAGGGTGGCCTCTCCAAGATGGGCGATGCCATGGCCAACGGCATGGTCCTTGTCCTGAGTCTGTGGGATGACCACTACGCCAACGCGCTCTGGCTCGACAGCTCCTACCCGACCAACGCTACCGAGAGCGACCCTGGTGTCAAGCGTGGAACTTGCGCCAAGGACTCTGGCGCTCCTAGCGATGTTGAGAAGAGTGCTGCCGATTCCACGGTGACTTTCTCGGGTATCAAGTTCGGAGCCATCAACTCGACCTTTTCTGCTTCGTCGTAAATAGTTTGATCGACGTATATCGAGGCGGGCATAAACCGATACTCTGTTAGTGGTATGATCGGGGGATTCTCAAGCATCCTGTATTAAATTCTATTCTTCATTCTGTCTTCTTTTAAAAAAACATTTAGAAATCAAATGTGGCTGTCAAGTTTCTGTTCTCAGTTGCACTGTAGTCCGTACAAATGTGCCGGAACATTCTCGGTCCGGATTCACTAAAAAGGGCAATCGACTCGGAGCTGCTCTTGGAAGTAAGAAAAAAACTATTGCAACTCTTCCACGCCATGTTTGACACGGTCTGCACACTTCCGCTGTCTGCGGACTTATTCGCGCAGGCCCTTCATCCCAGAGAGCCAGTTGTCTCGGTCGGACTCTCGACCGGCCATGTGCAAACTTTTCGACTTCCGTCGGACGAGGTCAACAGTGACGACGACGATGTCGCGTCGAACTCGTCGTCGCGGAACGGCAAGGGTCATATTGACACCATGTGGAGGACAAGACGGCACAAGGGCAGCTGTCGAACTTTAGGGTTTGGCATTGACGGGGAGACGCTGTACTCCGCAGGGACAGACGGCTTGGTGAAAGCTGCAAAGGCGGAGACCGGAGTTGTGGAAAACAAGATTGCGATTCCCACAGAGAAAGATGGGTTAGTTTCTTTTTACCAGTGGAATCTTCAATGGATCTTATACGCCCTTTTGTGGTTCAATGGCTTGACTAACAGTGCTGTTTTCTATATTGTAGCTCCGTCGATGCTCCAACAGTCGTCCATGCCCTGTCACCCCAGACTCTTCTTCTCGCTACAGACTCGAGCGCATTGCATCTCTATGACCTTCGCAAACCCTACTCGTCTGTTTCGGCGCGTCCGGAACAATCACATCATCCTCACGACGACTACATCTCGTCCCTCACTCCCCTACCGGCGTCGGATACCAGTACATCAGGCTTCAGCAAGCAATGGGTTTCGACCGGGGGCACAACATTGGCCGTGACGGATCTACGACGCGGAGTCATGATGCGCAGTGAAGATCAGGAGGAAGAACTGATCAGCTCCACATACATTAGCGGGTTGCCATCCAGCGGAAGCAGCCGTGGTGAAAAGGTCATTATCGGTGGTTCTAGCGGAGTGTTAACGCTTTGGGAGAAGGGCGCTTGGGATGACCAAGACGAGCGGATTTACGTCGACCGTTCTGGTTCTGAGGGGGAGACCTTGGAAACCATTAGTGTCGTCCCAGATGACCTTGGAAAGGGCAAGATGGTTGCGGTAGGTGTGGGCACCGGTGTAGTCAAGTTCGTCGGCATTGGTCCCAATAAGGTTGTCTCGTCCGTCATACACGATGAGACTGAAGGCGTTGTGGGGTTGGGATTTGATGCTGAGGGTCGCATGGTCAGCGGTGGTGGCCAGGTGGTGAAAGTCTGGCACGAAGCTCTTAACGCTGAAGATTCTGGTGATGTCGAAATGATGGGCAGTGACAGCGAAGGTAGCAACGATGACTCGGAAGATGACAGTGACCGCGAGAGTCGATCCGGTGACAAGTCTCGCCGGAAGCGAAAGAAGGCCAAGGGCAAGGACCGCAAGGGAGGACAGCACATCATGGCATTTGATGGTCTTGATTGATTGATACCCTATCTTGAAATCGCATAGCTGTAAAGCATCAATACTTTGGAGTCTACGGACTACAAGCACATATCAAAGGAGTATGGAGTAGACGTAAATAGACAAAAGTTAGCTCTTCTAATACATAAAGCTACCATCGTGCACTTCTACTCTATTCATTATGAGCGGAATTTTTCCACTGTTCTACAACTTCATTAATAAAGCCATATCCGGAAATCCGAATTTCACCTCAACTGCCGAAGCCTCGAGGCCCCGCGACGAGACCCACGGAAGAGCGAAGAGCATGTGGAGAAAGAATAGAGATGGATTCAAGTAGTTATTGCGATTAGGATTATTCATGATGGTCAAGCAGCGCTGGGTCTTATTTAGTGTCTCCTTCTCATCCTCCTTCTCTCTTCCACCCTTTGCTCGTTACCACGCAAATCTACACAATGGACGCATTTGAATACAACGCCAATCCCGGCCGGGTCATCTTCGGCAGCGGCACCATCCAGAAACTCCCCGATGAGATCGCCCGTCTCAACCTCAAGCTGCCCCTGGTCCTCTCGACACCGCAGCAGACCAGCCAGGCCGAGACCGTCAAGAATGTCCTGAAGGACCAGATCGCAGGCATCTTCTCAGATGCTACGATGCACACGCCCACGCATGTCACCGACGCGGCCGTCCAATTTGCACAGCAGAAGGGCGCTGACTCAGTCATTTCCATCGGGGGTGGCAGCACCATTGGTCTGGGCAAGGCAATTAGCTTCCGCACGGGACTGCCACATATCTGTATCCCGACGACTTATGCGGGAAGTGAGATGACGCCTATTCTGGGTGAGACGGCGGATGGAGCGAAGAAGACCAAGTCTGATCCCAAGATCCTTCCCGGGACGGTGATCTATGATGTCGACTTGACCATGACCCTGCCCACGGGGATGAGTGCGACGAGTGGTGTCAATGCCATTGCTCATGCTGGTAGGTTTACTGCTATCTATAGCTAAAAGCGCATCGGGCTAATGATGCCTCCAGTCGAGGCCCTCTACGCCCGCAACACCAACCCCGTCATCAACCTGATGGCCCTTGAAGGAACTCGAGCCTTGGCCAGCTCTCTCCCCGAAATTGTCGAGAACCCATCTTCTCAATCCGCTCGCTCTCTGGCCCTCTACGGCGCCTGGCTGTGCGGAACCTGTCTAGGCAGCGTGGGCATGTCCATCCACCACAAGCTCTGCCACACTCTCGGAGGCAGCTTCAACCTGCCCCACGCAGAGACTCACACTGCCGTGCTGCCGCATGCAATCTCGTACAATGCGCCCAACATCCCCGAAGCTATGAAGAAGCTGGCAGACGCTCTTCCCGAAAGCAACGGGGATGCGATCCACGGGTTGAATGTCTTACTGGAGAAGCTGAAGGTCAAGCGGGGAGCCAAGGACTTTGGAATGAAGGAGGATGGTATTGATAAGGCTGCTGATATTGCCGTGAGCAACCCGTACTGGAACCCCCGGCCGATTGAGCGTGGTCCGATTCGTGAGTTGATTCGGAGAGTTTGGGCTGGAGAACCCGCGCGGGCGGATCTGTAGCTATTAGTTTAGTGTAGGGTGATCTGTATATACCAATGAGCCTAAGATAGTATGAAATATAAAAATTCAAGTATAAATGCAGTGTCGTTCCTGTATGTTGTTAATCACAAACCGTGCCATTGGCTCCTTTCGCATGGCGGGGTGAAGTGGGGGATTTCGCCGAAAAAAAATTTCCTCCCATCAGCTAACATCAATCCTCAATCCAACAGACAACATTCAGGAGAAAAGAGAGGCTACACAGTGCCTCCCTTGTTATTCCACTAGACTATGGGCGCAGAAATGGAGGCAGCACCGGTGCTGTCCACCCCCGATGACCGAATCCTCGAAGCCACCGAACCCGTCGTCTCCCACGATCCCCAGCGCATCGCATCCGACGAAGAGCTCTGCATTACATACGATATTGAGCGCACGTTGAAAGAGATCCGCCAGGCCCGGTACAAGCGAGTTGCCCTACAATTCCCCGATGACATGCTCCCCGATGCCCCGCGGGTATTCCAACTGCTCAGTCGGGGACTGAACCCTGCGACAACGACCACCAGCAACGGCGCAAACGGTCATTCGAATGAAACGGAGAATGGGGATCTGGCGCAGTTTGTGGCTGGTCTTCAGGTGGAGGATCCAGCGAACGAGACGCCAAAACTGTACATCCTGGCTGATACTTCCTACGGAACCTGCTGTGTCGATGAAGTGGCTGCGGAACATGTGAACGCGGACGTGGTGGTACATTATGGACGGTCGTGCTTGTCGCCAACGGCCAGATTGCCTGTCATCTATGTGTTTACGCATAAGCCTCTGCCCATCGAGCCGGTTGTTCGGGCCTTCAAGGCTACCTACCCAGATCCATCTACGAAGGTGATTCTGGCGGCGGATGTGACTTATGCGGACCACCTCCCCAGCGTGTATGCTCGACTGACAGAGGAGGGATACGCCGACTTGTTTGCTACAGAGATCGTTCACGACCCGTCTTCTGCTATTCCTAATCGAACTGTGCCGGAGTCTGTTCGCGAAAGCCCCGATTCGTTGTCAGAGTGGCAGCTCTTCCATATTTCCAACCCTCCGACGGCCCTTCTTATGACCCTTGCGTCTCGGGTTACTGCGATCCACATTTATCCCACGGGCAAGGCAGAGAAGGAAGAGGACGACGTGAAGCCACTAGAGGCATCGACAGCGGCCGCCTTGCGGCGACGGTACGCTATCTTGACCTCGCTGAACACCGTTCCTATTTTCGGTATCTTGATCAACACCCTGAGTGTGAAGAACTATCTTCACATTGTGGAACATGTCAAGCAAAAGATTGCGGATGCGGGCAAGAAGAGCTACATGTTCGTGGTTGGCAAGTTGAACGCGGCTAAAGTCGCTAATTTCAGCGAGATTGGTGGTTGGGTGGTCATTGGCTGCTGGGAGAGCTCCCTGGTCGACAGCAAAGATTTCTGGAAACCGGTCATCACCCCGTATGAGTTGGAATTGACGCTCCAGGGGGATACGGAGCGGGTCTGGACGGGAGCGTGGCAGAGCGATTTTCAAGCCATCCTTGATAAACCGGCTGAAACTCCTTCGTCGGAAACCAACGGTGCGGCCGGCGGCAACAACGACAACGACAACGACAACGACGAGGAAGAGGACTCAGACTTCGAATCCGCTCCCCCAGAATTTGACTTGCGTACTGGCAAACTTGTCTCACACTCACGTCCGATGCGGGATTCTGCACCCCGCGTTTCTGCCCAGCTCGATGCTGCGGCGGCGAGTAGTGGACCGAATGCTGCTCGGGCGTTAGCCAGACGGGCCAAAGGCGATCTTGCCATGATCGGCGGTACCGTTTCTCCAGGTGCGGAATTTCTACGATCGCAGCGGACGTGGAAGGGATTGGGCAGCGATTTCGACATCCGGTATGACGACGACGAGAAGGATGATCGGGATAGCACACTGGTGGTGGAAGGGCGCAAGGGTATTGCAAGGGGATACACCGTCGGAGAATCAATAGACAAGCATTGACTTTAGCATCCTGTGTGTATAGTACTTGTATAGGAGTGTTCCGCAGGGCGTATGATACCCTAATAATTGAAGCCACATGGACAACAGAAACTTGAATGTAGGGGCCACTAAATGAATAATTGAATCCTGATTTTCTTTCCTAATAATTTTTTTGTTGTCTGGCAGCAAAAGCAACATATCACATGATACGCCCGTTGAGTTGGCACGCCACAACAAGGCACGCTCACTTCCTTTCATACGCCGTCCAACAACAACCCAGGATGGCTTTCTCCATGTAGCCCGTCGCCTGCTTATAAGGAAGAAAGTAAAAGGAAGACACGCCCCTCCTTGCATATCTTTTCTTCTCCTTTCCTTTTTTTCCCTTTTCTTATGATGTCCTGCGTCTCCCGCATTCTCCGCCGTGCTCGCGATCTCGCGTCACTTTTCCGACTCTCAGCTTGAGAGAATAGAAGATTATGTCTATCGTTTACAACCCGGCATCTGCAGACAGGTTACAGTCGTACAGCAGCATCATGGTGGAAGATAAGCAACGGGGCTTGGTGGAAACCGCCTTGGAGCAATCGGCGGCTCCGGCTCAGCGATCTCTATCGACCTTTGAACGAGTGATTACCACGCATGCTCCCATTCTCGAATCTCTTTTACTTCAGTCTCCTACGGATTCCATCTTACAGCTCTACCATACCTCAAGATATCTACAATCCTTCCTCAAATCCTACCCGACAGCATGGAAATACCTCTCGTTCCGCCTATACTACCCATCCGGCACGCAGCCGCCGCCTGTCCGAGTCGTCCTCCCCGGCCATCTAGATCCAGAGAGTCAACGCCAGTCACGTCCGTATGCCCTCGATCAGTTGTTGATGACGGTGGCTATTCCGTGCAGTCCGTGTCTGCGGAGTTTGGAACTGGATAATACGGCTGTGTCGGGTCAGATTCTGATCTCGACGGTCTTACATTCACGACGGGAGACGCTGGAGCATCTGTCTGTTCGGGGGTGCAAGAATGTCTCGCTGAAGTACCATATTGTTCCGTATCTTACCATGTTTGGATTACAATATGATGTGGATATGGCACGGAATATCGGTAGTTCACCCGCTACGAAGCCGCTTGCTCTCAAGAGTCTTTACACCTATCGATGCCGTCATCATCGACGGAGGCCATATCTCACGTCCTCTCTGCAAAGGAAGGATTCTGACTCAGAGCCAACGCATGAGTTGGTGACGCTCTGTCACAAGCTGGGCATCTGGACGGATACGGCTTGGTGTTCTGCCCCCGCAGGACGGTGCTTCCGGCGAAGGGGATATGTCCAAATGAGGGTTCCCCAGGGATCTGCGGAGGTCTGGGTGGTTTTTGACCGGCTTTGGCGATCCAAGAATTGGATTGGCTCTGTGGACCAGGGAAGCCAATCTTCAAAGCAGGATGGAAAGTTATGGGAGCACAGCGAGACTGGGGCATTTGGCGAAGCGTTGGGGACCGGAGAAGGAGGCGATCCGGGTGAGGGCAAAACTTTGCCTGCCCATCTTCGTCAGAGCCACACACGCTTCGTTGAGAACGTTCGGTGTGACAATTGCTCAGAGGTGATTCCGGAGCGGTGTGAGCAATGCAGCATCCTGATGCACTGCATTGGGTGTCGAAAGACTCTCTGTGCAAGCTGTGCGTACGAAAGGCCTTATGTCCATCGCACATCCCGGTCATCGGCATCTGTAGATGATGCTCCTCAGCCATTCTGGTGGGCACCGGGAGCGACTGTCTCGCCGTGCTCCATGCAGGACCCTGCACACAGTGTCTCTTATATCTCGAACCAACCCAGCTCGTATCCCGCGCTCAAGTTCCATTGGTGTTGCACGGAACCCATCTTCTCCGGAGGCGGTGGGATCAGCATTGGCACTCCTAATCGGGAAGTTGATCAGGTGCGAGCCGTTCCTCTGCCCCGGGGACAGGGCTGGGAGGATGTCGAATATTCGAGCAATGAGTTCAGCAAGACGTTCCCCAAGTACGCCTACGGTGATCCGAGGAAACCGGATTACTCACTCGAGACGGGACACATCGCCATGATGAAGTGGTTATTGGGCCCACCGAATCGGAAGGTCTCGCCCTGCCCGCGGAATCTGTGTCAGGAATGCTATGATTCCCCTCAGTGGAAAGTCCATTGCAAGACGTGCTCGAAGCCATTGTGCATTGAACACGACCTCCGGGGACTGCGTCTGCGGATATGTGGATATCGCGATCTTGCTATGGAAAAGCTGGCCATTCAGGAACAGGATGGCACTGACTCTTTTGATCATCTTCCACAAGCAAGGTCCACTTCTGGATTTGATCTGCCTTATCGGACACAGCGCGTGGTTGATTCGACCACGAGCAGCTTCACGGATGATCAGCTGGGCGATAATCTGACTGAAGCGAATACTTCTGTAATCCCGCATACAGATCCTACTGAATCTGGCGAGCTCGTACGGCGCGGCTCAAGGAGCTTCTCCGCCTCGAACTCAAATGGTTCTCGCTCTTCGTCTCCGTCATCCCTATACTGCGACTCACCAATAGAACCCCCGAAATGGCAGGGATGCCAGTCATTCTTCTGCCCCCAGCACCGCGCAGTAGGCGATCACCGCCAACGCTGCGGCAGCCTCCTCTTCGAATGCACATCTTGCTCAGTCAACGTGTGCCAAGACTGCGTCTCGCGGAACCCGCCCTGCAACTGCTCGTACTGCGAATCGAACTATCTCTGTCCGAACTGCGCCCGGATCTACGAGCGAGACGGGACGTGCCGACGACCAGTCGAGGAAAAGGCACGACATGAACGAAAGTGGAAGAAGGACATGCGAGCGTTGGAGGGGATTCTTGAGGATAAACTTGCGAATGAGATCGCGGAGTTTGCAGGGCAATTCTTCGATGCGATTGAGCAGGAACAGCCGGGGGTATCTGTGGAGCAGGTTGAGGATATTGGACTGTCGGGTTGATCTTGAGTCCTTGCTTTTTCGCTTTTTTTTTCCAGCATTTCCCGTATTTGTCATTTCTTCGGTTTTGTTGTCATGTTTGTTAAGGAGTGCATTATGGCCATTTGCACCAGGTGGTGTTCACGGCGTCCTGGCCATGTTTCTGCATACTGATCTGTCTGGATGCGCAGGGAGCATTTAGTCTGGGATGTATGTGTTCGGGTTTTATTTGTTTGAGTCAGATATCCGGGATTATCATGTGGATATATGTGAAGTAAAGGTATTATGTTCGGTTTATGTGTTAGGAATAGAGGGCATGTCATTCAATCACTCGTATAACTTAGTAGCGGCGTAGTAGAGAAGAACACCGGCAACGTGAAGCATAAATGTATTATTGATTACAGCATGATGCATTCTGCAATTCGTAACTCATACCAACACAACCAACACAACCAACCTACCCAATCTGCGCATTCGAAAAGTCCATTTCTACTCCCGTTAGCAAGCCCCCAATCCAACCCCCCACGAGAATGAAAAAAAGGAAAACATACCAGGATGCTCCGCCTGAAACTTGCTCAAAATCTCCATCTTCTTCTGCTCCTCACTACTCGGCTTCCCCATCTCCTTCTGCCGCTGATCATACATCATCTTCTCGACCATCGCCCTCGTCTGCCCGTCCAAATCGCCCAGGTTCGAGTTCTCGGGCGTGATCTTGCTTACATCGATCTTGGGGGCTGTGGTTACCACGTGCGGCCACCAGTTCATCTTGTTGATTTTGTCGAGGTGGATGGCGATTTCTTTGCCGGGGGGTGTTGGGGTGGTTTCGAGGGTCCAGGAGGATTCGTCGGTTAGGATGGGGTGGGGAAATTGGCCCTTCACAGTAATATAATATTAGCTCTTGCTTTTCGTTATGGCTTGGTATAGGTAGGTAGGTGGAGGGGTGTACCTCAATAATAGCCTCCTGCCCCTTCACAGCAACCTTAATCTTATCCTTCGCCAGCACGACATCCAAATCCCTACCCTTCAAATTCCCAGGGACAGGGATCGTAACGTCGACATCGCGGATGGTCTGAGTCCATTTGTAGGGAAGTTGGGCTTGTTCGGCGTCTTCGCGGGCCTTGCGGTCCTTTTCTTCTTGTTCGCGGGCGGCGGTTTCGGCGGGGGTGGGGGGTTTTTCGTCGGCCATTTTGGTTTTTGGTTTTTGGTCTGGGTTTGGATGGTTAAGGTGAGGATAGAATGCGGTGGTGTAGTGTAAATGGAGAGGAAGGTGATGTCCGAGTAGCTTCTGTCAGTGTGGGGCGGTTCCGCGTTGTATATCGATTGCTACGGGAACTGAGTAGAAGGGAATATTCAATTAAACATTAGCTATGTAATAATAGTAGTACATCGTTCCATGCCATATCCATTCCATTATTAGTATTAAGATTAGTATTAGTAGTATGTATCGATCATAAAATCATTCACAACAATAAAGAAAGCATATGTCCAGTCCATACCAATGTCCAAACCCATCACAACCCTACCGACTCTCCCACGAAAACCTCCTCGCCCCAACCTCCTCTCCAATATCAACACTACACCTTGGACTCCTCACCATCCACTCCGGTCTCTGAAACACCGGCTGCGGCTGCGCAATATTAACCATCTGCTGCTGTCGCAACATCGCAGACGACACAGACACAGTCGTCCTCCTCGACGGCGTGGGCGATACACCAGCAGAGTACGGCGGAGGAGGTGTCTCCCGCGTCGCAGTGGAGGTGTTACCGTAACTGCTTTGGAAGGAGAATGCTGAGGAGACGTCGTCGGCTGTGACACCGTCGCGGGAGTCGCGATGGTCGTATTCGTGGAGATGTCTTTGCTTTTCGTCGGATAGTGTGTTTGTATTTGATTCTGGTCCCAATTCTGAGGAAGATCGCATATGCATGTGCCCCTCAATAGCTTTCTCCTGGATACTCATGGGACGAGGCGTATACCGAGGAAGCGGGGTGGTTGGTGCATATCCCTCATCATTTCTGATGTTAAGATTGCCAGTATAAGCGACCATTCCAATGGGAAATTGGCTATGAACATGGTTTTGGGAGTGGTCATTTTGACCACTTTGAAGAGGTACTGGTCGAGCGGGACTTTGTTCTATCATGTCCGGAGTTGGGGCTTGAGAGCGGGGGAAACAGCAGCAAAAACCACTGAAAAGTCCCATATCGCCGTTTCAAATAGAAGTAGAAGATCTATCAAAATGTCAATTTAGTAGGTAATAGATCGATGCGGGCCTGAGGCTGGTCTGAGCTCCGCAGTTGATATGCAAGTATGCAAGTATAGATGAGGGCTCAAACATGCACAAAATGAGATAATCTAATCGATGGCAGCCAAAATGAAGAATGTAGAATGTGCAAGATCGATGAGAAGAGAAAATGACAGAAAACTGCAAGAGGAATGAGGCTGTGAGGAATCAAGAGTGAATCCTTCGCAGTGAATAAGAGCCTCAGGCAAGGCAGTCACGTTTTATATTGTTTTCCGATTGGCTGAACATTCACTGCTGATAAGATTCCCCGGACAGGTGCCTGAGGCTGACAGGAACTTTTTTTTTCTTCATCCCCGCCTCACTAGTGATTCACTCTACGGTCTACAGTCTCCCTATACAACCGCCAAAATGACACCGGCAGCTACATCGCCACCCCCTAACACCCCTAAAGCCACCCCCGAAACCATTCCCTCCGACATCACCACCGCCGCCCAACGCGCCGAACCCCCCCAAATCCCCGCGCACCGCTCCCACGACCCCTCCAACAACCTCAAACGCACCGACCCCTTCCAATTCGGCTCCCGCTACCTGGAACAAGGTGACAACGTCTTCGAATTCAACGCCTGGGACCACGTCGAGCCGGACGACGAATACAAAGCCTTTGCCGAAATCCAATACTCCAAACAGCGCGAGTCCCCCGTCTCCGACTTCGACCGCTGGCGCTTCAACGCAGACCCGGCCAAATGGTGGAACTTGTTTTACAAGAACAATACGGCGAATTTCTTCAAGGATCGCAAGTGGTTGAGGCAGGAGTTTCCGGTGCTCGCGGAGGTTACGAAGGCTGATGCGGGAGGGAAGGTTGTGTTGGAGGTTGGGGCTGGGGCGGGGAATACGGCGTTTCCGTTGGTGGTGAATAATGAGAATGAAGGGTTGAGGGTTCATGCGTGTGATTTTTCGAAGACGGCGGTGCAGGTTATGAGAGAGAGTGAGCATTATAATCCCAAGTATATTACCGCGGATGTGTGGGATGTGGCTGCTGTGCAGACGGAGGAGAGTGATTCGCTGCCTCCGGGGTTGGCGGAGGGGTCTGTTGATGTTGTCGTGTTGATCTTTATCTTCTCGGCTCTCAATCCCACCCAGTGGGATCAGGCCATGCGCAACATCCACCGTGTGTTGAAGCCTGGTGGTCAGGTCCTGTTCCGTGATTACGGACGAGGAGACCTCGCGCAGGTGCGGTTCAAGAAGGGCCGGTATCTGGCAGACAACTTCTACGTCCGCGGAGACGGGACACGAGTATACTTCTTCGAAAAGTCCGAATTGGAGTACATGTGGAGCGAATGGACATCAGAGAAGGGCATTCCGTTTGTCGACCAGAGCGAATACGAAGTCACCAAGCCAGGAACTGAACCTGAAACCTCACAAGAAGACTCAACAAATGAGAGCCAGTCTGATGAGAAGCAAGAGAACGCTGAACCCTCTCAGCCGATCTGCACGGGCCAAAATGATGGCCTTTTCGAGATCCTCAACCTGGGTATTGACCGTCGTTTGATTGTCAACCGAAACCGCAAACTCAAGATGTACCGTTGCTGGATGCAGGGTCATTTCAGAAAGCGTGAAGCGGCCATCAAGGACAAGAAGGAGGACGCGTGATTTCATTATAGAAGCTCATTGAAAAGCATATACCATTTTGATACCCAAAAACCATATTTGGCAATGTCAGGGCGCCAATGCGTGCCGGCTACTGAAGACTACCGTGGGCACCCAATTCAAGCGCTTACCCGGCCCTTGTACTCGCCGTTATGGATACATTGGCGCTACTACGAACTGGGTTCGATGCGCATGCTGGACTTGCGAGTTGCAAAAGGCCGTCAGTGCATGAGAATAGAATAGACCATTGCGTCAATACTACGCTAGATGCCAGGAAGACTACCATGTTATATCCAAAATCGTGCATTATTTGCAGGAAGTAAGTTCCGAGAGACAAAGTAGCTACATTTCGACCATGCGTATGTACTGGCAAAATAGCAAGAAAAAGTATATGAAAGAAAGAAAGAAAGAAAAAAGAAAAAGGAGAAAAAGGATAAGAAGAAGTGGAAAGAAGAAAAGAAAGCTGCTCTATGCACCAGTCTATCCCCAAGCCGAACCGAAAATAAGAATTGGATGTAAAGCAGCAAACGAAAGTCTAAGAAAGCAAATTCCATGATACTCCATCCATGCAAGAATTGAAGAAGAAGAGGAAGAAGAGGAAGAAGAAGAAGAAGAAGAAGAAGAAGAGAAAAGACGTGACAGAAAAGGTCAGGATAGAGAACGTGCAGTCTCTCTGCATGGAGAAGACCTGGCCATCCGTACCTAGCAAGAGTCCAATACTTTTGGTTCATATATCTTCACTCATAGTCGGTCATATGCATTAATATATTGACAAACCGCCTTACGCGGTCAGGTTGGGACATTCTCCCTTGGCTCTCACGAAGGCATGAGCGAAGAGGTCCTGCATCGCACAGTAGTGGAACAGGATTCCACCAAGTACGGCGAAATGCCAGATGTTGTGGCTGCCGCCCACATAGTCAAACAAACCAGGACGCCAGCGTTCCGGGACTTGCGAGGCATAGACACAGGCACCGGCAAAGTAGACTAGAATGCTCTTCACAACAGGGGCGTAGAAATACAAGCACCAGGCAAAGCCTCTGGTGTATGTCAATTGCGCCAAAGGAGCGAAGCCCGTCAGAGCAAGTGTAACGTAGAATGCCACGCGAGCCCAAGCGAGATCCGCTCGATTGAACGTCGGGTGCCACGGAAGAACGACACCACCAATTCCAAGGCACATGGTGGCAAGGATGTAAGTCCATCGGGAAACGGGCTCACAGTAGAAAGCCGTGTATTCCGTTGTCACGATCGACGCCGCCACCAGCATGGAGATCCCGGTGTAGTCGACACAGGCGAATCGTTCCATGAGCGGCTGGTTGGCAATGCTGTTCATGGTGTGCCAGAGGGTACTGCAGACCAGGCACTTGCATGCAGCAAAGAAGAAGACGGCGGCAATGGTCACATCGGTCTTGGTGCTCAAGTGGAAGTTGGGGTTCAACGGATAGAAATAGAACGCCACCGACAGAACGATGAACAGACCGATGAGGTGCGACCAGATGTTCACCATTTCGTTGGAAAAGGAGAAAACCGATGTAAAGCATTCCACCTTGGAGGAGTTGAATCGATAGCCCTGGAGGATATGCGGGTTGATACGCCAAGGGTGAGGCAGATCGGCGTAGGCGATCAATCGTTTCTGCTGCGCCAGTTCGATAGCACGATCGATGTTCTCCCGCATCGCATCCTTCGCTCGTCGGGCCCGTTCCATTCCTTCATCGACCACTTCACCCAATTTCGAGTCCATTGCCTTCCAGCCGTCATCGATCGCACCATAGATACCACGGTCCCGGACCGCATGCGCTCGCGATTCCAGCTCGGACAAGAACGACTCCATGAGACGAACGCCTGCCTGGGCCTTCTGTTCCAGAGTCTCCTTTGTCACCAGAGCCTCATTGTAGCGGCCCTCGAGGGTCTCGACCAGGATCTTGGCTCTCTTCTTACCGCTGCCCATAAGTTCTCCGGAGGCGTAGGAGCAAGAATCCCTGACCGCCTCCAGTGTCGCATAACCTCTGCGGAGACTAGCATCAATCTGAACCATGTGTGACTTCCGGTATTGTTCGATCCAGTGCATCCGGCGTTCCAACTCGGCGAGGAAGAGTTCAACCTAATTCAGATTAGAATCGCCTCACCGGGTGGCAAGGAATTCACAAGACTTACCCTCAGGTAAACCGCATCCCCGTCATAATCACACGAGTTCTTCCTGGCATTGTTGAAGGAGTGCCTGCGCGTCCGGTCTCGTAGCAACGAGGTGTCTTCTTGAGGGGTGGCCGAAGAGGAGGCGGCGACATCGGCGACATCGGTGACATCGGGATACGACTCGATAGTCATGGACTGCGCGGAGCAAGCCATTCTGATTGGGTTTCTTCTTCGTTTTGTACTGACTCGGATTATGTGATTCGCATTCCTTTTTTTTTTTTTTTTTTTTTTTTTTTTTGTAGTATAGACGCTGTACAGTGGTTGTTGTATATATGTACCGGCCGTTTTGTTGAGTTCGGGCGGGCGTCGGTTGGGTGTCGGGGACCCCAGCGGCAAAGAGAGACAGTAAAAGGTGGTATTCCGGGGTAGAATAAAAGGAAAGAATACGAAGCAAGGAGAGAAAAGAGAACAAAAAGAAAAGAGCAAGGAAGACCAAATATACTCCGGAGTAATTGGTACTTTTGCAGACGAACTGCAGGGCTGAAGGAGGGAAAAAGTAAGAATTTAAAGAGAGTGAAAAAAAGAGAGAGAAGGCTGGAGGAAGGGAAAAGATCGGAGGTTCGTATTGAAAAGTCGCTCACTGCAACAAGTCACTACAAGTAATACATGCTCTCATATCCGGTTCTTATTCGAGAATCCGTCAATCTTACTCCAACATAGTACTCCGGAGTACAGAGTACAGTCCATTCAGCACTTTCCATTCTCCACGTTTTTTTGTTTTTCCCACCAGTTCTTCTCCATCCGGATAACGTCAACTTCGGTTTTGCCTCGGATCTTCGCCTTTCCTTGTCGCCATCTTCTTTTCACCTTTTCTTCTTGTTCGCAACCATGGCGATTAACGAGATCGTCACTGATCCGTCCTTGTTGCCCGTGCTGCAGACCAGCGCCGAAACTCAAGAACAATGTCAGAAGCTGCTGTCCTTGCTCAATCCCACGGCGGACGTCTCGTCGCCTGAATCTCCAGAGAACCCGGCTCTCGCAGTATCTAGACAACAAAAACAGTTATTCGCCGTACTGGCCCAGCTCCGGGGTCAGAATCGTGACGCCATCTTCGGGGTTCGGGATACGAAACAATCGACAGCAGAAGCGCGCCAGGAGATTGATCGGTTACACCTTCAGCTACAGAATTTGTACTATGAGCAGAGGCATCTGACGGGAGAGATCGCGGCTTGCGAGTCTTACGAGTATGTCGATAGACACGGGGGAATGATACGATAGTTTGCTAACAAGGTCCAGTCACAAATACCTCTCGCTGCCTTTGATCCCCGTCGAAGAGTTTCTGGCGCTGCACCCCGAACACAAAGAATCCAACGAACATGAAATTATGATCGCGCGCATCAACCACGAACATGCCGAACGGGAGAAGCTCGAACAAGCTCGACAGGAGCTGTTGAAGCGCAAACAGGCTCTGATCGCAGAGAACAAGAAGCGCAAAGACGACCTGGCCAGCTTGGACCAGGATCTGGAGCGGTTTATCGATGTGCGTATTGCCTTATGGAACTATGATTTGTTGAACGCTGCTAATGTGACCTCTTCTAGGCCGCGAAACCGATCCAGAAACTCTTTGAGAAGGAATATTAGGCCCATAATGATGATTCGTATAATGTTAAGATACCCGACTGAACCTTACAATTAGCATGGCATAGGCGTTGAATGATTTCCCCGGGATAGACCTTGAAATTGAACTATAATACATCCACACCAATTGCAATTTTATTTAATATATATTCTCCGTACATTGTTTCTCGTGTAATCCTAGTTGTGTCCCTTTACGGTGCGGCCAAACATATCAGAGCTAACCTCCGCCTTGAACCCCGACTACCACAACAACATCGCACTGGGAACAACCCACTGCGCAAACACATCAATCCTATACACGCGATCAAATAATGCTGTCATGACCACCAAGAATGAAGACCTGGGGTCTTCTCCGCAGACTTCCTCCGACCCCGACAACACCGCAACCACCACCATGAGCTCCAAGACCAGCGCTCAGCGCGTCCCTCCCCCAGAAAAACCAGAGACAACCCGGACTAGGTTCAAGGTGATTGCGGCCTTTTGGGCTGTGATTATCTTTCTGGGCTTGCCTATCTGGTGGAAGACGACGTCGATTTACAGAGCACATTTGCCTTTCCAGGAGATGGTCGATTGGGCCGATGGCAAGGTTAGTTGATCAAGAGAATTTGATCTGGGTAATCGCTAACTGTTATTCTGTAAATACAGAGTTGCAGACTTGTTTTCCCATTGGAAATCCAAATCGCTGCTCCGTCGATGCCAGACCCCGAAGCGCAGTTACTCCTCCGTACGACGCAACATACCCTCGATGATCTCAACGAATTCTCGGCCCATCACCTAAGATTGAAATTGACAGAAGATGGAGACAATACTGGAGATATTAAGGAAGAAGCGCACGGAAAACCGGACACTGCGTTGACCGTCCGTCTGGTGCCGCAGGACAACCTGCCAACACCCAGATCGGAACTGAGCCCGGAAACCACTCAACTGGACGTGTTCTACTCCCCCAACCAAAGCCCGGTTCCTTCGTCGTCCAACTCGCCCTTGTCAACCTTTATTGCCGGTGAATTGCAGCGCTTTTTCAGCGAGGAGAAAGCGACCATCGCGCACATATTGTCCAACGGCCATACCCAACTGTCGGAGAACATCAGCAGGAGATTGAGACGCTCGTTGAAGTACGCGGATACATATCATCTGGCTTTCTCGCTGTTCACTCCGGGACCTGCGCCGTCGTCATGGGAGATTCAAGAAGCCATTGAGGGTTACCTTTCGCCGCTCCTGGAAGCCTTTTCCCCGATCAGCAACTTCACGGTCGACACGCAAGTTCAATTGTACGCGACGTTCTCGCCTACGGCACCATTGCCTGAATTTGATGAGTCGCAATCAGCATGGACCTTGAAGCAGGAGGATCTTAGCGCCTTTGTCAACGCCGCAGAATGGCCCTTGAGTCCTAGCATTGGCAGCGGCCCGACTATCAACTTCCTCCTCTATGTCCCTGACCCATCTCAGTCTCCCATGGTCGTGAAAGAAAACACTGCAACGAGCTGGATCATCCCACAATGGGGCGGCGTATTCCTCCTCAACCCACCCCTATCCAACGAAAACCCATCCAACCCACCACACCTTTCCAAAGACTCTCTCCGCCCCGCCTTTATGACCTTCTCCCACCAACTCCTCACCCTCCTGGGCACCCCCACGACACCAACATCCCTCCCCCTCCGCCTCCAAACACTCATCCGCATCCGCGCCGCAACCCTCCTCCTCTCCGCCTCCTCAACAATGGGCTCCCTAGCCCGCCTCACCGAATCCCTCCCTTCAATCCCCATCCCCGCAACCGTCGCCGCATCCGTCTCAACAACCCTCTCGCACCTCTCTGCGGCGTGTACCCATCTACGCGAGGGCCGCTTTTCCGCTGCTCTGGACAACGCGCGGGTGGCTGAGACAGAAGCGGAACGCAGCTTCTTTGAGAAGAGTATGGTGGGACAGGTGTATTTCCCGGATGAGCACAAGGTGGCTGTTTACTTACCGTTGCTGGGGCCTATTGGGGTACCGCTTGTTGTTGGGTTGTTGAAGGAGGTTAAGAGGATTGTTAAGGGGTTGAAGGGTAGGTGAAATGGCTGTATATACTCTAATCGTTTTAGTTGAGTGTTTTGCTTGAGTTTAAATGGTATATTTTCAATGGACTTCTATTATACATTCAGGACTATTAATATCAACAATAATAACCAACCCCATCTACCCAACACCTTCATACAATACATAACAAACATAACCCCCCGGTGTCAACTCAACAATATCTATGCGTTCCCATCTCTAACCCGATAACAAGGCTGCCCCCTCTTATCCCTAAACCCCACATGATCAATCATCTCCGTAAACGTCGTATCCGGCCTCGCATTCACCCCCCAAGCCGCAACCCCCGGATATGGATCCGGTTTCAGAAACCCCCTCGTCTGGAAGACTCCCGGCGGTGTATACACCCGTATACTTTCTGTGCTGGGTGGGCGTGGTGTGGACTGTGCATTTGCATGTGCATGCGGGTCATGCACGTGGACGGGCAAGGGCGGGACGACGGGGACGTCTGAGTCGAGGGTTGGATCGTGGCGGGTGCTGAGGAAGGATTTGACGCGGGAGCCGGTGCGGTGCAGGCGGGAGCGGGTTCCTTCGCTTGCGCGGCGGAGGATATCGCTGTTTGCACTGTTGGAGTTGTCGTTGTCGATGTTGGGGCTTTGGCAGGCGAGGAAATCCGTCCTCATCGCTGTGTCGTCTGATGGGATTGGGTCTGATATCCCGAGTAACGTCCCGTTTCTCGTTCGTTCTGTAAACTGTGCTACCTTGGCGGAGGGAGGGAGGCTCTGTCGTCGTTTTCGGAGGCAGTGTGGGATTAGGAATGCTAGGGCTGCTCCGAAGATGGCACCGGGGAAGAAGCCGGCGAGGATGGCGGGAGTTGGGAAGGAGGGACAGTTGTTTGATTTTGATAGAGTGCTTGTGTCTGGGAGGGCGCTGGGGCTGGGGCTTGAGGAGGAGGATTCTTGTTTGGAGGTTTTGGATTCGGGGGCTGCCGTTGGGATGACGGCGATGGTGTCTGATGTTGAGGATGCTTCGTCTGTTGCAGTTGCAGATGTTGTAGAAGCTGTGGATGCTCTAGTTGAAGTCTTGAATGTTGATGTCGAAGATGAGGTAGACGATGGAGACGAAGCCGAAGACGACGAAGAAGTGCTATCTAACACACAAGCACTCCTCCCGTCACTCTCCCTGCACTCATACCCAAATGGACAGCAATAATCACCGCACTTGGGCAAATCATCATCCAAGCGTGTCGTCTTGATCGGACTCTGTGGATGAAGAGTGGCATTCTGTTGCTGCACATCGCATGAGATGGTTGCAATGGAGTTGCAATCCTCGCCATCCTCACAACAAATGACTGAACTTGAATCATCAAAGCTCATACATGTTGATGATGAGGAGCAGCAAAAGGAACCCGGAAAATTGGAGTTTCCGCACTGCTTGTAGGAGTCCGGACATGTGTCGGCGCGTGTGACCAGATCGAAGGCGTAGCCTGGTGTGATGGTGGTTGCGATGATGGCGTAGAGGAGCAGTATCGATGGCCTTCCAGCCATAAATCTGAGGCTTAACCTTGCCATATTAAGAATATCTCACAGGATCTCTAATGCAGCTGCGAAAAAAAAAAAAAAAAAAAAAACAGAGATCTTCTGGGTATATATCACCGTCAATCAAAGAGGAAGGAAGAAAGAACCCTAACAATGACAACGAAGAAAGACACCCAAGACAAACAAATAAAGGGCCAAAGACAATGCCTGTCAAAGATGAAAAACAATGAAAAACAGGCCAGCCAGTGCTATTTCACACATTGTCTTTCTGAAGAAGACTGGGCTGCTGGGCTGGAATGCCAACTGCAAGCGCCGGCCTCCCAGAATAGAGACAGAATATGGAGCTCGTGGTAGCTCCCATGGCGATTGGTCTGGGCGCTAAAAGTCTCCGATTGTTGCAGAATGCTTCTTAAGCTGCAAGCCAAAACATCCGGGCGCGTAGAAAAGTACAGAAAAAGAAAGTCCGTCGAGAGCAAGTCGGCGGTTGTATGTTGATAGAAGTAGATCCCAGGCCTGTGATTGGCCGTCGCTGTGTATGGCTTATTTAAGCCACACTAGTCCCAGAATGGCAGGCGACATCCTCCGCGAGGGAAATTCTGCGGACTTGAAGCTCTTCGCCGAACGACGGTGTTTTAGCAGTCCAGCAACTCGCCAGTTTCACATCATGTTCTCCCGGCTCATGCGGCCGCAGAGCGCTCTGCGTGCGGCTTCTGCGATTCCCAAGGTGCGTTCTGGTCAATGGCGTTGTTCGTCCGGAAGCGAGGAACTGACTGTCCCGCCTATTACTAGAAACCCTTCCAGAGACGAGCATTGCACGTTGTTCCGCAGTTGACGTACCAATCCCAATTCAATGACAATGGCGTTGAAGGGTTGTTGTCGAACGATGCGTTCGATTGGTCATGGAACCAGTACCAGAGTCTCATGGTCGAGAAGCTCAACCTTATGACCCAGGGTATGTCTTATGTCCATTGGACGCCAATTGATTCGCAAGATGGTTATGGGAACTGGTTCTAATCGATTCTGTGTATAGATACCCCTGATGCCGAATTGAAACCCTACGAACTTATGTTCAAGTACTCCCGCCATGCGGAAATGGCGTCCGTGTTCAACCATGCCTCGATGGCTCACAACAACCACTTTTTCTTCAACTGCCTGGTGAGCGACTCTCTCCGCCTACGTTGCTTTCGCCCCTCCCATACTGACCGCACCAGTCTCCCGTTCAAACACAGATTCCCGCCGACTTCGAAAAAGACATCAACGACACGTGCTCCTCGGTTGAATCGCTGAAGCTCGACTTTTTGGCCACGGCCAACGCCATGTTCGGTCCCGGTTTCGTGTGGCTGGGAAAGAACTTAGAGAGGGAAGGGTTGATGCACATCTTCTGCACGTATAACGCCGGCTCGCCGTACCCGGCGACGTACGCCCGGAGACAATCCGTCGACATGGCCACCCACAACCGCGATGCCCCTCTTGGTAACCAATACGCCGGTTCGATGGGTGCTCACTCTGCAAACCAGAGGAGCCTGGCACCGGGTGCGGTGGACGTGCATCCCATTCTGTGCGTGAACACCTGGGAACATGTGTGGTTGATGGACTACGGTGTTGCGGGCAAGGCTGAGTACCTGGAGCGGTGGTGGAACCGGATCAACTGGGAGGTTGTGCATGACAACTTCCGGGCCGTGAATGCGAGGAAGAGGTCTGGTACTAGCCGGGAGCGCACTTTGGACTTCACGCGATGAATCAATTGAAAAAAATGCCGGGATGAGTTGTGATGTTCTATCTTGATTGTATTATATCTACATGTTTTCTTTTTCTTATGGTCTAAATGTACAGCGTTTTGGGATAGATCACGACACCATTCTTCAACTCCCAACCTTCGACAGCCCTTAGCCGGTAGACTACCTCTGAACCTCCCTCATCCTTTTCTCAAACGCCTCAATCATAACCCCCGCCATCTGCCCCTCCACGGCACCCATAATAGCCGCATGAAACTGACTCCGAAACTCAAACTCAATCTTCAACTGCACCCTCGTCTCATTCCCATTTTCCAACGGCACAAGCTCCCACCTCGTACTCAAATACTCAAAAATCCCCTCCCTCGCCCCCGGAAACTCCCTTCCCTCCTGCCCACCCTTCTTATCAACCCCAAACCGCGCCCCACTCCTCGCCTCGACGACCAGATTCTCCGGATCGCAGTCCACGCGCGACGTGAACGTCTCGCTGAGAGGTCCGTAGCCGATGGTTAGGAAGGCGGCGGTGGGGTAGTTTGTGGTTGGGTCGCGGGATGTTACGGTGGATGCTGTGAGGAAGGGGAGGAATTGGGAGTAGGAGTCGACGGAGGCGATTACGGTGAAGAGGGGTTTTGGTGTGTAGGGGAGGGTGCGGGTTGCGGTTAGGGTGCGGTTGTTGTTGTTGTTGTTGTTGTTGCCGTTATTCGGGAGGACGGAGGAGAGGTCAGGGAGGGAGAAGAATGTTCGTCGTGAGGTGGTTTGTGGTGGTAGTGTGCGTGGTTGTTGGTTTTGAAGCGGTTGGGGACGGTATTGGAGTGGTTGTGGTTGCAATTGGGAAATGTCAATGCGCGAGGGATATAGTCTGGCGCTGGAGCTGAGATTGCGGCAGAGTGGCCGCGCGAGTGATGGTTTCATTTTGAATAATCCAGTTCAATTGGCAATTGGGTCCAGTGTATGTGAGTATCTACGCGGATCGCAGCGGAGGCTTTTTGCGCATCGAAAATACCCGATTGGGATGCCAAGACCGGGTATACTCAAGAATAGAAGCAACATTCCAATATTATTCTGCATTTACAATACCACGATATATCTACAGAACAGCTGAAAGTTCAGCTGATTTCAGCCTTCATACCAACCACATCCCCCGGCGCCAATATCTGCACATTCCCAACCCCATTACTCTCCTCCAGCACAATCCGATACTCATCCTCCGCATACAACGGACTCGTCGCGCGATACTTGATACTCTCCGGCACAAGAGCCTCCAAATCCGCCTCGGTATTTTGAGACCTTGTATCCCTCCACAAATCCAGTATGGAAATGAGGTTCAATGGCCCGTGGACCACAATATCTTTATGTCCCTCGACGTCTCGGGCCCAGGGCACGGAGTAATGGATCTTGTGCGGATTAAATGTTAGTGCGGAGAATCGGAAGAGTGTTACCGGGGTTTGACGGAGGGTTCGTGTGTGCGTGTTGCCGGATGTAGTTGTTATGCATGAGGCGGGTTGTGGTGGTGTCCATTGCTGTGATGACGGTGTTGTTGACGAAGATGCTGTCGATGGAATCGGAAGAGCTTTGCGGAAGACCCAGTTCCTATTCTTCATTAGCAACCCATCCAGCATAGTATACCTGAAAACCTGGGGTAGGGTAAGCGCACCGTCGATCCAAAACAGCAACCCCCTCCTCATTCCTAAACTCCTTCTCAACACCAACAACAATCATCTCCTCCCCCGTCTTCTTCACAACCTTCGGCTCCACACTGAGCACCCTCGTTGTCTCTGTAACCTCCTGTCCAACCCGTAACGGATTCACTCTTCCTTTTGTCCCGCGCGGCCATTGTACTTCCCCTCCAGCCCACATGCGTCGCGTAAATGGCGACGTGGGGTTATATGAAACATCTGTGCCATCCGCCCCGAGTTCATTCTCCAGAAACGCAGGCGTGAAGTATACCAAATGGTACCCCGGTGGTAAGGGTGTTCCGGCCGGGGGCGGGGTGGTGTTATTTGAGAGGGACGAGGTGTTTGGGTAGAGGGAAGGGCGGTTGAGGGTAAGGGTGAGGAGTTGGAGTTGGTTTGCGTCGAGGTTTTGAGTGCGTGTTTGAGGGCCGAGGGATTTGAAGCGTTTATCGAGGAATGAAGATGCGATAGACGACGCGGTTTTGTCGGGGGGGGTGGAAAAGAGCCGTTTGCGGTGGAGATGGGTGGTGCGGAGGGTTGGTCTTAGGAAGAGCATGTTGACGGTGTAGTATTCATGTATACGCTTAAGATGTCAATTGAGGGAAAGATAATGGTTCTTATGACGTTGACATCACAAAAAGGCGTCTCCAAAACGCCGAAATGCGGGATTTTCGGTTCGCGTGGAGAAAGCCGACTCGGAGATCGGTGCATCTTCGATAAGCCGATAGTCATGTAATGTCAAGAATAATGATATTTACTAACTATGTGTATAGACAAGGGCAATAAGGGTATCTACGGTAACAATAAAAACGGAAGAACGGTTTATCACAGCTTCACCTGTCCGCCCTGCAAGCGGTCCCAATCCTTCGTTTCGAAGGGGACGTACTTGTCACCCTGAAGCCAATATACCTTGTCTTGAGCGCTGACCTTGGACGGATCAACTCCCTCAGTACGGAGCACATGTTTCTGCTGTTTGTTGTTACCCGTACCCGGCATCTCCGGCGTCGCACGCAGGAACAGAGGTGCGGCAAAGCGAGGAAGGCCCTTCAAGGCGTGTTGAGCAAGACTTTCAAGGACCTCTGACGAGGGTTCGATCAATGTCGATGTGTTGCCAGAGTCGACCTGGTGCTTGAAGACAACTGCTGCACATCCGGCCCGTCCGTCATGGTGAGGCAGCGTCACGCCGTATACGTTGGCTTCGTGGATCTCGGGGTGCGAGCCCAGCACTTCACCCACCTCGCTCGTTGACACGTTCTCACTCTTCCAACGGAAAGTGTCTCCCAATCGGTCAGAGAAGTACCAGCGGCCATTTCTGTCCCATCTGACCATGTCGCCGGTGCGGAAGTAGGCGTCGCCCTTCCGGATGACATCGCGAATGATCTTGCTCTCCGTGGCCTGGGAATTGTTGAAGTAACCCTGGAACTTCTCCTTGGGATCGGACGCATCAATGGCGTACAGCAGCTCACCCGGGTCGCCACGGAGCACCGCCTTGCCAAGTCCTGTTTTAGGATCACGCCATGGTTGCTGCGACTCCTGGTCCACCTCGACGACAGCCAGGCCACCGCCCATGATCATTTCGCTAATAGCACCATTCCGGCCAATCGCACCCGCAGCGAAGTCGTTGGATGACAGGTTCCATGACCCCGAAGTGCCTTCTGTGGCCGCATAGAATTCTGCAACAGTGGGGACATTGTAACGTTCCTTAAATTTGTTCCAGATGTCGGGACGAAGACCATTACCGAATACTATCCGGACGTTGTGCTTCTTGTCAAGATCTTCTCCCGTGGTAGGATCGATATCGGGAGGTGTAGCCAAAATGTACCGTAACGTTTCGCCAACGTACTGGACGACTGTTGCACCATTCTCACGCGCATCTTTCCAGAAGTTCCGCGCAGAGAATTTGCGGCCGATGATGAGTGTGCACCCACCCTGCAAGCAGGTCATGAAACCCAGAATCGAAGCAGAGGAATGATACAAAGGCATGCACTGTGTTTTGGTTAGTTCAGCATGCATAGAAAACAATGATATAGACATACAGTAAAGAACCGATCCTTCCGGCCAATGCTCAACCAGCCGTTAGAAAACATACTGCCAAGCCAGCACTTCTTCCAGCTGACAATAGCAGGCTTAGGAAGACCGGTAGTGCCACTGGTATAAATCAACGCGGCCATATCCCGGAGCGTCTGATCCTCGCGCACTTTATCATCCTCACGAATGGCCTCTGTTTGGTTGATTTGTTCCTCTACATCCGGAGTGAAGAAGACCACCTCCACTGATCCCTTTTCTTCGCGGAAATCGGGGGATGCAAAGATCTCCATTTGTTCTGGCGGGAAGTTCTTCCGGACCTCCTCATCGACAATCAATAACTTTGTCGTCGACACGCGAACCGAGTGTGTCAATGGCTTTCCAGCCAGGTTGTAGTTGATAAACGCAGGGACGGCGCCGATGCTCCAAAGCGCGAGAACGAAGAAGATGAAGTTTGACGAGTTCATGAAATCGATGGCGACAATATCTTTTGGCTTCACGCCATGCACAGTCCTAAGCCAAGTTCCGTAGCGCAGCACCATCTGGTATGTCTCATGGAAGGTCCATGTGCGTCCGTTGTAGACGAGGAACGGGTCGTCCTTGGTGCCGGAAGCGAGCGCATGGTGCTCCAATATGTAGAACAAATTCAGTTGACCGTTCCAAGCAGCATATCTGGACTTTGCGATTCCCTTGAGGAGCGACCCGACCAATCCTATGTCGTAAGAAAGCGACCATCTGGCGTTGAGGTAGGCGAGAGCAGAAGCGGCGGCGGGAACAGCAAGGCTCAGGGGGAGATCTAACCGGGAGTATAGGTGGTTAGCATGATTTTGATCAAATGTAAATCACATCCTATCAATAATTCTCACTCACCTGGTAAAGAGGGTAATGAAGGCATCGTGAGGGCTATTGGTGCAAGGTGTCGCAAAAGGAGCCGAACGGGGATTTAGCTGTTTCTTAAGGGTAGGTAGGGTCAGCTAGAAACAAAGAAACACCATCTAAACGGCCGGAATGATAGGATAATATGTATTAGAAAGAATGTAAGAGGATCTGCAGCTCCACGAGAGGAGAGGAACCAGGTCGTTGGTCGCCGAGGGAGAGAAACTGTTGAATATGAATGACGACGAGCCTCGGCACGTTGACCGATTCGGAGAAATCGGAATATGGCAACAATTTCATTGTTATGCAAGATGGCCAATGATCCAATGTTATGACTCTGTACAAAGTAGCTATTATTTGAGTTACCCAAAATTGGGGATTGTCTCAATAACCGGAAACGTCCCTGCAAGGCCTTTGCCTTACCGCGTGCATACACATGGCCCGATTATAAATCGCATACTCTGGAGCTCAACAGACATATCGGATCCCATAGAGCCTTCCCTTTTGCATCCGTTCATACTTGAGCATTGCTTTTTTTTTTTTTTTTTTCTGCCCGTTTCTGGCATGACAGTTGTCGATGTCATGTGATGGAACGTGGCAGCTTCATCTTTCCGAAAAGAGTATGCTGCACGCAGCCAGTTCACGGAGGAAAACGAAAATAGACCGTTGTCCTGGAGGTTATTGTTCTGTGAACTCTCAATTCGACATGATGCTATTTCTCTATGCTACCGGAGCAGACCTGGTCGTTGAATACTTGAGGCATAAAGCGAGGCCTCGCTACCCAGCACAGGAGGATGTGAGATGACAGCTGAAAAGCCCATGGATATCCATGCCCCTGAGAAGAGTTTGGCAGGTTAGATATATCTATGATCTGCCATAAATCTGCCTTATATGCGCCACACTATTCATGCGCCTCCTATGTTTTCTATGGGGCGTCAATACGAGGCTGTGGACGATCACCTCCAAACCAGTCGTTTATTCTGTCTTTTGGGCAAGAGTGATTTATTCTTATGCCTGACCGCTCAGACACAGCCTGTGAACTGTGGATTTTGAGATTCAGCTGACTACGACTCTTCTTCAGCCTTGCGCATTTTAATTCTGGCGAGAGATTTCTTCAAATACTACTGGCATATTTCCCCAACCAAAGACTTGCATACTTTCTGACATTGTACCTTGATTTTTCTTGATCACTTTCCGATATTCGCTGCAATGAACCAGAATATTCTCCTTGTGCCGCTTCTCTGGCTGCTGGCGACAGTAGTTCCCAGTCACGCCGCCGCACTCTTCCCCATATCACGGTCCGCCTCTGCTTACGTCCCCAATACACCATCGCACGCTGCCACCGTCTCTGATAAGAACGAACAACCGCCTATATCCTACCTCTTCCCCAGATCCATGTCTCCACGCTCAACTTTTAACTTAACGGTCGGCCTTGCTATCGGCCTCGGCCTTGGCGTCATCCTTCTCTTCGTTGTTGGCATTCTGTTCCGAATGGCCATCACTCGTCGAAGACGGGACGAAGCGGTGGCAAGGGCAGTGGAAGCATCCGAGGCCAGGAACACTGATGCACTAGCAAGTGGCGCCGCAATGGGTGAACTGGAAGCAAATAAGACATATAATCAGGCTATATATCAGGCACCGGCGAATGGGCCGTTCCAAGCAGCATCAAGTGAAGTGCATGAGGCACCGCAGAATGAGCGATATGAGCTGGCATGATCAATTACACGAAATCATCCGCTTTTCTCTATACGCTACCATTAATCTCGAAAGGATTTAATGGATTCTATTTCTTGCTGAGAATACGACCGTCATGTACTTTTATGCAACCAGTCAGAATACAAATAATGATTAATCTCCAATGTGCCACTTGGCTTAGATAAGATTGACAGCCTCATCTCCATAATATGATATCATCCATATAGCATATGATCTTGCTCTTCGACACGGAAAAATTATGTGGATGCAGCAACAAAAAGACTCTGCAGATTGACCAGGAAGCCCGATACATGAGTGAACGGCATCCTAATGGATCCACATGGCTTAGAAGCGAATGGAGCAGATATGGGGCAGATATCGGATTATAGAGCCGTCGAATGACAGCATGACTCTTTTTCACTATCGGCACCGCCATCTCTTTCCTTTCGTTATTCGACGCCTAACTGGCGTAATAACGCAGCCTAGGTTAGGGCTTTCAGGACCCATTAGCAAGAGAACCCGAAACCAAGACAATAGAAAGCGATAGAAATTAAAAGACTATCATGCGGTCTACCAACCTCATATTGCCGCTACTGGGAAACTCGACACCTAATAATTCAGGTCCGAGGCTCGCTTAGGACGGATATTCTCGTCTTGGCTTCCCATTCGGGTAAGTCCTCTGAGAGACTCGGGAACCGGGAACAAGGGCTTCTCGGGAACATTTACTATAGAGCCCGTGAAGGATATCCACACCAAACCATGGTACCATCTGTTCTAAAGAATTTATATAGTCACGCAAAAGTTCCAATAGAATAGTGTCCCACTAGCAGTCTGTATAGGCCGATTGTCATCCTGTATACATATTGCCCTGTCTCCAGCGCAGCATAGCATCCGGATCAAAGAACAAGGAAAAAACAGACCAAAATGCCTCTCTCCGTGCAGCACGTCCAACGGGACGACCTCCCCCGAATTCTCGACATCTTCTGCACCTCTATGTCCTCAATAAGCCTCCTCGTTGCCACAGGCGACGTTCCCAGCCTCAGCGGCCTAGACGAAGCCTCCACCGCCACCGCACGCGAACATGCCATCACCCGCTTTGCCGAAATCCTCGACAGCTACCCCAAAGTCCATTTCATGAAGGCTGTGGACGACGAGAATGGTGATATCGCGGCGTTTGCCATCTGGTATTTCTTTTCGGGACCCGACGGCGTGGCGGATTGGAAGGCATATGTGGAGACCGGGGAACGGTTAAGGGTTCCTGTGGGGTGTGATGCGGAAGCATACCGGTATGGATGGAGCAAGATCCATGAGAAGTATCAGGAGGTTTTCGGTGAAGGGAGAGAGCATTTACGTAAGTACTTCACTGCGTTACTCCATTGCCCGGATGATGTATGGCTAATTGTCGGCTTAGATCTCGGACTCCTCGCTACCCACCCGGGTCATGAACGTCGCGGTGCCGGTTCCAAGCTCCTGAACTGGGCTCTCGAACAGGCCGATGAGAAGGGTCTTGAATGCCACCTTGAGGGCACACCTACCGGCTATCCGTTGTACCGCCGGAAGGGCTTTGTCGATGCCTTTGGGGAAGGTAACAGCCTCCTTGACATTGATGTCAGTAAGTACACAGGTAAAGAGGGAGACATGGTGGATTTGACGGCTATGGTTCGGCCTCCTCAGAAGCGGTCATAAAGATAGAGATGTGAAAGGTATCAAGGATGGTATAGTGTTCTTCATAGATCTGCTGCGCGTTGTATATAGATTTCGCATGTAATAGACTTGATAGACGTGATACTTGAATGAGTGCTCAGATTAAAGAATTGACGAAACAACCAAGCTCTAGTAGATCCCTGCAATTCACATGACAATACATGGCGACTTCCCGAATAGAAAAACATGATGCCTTGGATTTTCTCTGACTTTTTTATCTATTTCTGATATATTGTTACTACTTCCACCAATAGCCGAGTTCGGTATCAAGTTATCTTCATTTATGATGTGTAGTTAAGCTCTGGCTGGCCACCGTCTGTTTGTCAGACGCTGTACAAGGATACAACCTGCATATAATTATCCTCGTGTCCTTTCGAATCCCGTTCAGCCTTATTTACAGCCCTGACCCTATGCCAGAGCTGACATCCCGCAGTCGTGCGTGATTACTTCTATTATATGGCATGTCCACTGTGCCAACACGATGTGGATCCATCACAGCCAGACTATTACCGAGTTATGCCTCTTGATAGCGAGAAAATGACCGTTTTCAACGAAAAGCCTGTCTGCGGTGAATACGATTATATCAAAATTGGCGACCTCACAATTGACCCCGGGCTATGCTATCCTGATCTTGAATACATGCAAAAGGCTTGGTGTTTACACACGAGGTGCCTTGCATTTGTTGACCATCTGCCACTCGCAAAGTTATATATTCTTCTGGATTTGGTTGAGCCTACTTTTCTTCGCAGGCGAAATGAGCCAAAGAGTCGATATGGTGACTTCTACTCTCAGCCTATTCAAGAACAAGACCCCATACCAGCGCCTACTGTATCCCCCTCTAGGCAGATGACAAAGAGTCTCTGGGAAGCTTTACGTCATTTTTTTTTTCACTGTACTATCTAAAAGAAAGGAGCAATTGGATAGCCCATCATCACCATTGTCACCAACGCCATACAGCCGAAGTATCAGTCATGACTTTAATTTCATTTAGTAGCAAGACGTAAGAAAAGAAAAAAAAAAAAAAAAAAAAAGAAAGAAAGAAAGAAAGGTTCCAAAAGTGACAGCAATGTTTCTACCATGTTATTACTGTTTTCATTTCCATTGCTGTTACTGACTGTTACTGTCCCGATGATGATACCCCACCGTAAGCACTAAAAAACTTCTTATCATGTTTGCTCCAGGTACTGTTACGCCATCACCAAAGAGAAAAAAAGAAATATATCAGCCTTGGATAGATATCCAATGATCTACAGTTCCGGGCGAGCTGCCAAGGAAACGCTTACATGCGTCGGCATTTTGATTAGGGCTACATTCGATAACCTTAATAGAGCCCGCTAATGTCTCAAGCGGCTGCCACGAGTATGCATAGTGCATATATGCACATACGTCAAGGAGGGAAAATATTCTGTGCTTTTATCGCCGGTACTCCGTGCTATCCATCCACTTTTCACAAACGGATGGCTTAATGAAAATATTCATTGAGAGTGCTAGGGGCATTCTACCGTATTCGCCAATACCAACTAACGCTTAACCATGATAGCTCCGTACTCGAACAAAAGACTTGTTGACGCAGTTAGACTGGGAGCCGCCCTTTTCACACGTCAGAGCACCCACGTAGATAAGGCTGACCGCTTGTCATGTTGGCACAGTTCCTCTCGGATATGTCCGAGAACTAGGACTTATGATACTCAGGATCCAATAATACAAAGGTTGAGCTTAGTGGCCATACATGTACCTAATGAAATTCTTCCAAATTAACTGCCAAGGAGCGATGTGGCCATGATGAGCATCCCTGGTTTCTAGGAGAGAAATACACCCGAGAACAAGTACAGGCCGTCAGTCCTACTGCGATATAGAACCGCCTAATTAATATCCCGCTTCAATCGCGATAATACCCAAGAATACTCTGAAAAATGCCCCTGATCTCATCCATTTGAGTATATCGCAGAGCTCTACCTCCGATTACCTCAAGAGTCCCCCCAGCACCAACCTTGAGGAACTCAATAGCAAGGGAACCATCGCTCGCCAAAGTCGAAAAGGCATAGCCATACTGCCTTGGGCGTTGCCACCGTGAGCCGTTGAACGTGTTCTCCGCGACTCTACTAACCAAGTCCTGTCGCATATCATCAATCTATTGTGTATGGGAGATTTCGCCACACATTACGATGTCCAAATTCATGATGATCGCCACCTCGGGGGTGTCCTGGGGTTCATTGGGGAACACTTCTTTGTTGAATATTCCAATATCGGGGTGGGAGTCGGCAAATAGTTCTTCGAGATATTTCACGACGAACGAGTGGATGTCTTGGAGATTGTAGCTCTGGGTATCCATGATGCCTGTCTGTACGGCTTATTAACTAATTGTCAATAAAGGTCAAATGAAAGCCAGGCTAACTAACCTGAAGTGTGACAATACACAGATGAGTCAAAAGAGCTCTGAGATACTCTCGTCTGTTGTAAATGAGGAAAGAGAAAAGGGACTTCTATAAAGCACTTTTAATCGCCTGTATCTCTTCAACCTGAGCCCAGCTTACCCCTCTCCAGTCCACTACACAATGCAGTCTTCCGGGACGGAGTCGCAAATGTATGCATGGTATGCCACGGGATCCTTGTCGTGCTTGCTCCAGGTCTTGCCATGCGCCATCAAAGCATATAAAGAAAGCCATTGAATAGATGTCCGATTATCTACAGTTCTGGGTAGCCAAGATGATGATGGTGAAAGGTTTACATGCGCCGGCATTCTTTTAGGTCTACATTCGATAACCTTAATAGATCCCATGGTGGCTGAACGGATGACTCAATGAGATCACCGTAATGCCGATTAGTTAGCCGTTCTTGTTAATTTCAGCATAGGCTCGTTTTGGCTTGTCTCGTCAAATTGAATAATACCCCGGGGTGATGAGTGTCACTAATTACTTCTAATCGGTTATAGTGAAACAATCTATGCTTCCATAGTCTTAGTCTTCCTTATACAGCAAATTTAAGTAGTGGGTTGAGTCGAGATGACTACAAGTATTCGAGGTATGTAGTTCGTAATAGAAGAAGATCCTGTAGAGTTCAAAAATTCTCGGTCATCGTTGTTAATTCTAATGCATGTGTGTATTTCAGTTGAAGTCGATATTTAATGGCTGCCATCAGTGGTTTGATATCAATCTCGCATAGGTGCTTATGTACAAACACAGACCCGAGGCATATAACTAAGTAAGAAAGGGGGATTATTTCTTAGCTGCCGGGACATCTTCATACCCTTCCTCCATGAATGACCGCAGCGCCTCCAAGCCCTTCTCCAGCACGTCAGTCTCCTGTACGAACCCAATACGGACGTAGCCCTTGAATTCGGTACCTTCACCAAAGCAAAGACTTCCCGGAACGAACATCACACCAGTTCGTTCCTGGAGCATATCACAGAAAGCTACATCATCCACAGGCTTGCCCAACTTGTTAAACCGCACAAACGCCACGGTTCCCGCGCGTGGTTTCACCCAGTCACACGCCCAGCGATGCGACTCAATGAACTTCTCCAGGATATCAATGTTCTTCTTTGCTAGCTCGATGTTTCTCTTGAGTAAGTTGTGAATGCAGCTCGGGGCAAGTGCGTAGCTGGCGATGGCGTCATCAATCTGGCCCACGGAGATGGTTGTGTAATCACGCGCTGCGGCGCAAGTTTCGATGAGAGAACGGTTTCGCGATGCTATCCAACCCACGCGGGTACCAGCCAGACTGTAGGACTTGGACATGGAGCCTGTAGTAATGGTGTTTTCGTACCCGAGTGATAGGACGGACGAAGGGAAGTCTTTGTCCATGGGGCTGATGGAGTGGAAAAGCGGACGGTATACCTCATCGGAATGGATGATGATAGATTTCTCGCGGGCAATGTCCACAATGTCTTCCAGGGTTGATTGGGGGATGATGGCCCCTGTAGGATTTTGAGGGTTGCTGGCTCAATGTCAGCTTATTATATTCTCAGGTTAAACGAATAGCACGCACTTGATAATAATGAGTTTGGTATTCGGCCTAATGAGCCCCTTCAACTCATCGATATCCAACTTCCACCCTTCTTTCTCCTTAGACTTCCACAAGCTCACCTCAGCCCCGAGAGATTCAGGGACCGAGTAAAGCTGCTGATATGTCGGGTAGTGACAAATGACATGGTCCCCCGGTCCAACCAGGGAGTACAACAGCAGAAAGTTTGCCTGGATGGCACCCGCGGTGATCAACACGTTGTCTGCAGGCAATGCGGTCGGGGTTTTCACCGAGTACAGGTTGGCCAGTGTCTCACGCAGACGTTCCGAGCCGCGAATGGGGCCGTACGTCAGCTTGTTGGACAGGTCAACCACGGGAGATGATTTGTCGTCGGAAATCTCTTTGAGATCATCGACGGAGACAGAAGCACAACATGTCTCTGCGATGTTGTACTTGGCTGTGAGTTCATATTTGTCCATCCACTACAGTGAGTGTCAGTAGGCGAACAATCATGCCGATTGCGGGGAATATACCTGTTCGACGGCGAACGGCTTGACGTTGACCATGGTTGCGACTAGCTGATAGAAACCGAGGGAATGATGATGTTGTTGTTCTTGTATTGTGTTGCGTGGTATTGAAGAGGAATAAATATCTTCACCTTGTTCTTCTTCTTCCTTTTTAATCTCTGTCGTTTACAGGGCGCATCGCCAAATCGGGCTTAGTGTCAAACCAGCCAGGTACCAATCACGTGGTTCTCCGCATCGGTGCAGTCGCAGACGCTCTACACTTGGACAGTCACTCTTCTATTCTGTTTCTGACTGAATTTTTCCTTTCCTCTTTCAAACAATCAATATCTGGTATTATCCTGTGTCATTTATAGTTGCTGTTTCGCATGGTTGCCAGTACTGACAGCTATCCGGTTTCTAGGTGCTGTCTTTCCCGCCCGCGTCATCGTCTCCAGCCTCACCTTGCCGACTACATCCATCGGATCCTGCCATCTCTCTCTACTCACTCCTTCGAATACCAACCGCTTTAAATGTCGTCGCATTGTCGATAAAAGCAATACAACATCGAATCTGCCTCACGAATGGTGAATTACCACCCATATTGATCCCGTCTCGGTGATCCTGTCTTCTCCGCTTCTCTCGGAGGTTCCGTTGGTTTCTCCCCGCTTGGCTAGAGAACGAGAGAAACGAAATGCGTTCAAAGTCAACGGTCCGGTTCTCTCTGCTCACCTGGCTGTCGTGGTCAGCTTTTGCAGCAGCATGGAGCAACTATTCCGACGCTCAACTGCTATCTCCGCGATTCTCGGCCTTGAATGACCGTCCTCCCGAATGTCCGCCTTGCTTCAACTGCCAGCTTGACGCTTTTCAGTGTTCCCAATTCGCGGCTTGCGATAGCTCGACGGGAAGCTGTATTTGTCCCCCGGGGTTCGGTGGTCTCGATTGCTCCGAACCGGTCTGTGGTTCTCTGGCCGACTCAAACCGGCCGCTGCGCAAAGACAAGTACTGTAACTGTGAGGATGGATGGAGTGGCATCAACTGCAATGTTTGCCAGACAGACGATGCGTGCAATGCGCTCATGCCGGAAGGAGAAGGAGGTGTCTGTTACCAGCAGGGTGTCACAGTTAATGAGAACCATCAGATGTGTGATGTGACCAACCGGAAGATCGTGGATTTGCTCGGGGAACGAAAACCGCAAGTGACTTTTTCGTGTGAAGCTGAAGAGCACACGTGCAATTTCCAATTCTGGGTGGATCAAAGGGAGTCGTTTTACTGTGAATTGGATACGTGTGACTGGACACTGGAAACCGACTACAACACGAACCAGACGCAATACAACTGCGACAACATTCAGTGCAAGTGCATTCCTGGACGCATGCTGTGTGGCGAGGAGGGTTCAGTTGATATCGGTGTATTCCTTGAGTTGTCTATCAAAGGTCCAGCCAGCTTCTCGTCCCACTCTACCGAGGGTGGCAGCAAAGAAGATGGCAGCAAGTTCGAGGAGCCAGCGATGAATGAGTTGATCTCCAGCATCTTTGGTGACCCAAGCATCTTCCTCAACTGCCACTCTGGCGAGTGTCTGTACAGATCTAGCGTGCCTGGATACGCCCGCCCGATCAAAACTATCAACACCCCTGTCATCGCCGGGGTCATCGCGGGCTGTTCACTCTTCGTCGTTGCAGTGATCCTGGCCGTGTGGTATCTCTCTCGGAGACCGCATCGTGGATACATCCACCTGCCTCTGTCTGATGACTCTGATGACGAAGCGACCAAGTACATGGCGGACCACAAGCCAGCGGCCTTGTACTGGGATAATGTGTCCTATTACCTGAATGGAAAGGAGATTCTCTCTACCATTCGGGGTGCTGCGCCTCCCGGCCAGATCACAGCTATTATGGGAGCTTCGGGTGCAGGCAAGACCACTTTCCTCGACATCCTCGCTCGGAAGAACAAGCGAGGAACAATCCGGGGTGAATTCTACGTCAACGGAGAGAAGCTCAACGACTATGATTTTAAGAATATGATCGGTTTTGTTGACCAGGAGGACACGATGCTTCCAACGCTGACCGTTCATGAGACCATCCTGACCAGTGCGCTTCTCAGACTACCCAGGGACATGAGCCGAGCTGCCAAAGAACAGAAGGTGTACGATGTCGAGAAACAGCTTGGAATCTACCACATCAAGGACCAGTTGATTGGATCGGAAGAAGGCAAAGGCCGCGGCATTTCTGGTGGCGAGAAGCGAAGAGTTGGAATTGCGTGCGAGCTTGTCACCAGTCCTAGCATTCTGTTCTTGGATGAGCCTACCAGTGGCTTGGATGCATTCAATGCATTCAACGTGGTCGAATGTTTGGTTACGCTGACAAAGACCTACAACCGTACTGTTATTTTCACTATTCACCAGCCACGCTCCAACATTGTCGCGCTCTTCGATAGACTCATCCTCCTGGCTCAAGGTCGGACAGTCTACTCCGGCCCGTTCTCGAATTGTCAGCAATATTTCGATGATTCTGGGTACAGCTGTCCTCCGGGCTTCAACATTGCGGATTACCTTGTGGACCTCACTATGCACGCCAGCGTCTCCCGCACGCGCAGTGACGAAGAACAACCGCTGCTCCTGGATGTTCGCAACGACATTCCCAAGACTGCCTCAAGCAGTTTGAGGGCTGTGAAGTCGGTTGCCAGCGCATCGAATGCAAGCACTGCTGAAGACAACTCTAGTAGCGCACTGGAATCGAACCGACGGCCCCGGAACAAGCGACGAGCGTCTCTGAAGCAACGACAAGACCGGCAGCTCTATTCTCGGAGGAAGGACGTCGATACCTCATCTGCTCCCAAGTCAGATGGAGAGGATGAGCACCTGGACCGACAAGCGGAATCGCAGCAATGGCTTCGACTTTCGCGGCAAACTGGCAGCGTTCCACCACAAGTTCTAGATGATCCGGACCAGTTACCGCCGGCTGCTCCAGGTCAAACTGATCTCGACATTCTGATTGCCAACTATTCCAACTCCGATGTCGCTCATTCGGTACACGATGAGATTGTGACTGCTGTACAGAGTGCCCGTGCCGCCAACGGGTCGGCCAATGCGGACATCATTTCAGGCCCTAATGTAGTGGGACACCATAAGAGCTATGCACGGATTAGCCTGTTCAGACAGTTCCTGATTCTCTCGCAACGAACGTGGCGCAACCTCTACCGGAATCCTATGTTGATGCTGACGCATTATGCAATCTCCATTCTTCTTGGTGTCCTTTGCGGCTATCTGTTCTATGGGTTGACTGATGATATCAAGGGTTTCCAGAACAGATTGGGTCTCTTCTTCTTCATCCTGGCCCTGTTTGGATTCAGCACACTTACCAGCTTGACGGTGTTCTCCGCCGAACGGCTGTTGTTTGTCCGCGAGCGGGCTAATGGCTACTACCAACCCATTACGTACTTTGCGGCCAAGGTTGTGTTTGACATTGTACCTTTACGGCTTCTGCCTCCCATTATAATGGGTATGATTGTGTATCCCATGACTGGGTTGATTCCGGCGTGGGGAGAGTTCTTCCGGTTCATTCTTGTACTTGTGCTGTTCAATCTGGCAGCCGCGAACATTTGCCTTTTCATTGGTATTATGTTCCGGGACGTTGGTGTTGCCAACTTGATTGGCAGTCTGGTGATGCTGTTCAGCTTATTGTTTGCTGGTCTTCTCCTGAATCACGATGCGATTCCGGATTCTGCTTTGTGGTTACAGACGGTAAGTCTCTATCCTTCTCTATTTTCGAAGTCCAAAACTAATTTCTACCCTAGCTGTCCATCTTCCACTACGGTTTCGAAGCACTTATTGTCAATGAAGTTACTTTCTTGACATTGGTTGACCACAAGTACGGCTTGGACATTGAGGTCCCTGGAGCGTCTATCCTCAGCGCATTTGGATTCAACACACAGGCTCTCTGGATGGACGTGATTGGGCTAGGTGTGATCTCGGGGGTGTTTATCATTGTCGCATATGGAGCGATGCATATCTTGCTTGTGGAGAAGCGGTGATATCTATACATCTTGAGACTATTTTCTTTTCGCTTTCGTTTTTGCTGGTCTGGTTTTCTGTTATGAATGGATGGGATAATATGAAAATTGGGTTATGAATGACATGCTTAGAGTATTTCACTGCGATGATTCTGATAGAGATTCTGTATATAGCACTGACTCGAATCTCATACTGTTTGCTTTCTACGCTGAAGAAATGACATAGTCGTAGTAGTAACTGTATGGCTGTCATGAGTCAGTATACCCGGTGCAACGGTCAACTGGCGAGACCACCATACATCATCGCCCACCACTCCAAGCTTGGCCATTAATATGCAAAAATCCTTTAAGTTATTGCTTCAGTATCTCTCCCTCGGCCTTGATATCAATATAATCCTCTTCTTGTCCCCATTTAATCCTCTGTTGTGCCCGGCGTCTCTCAACGTCTTCTCTTCTCACCGCCCACCGTCATCCATTTCCGGGTTTATCTCTAAATCACACACTCCGGACGAACTTCTTCCTTCTCTCCAGCCACTGATAGCAAAACCAAAAGCCGCCATTGCCCGCAGCTAGTGTTACACATTTTCCTTCAGTCGCCAATTCCAGCGTCGTTTCTCCTCCTGTCCATTTTTTCCGTGCAAGCAACGTCAACCTCCGGTCAGCAAGATGTCTGGTGAAGCGTGGCTCTATCTGCTGTCAGTGTTGATCAACGCGGTCAACCTGTTCTTGCAGGTCTTCTTTACGATTATGTACAGCGATTTGGAATGGTAAGATATCTCTCCCTTCCATTTGTCTGGGTCGAGTGTGGTTCTGGTTGGCTTTGTGGCCGGCGGTTGGTCGTGTGTGGGGGAATGAATATGTGGAATCTCGGCCAGGAACATTGGAATGATTGTGACGAATTGAGCTCGTGGGCTGACATTCTTCTTCTTTTTTACCTTCTACAGTGACTACATCAACCCCATTGATCTCTGCAACCGTCTCAACGCCTACATCATCCCCGAAGCCGCCGTTCACGCTTTCCTGACCTTCCTGTTCGTCATCAACGGATACTGGCTTGCTATCATCTTGAACTTGCCTCTGTTTATTTTCAATGCGAAGAAGTGCGTCTCCTTCCCCATTTGGATACTTGACGAGAAGTTGGTCTAACATGGATTAGGATCTTCGAGAACCAGCACCTCCTGGATGCGACCGAGATCTTCCGCAAGCTCAACGTGCACAAGAAGGTAATCTCTCCTTGCTATGTCTCTGGTCTAGTGGGCGCATTGGCTAATACCTTGGGAATAGGAATCGTTCATCAAGCTTGGTTTCCACCTCCTGATGTTCTTCTTCTACTTGTACAGCATGATCGTTGCCTTAATCCGCGACGAATCGAACTAAACTCGTGCAAAAGCCGACCCCCATTATGCGCAATGACTGTTCCGGTTCGAAGTGCATGATATGTGTTCCGTACTAAGTCTCGGTACTCGAATCAAGTGGGAAGAATTCAATTGAAAGCATTGTGGTTTCTGGCCACAACGCTTGTCTAATAATGATCATGGGTATTATGTGTGAGAAAAGAAAAGGTCACGAACTGCGATAGACGACCGGTATGAAACGTTGGAGTTGTGGAGGCTCTTTGGGGGAATTGTTGAGCTGGAGTTCGGAGATGATGATGACACTGGAAGGCATTGCTGTTGCAATGTCTGTCACGATTTCCTTGATCTTATCTGTGTTCTCTTTCTTCATCTTCTATTTGATGTCTTTTTATCTTGCTAGCTTAATGTTGTATATACCTCTCGAGCGTTTGAATGAAGAGCGTACGATACCCTTGGTGTCTGTAATTGTGCAGTAGCATACAGAAGCAGTCAAATGACACATTACGATCAAATATAGACCTTTAAGTTCAATATTCGTACCTTTTGTGGTCATGGCTACTGCTGCATCTACGCGATGCGCTCTTCCCGACGCCCGTAAAATTCCAGACTCCGACATTCTCTCCAACAACAACAACCACCACCTTTCACCACCACAACCACAACTCGTCCTTTGTCGATTGTGACGCGATTAGAGATAATTCTCTACGCCGCGAACAAAATGGCATCGTTACTCGGGGCAGCCTACGATTCCAGCGACGATGACACGACTACCTCGAAGCCTCAGTCGGAACCAGCGACCAAGATTGTCGCGGCGCCTGAAGTGAACACAGAGGTTTGGTCTCCTGGTTTCTTATCTTTTTCTCTACTGCTCTCGACATAATGGGCGTATGGTATCTAACAATTCACAGGACCAAGCACACATGCAGATGATGCTAGCCAACACCTCCTCGACCGCGCTAACCTACAACGCCACCTACGATGATATCTCGCGACCATCTCAAGGACCTTCGAACCCGTTCAAACCCGCCGGTTCGACTGGTAACCTCAAACGGAAGAACGTCCCGACCGGTTTCGCCGAAGAAGCAGCCATCAGTGAGGCCACCTTTGCCACGCAGCACCGCACGTTTCAGAGTCTGGGATACACGCGGAATCCGGGCCTCCCGGGGCATTTAGTGGGAGATATGGATAGTGCTGCGCAATATGGGGGTAGGGATATCGTGCAGATGAAGCCTTCCAAGGAAGCGTCTGCGGCACTGCGCGCTAAGAGGCAGAGGAAGGGCGATTCAAGTATCGTGGAAGGTGATGGGGCGTATATGGGCCCGTGGGCGAAATATCAGAACGATGACCAGGTTTACGAGGAAGAGGCGGCTGAGGTGGACCGGGAGCTCGCCAGCGATGAGGAGTATGTGGAGGTAGATGAGGATGAGGAGGGAACGGCGGCGATGGCTCCGTCGGAGATGCCTGCTATGAGCAAGCAGGCTACGGATTACCAGGACGATGCGTCGAGGGTGGAAACGACCGAGTTCCACGGCTCGGAGCAGTACGACTACCTGGGAAGGACGTACATGCATGTTCCGCAGGATCTGGGTATCGATTTGCGGAAGGACATTGGGAGTGTCAAGAACTATGTGCCGAAGAAGTTGGTACATACTTGGAAATCGCATACAAAGGCTATTACGTCCCTGCGGTTCTTCCCTGGTGCTGGACATTTGTTGCTTTCGTCAGCTGCAGATGGAAAAGCTAAGATCTGGGATGTGTATCATCAGCGCGAGCTTCTGCGGACGTTCTCTGGTCATTCTAAGTCGGTCAATGATACGGACTTCCACCCTACTGGTAAGACGTTCCTTACGGCGTCTTATGACCGCCAGATGAAGCTCTGGGATACCGAATACGGCAAGTGTATTGGCCGGTACTCGACTGGCAAGACACCGCACGTCGTGCGCTTCAACCCAGGCCCAGAACACTCGCACGAGTTCCTTGCCGGTATGTCAGACAAGAAGATTGTGCAGTTTGACACTCGTTCGGGCGAATTGGTGCAGGAGTATGACCACCACCTTGCCGCGATCAATACCCTGACTTTCGTCGACGAAAACCGCCGTTTCATCTCTACATCAGACGACAAATCCCTGCGCGCTTGGGAATACGGCATCCCCGTACCCATCAAGTTCATCGCAGAGCCGTACATGTTCGCTCTCACGCGCGCGGCACCCCATCCAAATGGAAAGTATGTTGCTTTCCAGTCCGGCGACAACCAGATCGTCGTGTACGGTGCTACGGATAAGTTCAGGCAGAACCGGAAGAAGAGCTTCCGGGGACACAACAACGCCGGATACGCCATTGATCTCAAGATCTCGCCCGACGGACAGTTCATCGCGTCGGGTGACAGTGGCGGTTATGTGTGTTTCTGGGACTGGAAGACGGGCAAGATGTATCATAAGATTATGGCCGGTGGAAAAGAGGGAGGAGGGAATGCCACGACATGCTTGGACTGGCATCCTCAGGAGACGAGCAAGCTTGTTACTGGTGGATTGGATGGTGTTATCAAATATTGGGATTGATTTTCTGTTTATACATAGCTATAATCACACTTGGTTACAAACAACCCTTTTTAAGGAGCAGGGGTCTTGGGCTTCAAAACACCCCTCTCCAACAACGTCTTCAAAAGCGTCACAATTCCCTTGATCGCAATACCAGCAATCAAATCCCCATCCCCAGAATCCGGATCAAACTGACAAACCACCAACGCCTTCGGCAAGCTAACCCTCTTCCCCACCACCTCCAAAGACCGAACCAAATCCCCTTCCAAAAGTCCCCCCTCGGACGGATAATCATTCACCTTGCCGTAAACCCCAGCATCAAGAACATCCAAATCAAGATGCACAACCGCATCCCCAAACGGATCCTTCTCAAGAATCTTCTCCAACTCAGCCCCGAAGTCCGTCCGCGGGTTCAGATTCCCGCCCCAGATCGAATCCATACCCGCCTCAACAACCCGTTCCCGCTGTAAGTCGGATTGATCGCGCAAGCCAACGTACAAAAGTCGGTTCTGGTTCGAGCGGTAATCGAATGGGTTTGACGGGTCATACCCCGGAACCGTACTCATAAGCTTCTTCCAGCTTTCCCCGCGCAGCATGGAAAGACCCATCGCATCAAAATACCCATTCTCATTGACATCCGGGGAATCGAGATCATCATGCGAATCAAAGTAAATAAACCCTAATTTCCCCTCTTTCTTTTGCCCCTGCACCTGTGCCTTCTCCAACCCACAAGCAACAGCAACACTAGCCATACAATTCCCCGACAGCACCAACGGCCAGGTACCCCTCTCCACAGCCTCCGCGACAGCCACAGAGGTACGGCGCATAACCTCAAAACTGCGACCAATCTCGCCCTCGAAGTTGTTGACGCGAGGGATCTCGTGGGTTTCGATAGTTAGGCCGAGAGAGGTGAGTTGTGGGAGGAGGTTTTGGGAGAGTATGTGGTGCGGGCCTTTGCCTACGCGGTGGGCGTGGAGGCCGGTGTGGAAGGGGGAGATTATTAGGGTTATTGTTGACATTCTGGTTTGGTTTGGTTTAATGGATTGGGTTTGATGGTGGTTTGCTATGTCCTGGGGTTGTGATATGGGGTATATATATTTGAAGGTTTTGGAGGTGTTCGTTGGAGGTGTTCGTTGGAGGTGGGTATGATATCTATTGACGATAGTATGGAGTAGGTGTAACAAAACAATAAAAGTTAACACTATTTTTGCCCTATGTACTAAAAACTAACCAGTCTACTAGTGCATGATTCCGTATATCCCTGCATAAGTTTGGTTGGCCCTCTCTCATAGGATGCCGAAAATGTTCCAGGCCCCAAATTTGCAGTAGTCTCAGTAAACATTTACACTAATTCTGCTCTTTGAAATTCTACTGGCATTGCCCACAGTGGATTGGCCTATCAGGCCAGTGCGTGAAGCCACTAAATTCTGACCTGCTTGATACGGCTTATCGCTGCTCGTAATCGTATTCTATGCGACTGGAAACACCATGGGAGACCACAGCTCGACTATGTATGGGCCTGGTATGCGCATCTCTTCTTTGATACAGGATATATCGGATTTGGCGACTAACTTCGTGGGTTAGCCAGCTCTGGGAGCAGCATTGAAGGTGCGCAAGGACCTCGAGAAGGGCGGGAAACAGATCGATATCCTTGTCAACAACGCCGGGGGCTCCATCTATGCGCCTATCGAGACCAGCACCGAGAAGGAGGTTCGCGCCCAGATGGAGACCATGTACTTTGGCTCGCTGCGCCTGATTCGCGCAATTCTTCCTCACATGCGTCAACGTCGATCTGGTGTGATTGTAAACATGAGCAGTGGTGTCTCACTCGACGGTATTCCAACGATGGGGGTCTATTGGGGGTGCTAAGGCTGGCCTGGATGGTATGTGGAATTCTACGCTAACATATATCTCTTTTGTTGGACTTTGTAAATAGCCAACAATGTAATATAGCTCTCACCAAGATTCTCACCAAGATTCTCGCCAAGGAGGTTGCTCCCTTCAACATCCGCACATTGACTGTTATTCTGGGTACCTTTAACACCAACATGTCCAACTCTGTCGTCCTAGGAGACCCCTCTCCCCGACGACTACAAGGGTACCTTCACCGAGCAGGTCCAGGGGCTCCTTTTGAGCGGGAATATCAGCCCCAAAGGTGACAAAGACAAGTCCATGAAGGCCCTGTACCAAGTTGTGGTTGGCGAAGGCGTGGGTGAGGGATATGAGGTTGAGAAATTGTTGCTACTGGGAAGCGATATGACTCCTCGCCTGAAGGGGGTCCAAGATTATCTCGGTCACGCCCTGGATGTGTTTGGCCTTATGACCAACAATGTTAATGTGGATAAATAGATGCGCAGTTACTCTCGGATAGGACAATCTACAATGTTATTGCTTCTGTGCTGACCACAAACAATACTGGGTATAACACTTGCCAGAATGCCAGTATATGAACATTAATTCATAATTTAGAAGTTCACAATGATAAACGCAGACCAAAAAAAGAGATGGTCAGTTTCCAACCAGTAGGTTGATGATGCCAGCGCTTTGATGAAGGATGGCAAGGGCAAGGGTAAGAGGGAACAGCGGCCAGAAGGAATATAAGGGAAACGGACATGGGGTTGACACAATAGCATGGTACATTTTATTGACTGTACAGTAGTTGTGAGCATATAGAATCCATCCGTAAAGTGAACTTATTAAACAGTACTTTTGCCCTATGTACTAAAAACTAGCCATCTCAATCCAACTCGCCACAAACGCCAACCTCCGTTGCCGATCCGCCGCCATCCGTTTCGAAAACTCCTCAAAATTCAACTTTGCCCCGGTCCCGCCCCGCTCCTTCGCTTCCTGCTCAACCTGGTTCAGGAATGCCCACCGGGAAAGCATCCGCGGTGTTGGCCGGCGGGTTGGCGATGCTTCTTCTGTCTCTAGTGGGAGGGTGGAGGTTGAGGCGGTTGGGGCTGGGGGGAGGGGTTGGATTGGTGAGGGGGGTTGTTTGGGGGCTGTTGCTTCGGCTTCGGGGGAGGATGAGGGGAGGGAGGAGGGTATGGGGAAGGAGTTGTTGGGTTGTAGGCGGAGGCGGAGGGGGAGGGTGGTTCCTTCGCGGGGTGTAGAGAGTTGGATTGGTAATTCGTTGGGGCGGTTTTGGGGAAGGGTAGGGTCGTAGTCGGGTGTTGTAGGAGCGGATTCGTCGTGGGTTATTTGTAGTTCAGGAGTTACCGGGCGAGGAGCCGGCTCGTCGAGTCCCTCGGAGGATTCAAGTTCCGGCATGTCCTCGTAGTCCTCGTCTTCAGTCTCCTCTCCCTCTCCCTCTTCTTCTTCTTCTTCTTCTTCTTCTTCTTCTTCTTCTTCTTCTTCTTCATCTTCTTCCTCTTCCTCTTCGTCGTCATCCGGTTCAGCGAGATGGATTGGCCTGACGTCGTCATCAGGAACCCTGAATCTTGGGGGAGGAGCAAGTACAGGACCACCAGTCTGAGAAGGCTCCAGAGGCGGACTGTCAACTGAGTATCCTGTTCGTTCTAGCAACTCGTCGAGGGACCTCTGTTCCACTGCGGCACGATGCCTGCTTTCAGGTTCATCTCCCGTGGCCTTTTGCCTGTGTGGATCGGTCTGCTCAAACAGCTCAATCTCGCCCGCCCAAATTTTCCTCTCGGTACGTGTCCGATTTACTTCCATGAGCAGGTCTTCCTTGGGTTTAAACAAGATGTCGAGCAGCTCGTTGAACCCTTGCTGCGTGACCTGGTACAAAACCTCCTTGCCCACATCTCGCTCAACCTCGGGGATCTCGAAACCACCCCATCGTTCTCCGACAGGAATACTTCGAGACGAAGTCGTAGACCGGATCTCATAATCATCAGTGAAATCATCCTGGAATCGGACCTTGGATGAAGACCGCGAGCGGGGCGATGGCGGGTGCGACTCTGAAGCTAAATTCTGTTCATCGATGGCATCCTCATCTTCGTCTTCGTCGCTCGAACCGTCATAGTCAGGATCTCTCTGGTATCCCTCGGGAATTGTAGCACCGTCTTCTTCATCGGTGTAAAACGCTCTCCGCCGCCAGCGCTCGTCAATGCCGTAGCGGCGAGCTTCATCAACTCGCCTCTGGTCATCATCCCGCATGCGGTGGTAAACAGCCGTTCCAATTCGTGCTCGGTCGACAGGGTCGGTGATCTCTTGAAGAGGAACCGGGGCGCCAAGAGCGTTGATGACATCCTCCTCGAGTATGTGTTCTACCGGCGGCCAATGGTCACTGGTGATCGATGAGCTCGACGCATCCTCAGACTCGCTATCTTCCTCATCTTCATCCTCGTCCATATCTTGACCTATGCCGTCGACCCCTGGGTGATGGGAGTCTGTGGCCGAAGCCAGACGAACAGTAGACGGGAACATGGGTCTCACACGTCCAAATTGCCCACGGACAGCAGAATCTCCAACAACACTATAGCGATCACCAGTATCGGAGCCGTCATGTCGCAGGACACCCTCATTATCCATGACCTCCATATCGCCTTCCCGGTTGATGCGCTTTCCTTCGCCGATTCTCGATGGCTCCCCGGAGGGAATACTGCCGGGGAATGCGGAACTGATAGGCTGGCTACCCAGAACCACATCCCGCGCACCACCTTCCAAGAAGTCATCTTCCAAACCGGCGACCATATCCCGTGTGAGTTCGCGGCTAAGAGCGTAGTATGCCCGGAACACACGCAGGAAGTCTTTCCGTTCCACGAAGCCGTCTCCATTGATATCATATCCACGGAACACACGGCGCAGGCGTTCATCGTTGCTCTTGTTATTGAGACTAGCAAGACCTCTCAAGAACTCCTCAAAGCCAATCAGGTTATCGCTGTTGGTGTCGTAGAATGCAAACATGCGATCGTAGATAAGACTAGGAGGAGGCGGCCGGATAGATGTGTTGGGCACAAAGCAGCGATCAAACGTCTTGCGGTCAATAGCCATGTACAGTTTGTTAGGATCATCCGGCCACTCGTAGTTGGCAAGACAGCGGAACTGGTCCCACAGAGCATCCAACTCTGTATTTTCAAAGCCCGTCCCTTTCATGAAACGCTTGGCCAGATTCCGCGGGAGGCTGCGAGGAAGCATCGCCGGTTTTCCGGGGTACCAAACGGGCTGAGACTGTCGAGGGTTTCCGAGGAACGGCGCAGGGATTCTGACTTTGTAGAACAAATGCGTCTTGATGTGCACCTGCATCGCTTCACACGTCTCGCACAGGTCGTAGTCGATGCAATTCGCACATCGATACCGAATGCCTTGGATGGGCATGGCGTTGCAGCTATTGCACGTAACTCCTCGATGAATATACCCATCCTGCCGCGACTGGTCCTCTGCGATATGATACAGCAAGTTGAGCAGATTCTGGCCCTCCCGCGTAGGCGACGTGTCATTATTCCCATCTCTCCACGAAAACACGCTTTGGTCATCCACCACAGTATCAGCATCCATATTCTGCGCGGGCACTGAAACATCCGGAAAAGTCGACGTCGACAGCGTCACCCGCTCCCCATTCTGTCTTCTATGCCGTAGTTCCTCCCCATAATTACTGTTCTCATTGAACTGCGCCAGCGCCCTCTCAACCCCAGCCCGCGAAATGCCCCGCCGCTGCAACTGCTCCGACAAGTAATTCCTCTCAGCACTCCCGTCCTCCAACACATGTTCGGGCGGGAAATCCAACGCAAGAAATGACTCCAAAAACGTATCCTCCATCATCTCGCGCATCCGCTCCGCATGGGCTGGCGGCACCCCAACTTCCTCCATCAACTGGTCTCGCGTCGCCAGCAGCGACGGCAGCAGGCCACTTTCCACCCGTCGTCCATCTTCGGTTTCGATTCGGAATGTACCGTAGACTCCGTTTTGGCGCTCGAGTTGTTCGAGATGTGTGATTGCGCGGTAGGAGGGTGTCTCGGTGACATCGTCGGGGTCGTTTCGTCTCCGGCGGACGGCGTTTCGGCGGCGGAGGGAGGAGGATGTCTGCTCTGGGGTAGGGGAGATGATGTTATTATGGATGTAGACGAGGGCGTAGGCTGCTACGACACCGGTGAACAGGTAGAGCAGAGGGCGGTATCGCGAAAGCGACGTCGGGCCCGAGTGCGACTCTGGCATGGTGGAGGGTCAACGTGCTTTTTTGGCGGTCAAGGCACTGGATCCATTGTCGAGGATTTGGTATGAAAGGGAAGGAAATAGCTGTATGTATTGCTATTTCTGTCCCCGGAATTTAAGCGGTATTTGGACTGGACGAGGCTGAAGAGGTGTATGTGTGAAGAATAATGTTGCACTGAATTAAATCTAGCCCAGCGGAGACCGCCTTCTGCATGAACGAGGATATCGATAGTTTACTATGATATAGTTACATATAGTTCTCTAATTTATTTGGATGCTATGAATAGATTGAATTTCAAACTTTTTTTATCAAACAAGTCGCAGACTCAGAAGTACTCATAAATACAAAATCAGGGCAACTTCTATATATATCACCACCTCCGACATACATCCCTCAACCAGATCCTCCTTCTCTCCTACCGTTTTTCTTTTTCTTTAGTTCGTAAAACGTTATGGTCTTTAGTGCATCATGCGAGACAAGTTTCAACGGTTAAGCCTCTTCTCGCGGATGAAAAAGCTGCTCAAAAGAGCAAGGATTACAATGCCAATCATAAATGCGAACCCTTTGTTCGTTGCCCAGCCATAAGAGCCGCGAACGATCCTGGCGACTGCCGGATCAAGGGTTCTGATGTAGTCAAGACTCTGTCGCACCCCGTCCACGATCTTATCGATGTCTTTGCTGTCATGCAGCGCGGACCTCAGTCGAGTTCGAAGGAGTTGCTGGACCACTGTGGAGGACAGAGAAAGCCCAATCACTGATCCTAGCGAGCGGAAGAGATATGAGCAGGCAGTAACCACCGCTTGATCCTCAGGATTAGCGTTTGAGACTAGAGTACTGGTTAGCAAGATCACAAGAAACAGATGAGCTGTTTAGGTCACTCACTCAATGCAATCAATGTCGTCGTGACACCAATGCCGTTTCCAAAAGCAGATATAACCATAGACACGATCATACCAACTGTGCTGGGCACTGCACCGCCAGAGAAAAGGAAGACCCCGGTGATTCCAAGAGTAAGGGAGGTATAACCCGCCACAGTTAGCCAGTAGTATTTTCCGGTCCATTTCATGACAAATCCAGCAAAAAGAGAACCGAAAACACCGGTGCAAATACTCGGGAGGAGTCGCAGTCCGGACACAGTGGCAGAAACACCGTCAACCGCCTGGAAATACAACGGGATGTAGAAGAGTACCGCAATCCAGCTGCCAAAGCTAGCAAAGTTGCAACCATAATTGGCGAAAAATGTTCCGTCAAAGATGATGTATCCGGGAGCGAAAGGTTCTGCTGCGAAGTATACCTCAATGATAACAAAGACAATGAACAGCACCACAGAGACCGACAAAGACGCAATTGTCAACGGCATGGTCCATGACACATTACTTCCCCGGTCGAGGCCAAGAAGGAAGCCGAGCACGGCACCAACAAGGACAATTGCTCCAGCGAAATCGACACGGCGGAGCTTGGCCTTCCAATGTGTGTCTTCTTGCACTGGTAAGTCCAACATTAACGACACCGCTGTAAATGCCATGATGCAGAGCGGCGCTTGCGCGATGAAAGCCCTGTGAGTAACAAATTAGACGAATGCAACTAAAGCGCCAGTTTAACATAGAATTCATACCAACGCCAGCCGATAAAATCAGCCAAGATACCACCTTATCCGATAGTTAGTACAGAGCAAAACCTTAGTGAACAAGAATGACCTACCCAAGGGTGCACCAATTCCTGCACCGGTGGCATAGACGATATTGATAATACCCTGCCATACTCCTCGCTCACGTAGTGGAACAAGATCACTCATAAGGATACTAACAACGGTGGTCATACCACCTCCTCCAATACCTTGGAAGACCTATGATCTAGTCAGCCATGATACCATAGCTAGTGCTACTGAAAAGACCACATACACGCGCAGCAATGAGATGCTTGATATTCTGTGATAAGCCACAGAACAAACACCCCATCCCAAAAATAGCATACGCAAATAAGAGACATTGTTTTCGGCCGAAAATATCACTCAATTTGCCGTACAGGGGTTGAAATGACGTGAGTGTCAGGAAGTACGAAGTGGCTATCCAATTGGTCAAATTGAGGGCCTTGAGGTCACTTCCAATCTGACCATAACTGGCCATAATAATAGTCTGGTCTGCCGCAGATAGGAAAACCTAGTATTCTGGTCAGCACATTTCCGCAAGGAAGAAGTAGAAGATACATACTCCTATAGAGACTGCCGGGACGATGTACCGGAGAGCAACATTCTTGGCTTGTGCATCTCCATGTCCTCCAGTCTGCTGCTCCGAATGAACACCTTCTTCACCTTGAACTCTGGAAATTGCCCCCGTTGAGGGAGGGAGAGCATTGCTCTGTTCTCCGAGCAACGGGGAGGTCTCTGTCGGATTTCTTTCCGGTGCCATTTGTGCGCGTGTCCACGAACGAAAAATAATCTCTCAGTAGGTCAGTCTCAAGTGCGCCAGCTGTCCATCATATAACTATCGCACCCCAAATGACTCAGCGGACAGGAGGTTGTGATAAAGAACGGTCAAGGCGAGCTGAAAACAGTGACTCTACTTCAGCCTCAGGTACCATGTAGTCACGTGGTGATAAGATGCCCCGCAGCCCTGACAAATCCGGACAATCCGAGCAGAGTCTGAAAATGTCGCTTCTGATTGGTTCGGTCGAGGCTATTTTTCAGACCTTCCGGTCCATATTGGAGATTGATAAGACTTCTACACAGTACTCCGTAGCATTGCTGTATTGCACAAGTACTTTGTCCTATCATCTCAACATCGTATGCAATTGTCGTAAATCTTCTACTCTAGTGGGTACTATTCAAACTCCACATATGCAAAACGCCTCGGAAACTCATACTACCATTCCGTTAATTTGCACTCGCCTCCGGCAAAGGAACCGGCCCGCCAGGGGATTCCGGAAACCGAGCAGTCAACACCTCAACGCCGTCTTCAGTGACAAGAAGGGTGTGTTCAAACTGAGCAGACAATGTCCCGTCTGCCGTAGTGCTCGTCCAGTCATCGGGCCATGTGCGATCCCGGTGAGTACCAATGTTAATCATGGGTTCAATGGTGAAGCACATGCCAGGCTTCGCAGTACCCACGGCCTTGTTCTTCGCGTAATGGGGAACATTTGGTGCGCAGTGGAACAGCTGGTTGATGCCGTGACCACAGTAGCTCTTGACCACACTGCAGTTCCGGGTCTTTGCGTGCTTCTCAATCACATTTCCAGGATCCCTGAACAGCATGCCGGGCTTGACCAACTCAATCGACTTATCCAAGCATTCCCGTGCGGTCTCCACGACCTTCACAGCATCTGGATTTGCCTTGGCCTTGTCTCCAACATAGTACGTCTCGTTGATATCTCCGTGGAATCCTTCATGGTACAGCGTAACGTCAATGTTGATGATATCGCCATCCTCCAATGGCCGCTGGTCGGGGATACCGTGGCAGATGGTTTCGTTAATCGAGGTACAGACCGACTTGGGGAAGTTCACGTAATTGAGCGGCGATGGATACGACTGCGCGGTCCAATTAGTAAAAGCACTCTTTCCGTCTCAAAAAGGTAACGTACGTTGCGTTCAACACAGGCCTTGTGAACGACTTCATCAATGTAGTCTGTTGTGACACCAGGTCGCGACTCCCGCGCAGCAATATCCAACACTTCTCTTGCGAGTCGGCAGACCTTCCTCATGCCTTCCTGCTCTTTCGCGTTCAAAATGGTAATGTTGTGCCGGCCAACGAACTTCTGCTCCGATCGAGGGAAGCCATCTTTGGCGTAGTCGGGGTGAGGAATGGATTTCGGGATGGTGCGCATCGGGGACAATGGGTAGACAGGTCGCAGGGAGCCGGTGTATTGGAACGACGGAAAAGGGTTATAGTGTCCCGTGGCTGGATCTGGTTCAGAAACTACTTTTGGAGGGAAGATGTTGGTGAGGATATTACTCTTCTTGTGAATGGACTTGTGGTCACTCTGTATTCGACAATATCAGTAGCTGGTTTACTCTACCATCCGCGCAAGAGACCTACCCAGCTCCGCTTGAAACAGTTTTGCGAGCAGAAGAAGCTATCGGTGCCCATCTTCAAACATGTCGGGCATTGCAGAGTACCAGCGTCGTTCTGGCAATCCAGCCCAGTACATTTCCGAGGAGCAGTTGCCGCAGCCATATCGAATCCAAAATCAAAGAATAAATACTTTCAAATGTGACTTCAAACGATTGTCGCGGTGAGATTTGCGAAGCAAAAATCCGAATCCCCGCGCAGGACGAAACCATCTGATGCGCTAGCCTTATCAGGTTAGTCCCCTGATGGTTAACGGCTCCAGTATGTGGCTGATGTGCTTAATAATGATATATGTGGCGTGTCAATATAGTTTCCGTTTAGAGCTAGCAGCGCACTAAGACTATTCTGTCGGTGACGACGACTGAACTCATTCTTGTAGACGTCCCGCGTTCACTTTCTGTTTTGCTAGCGAATAAAGACTGAGAGAAGATAGTAGCTGTCAGGTGCTGTTGCATGGTCGTTGCAATGACAGAAAAGTCCAAGCAAAAAGTCGTCATTGTGGGCGCGGGGCCAGTGGGCTCCCTGGCTGCATTGTATGCCGCTGCCCGGGGCGACGAAGTTGAAGTATACGAATTGCGCGGAGGTACTTCATCAATTGTTGTATTTTGTATGATGAATGCTTGCTAACTGGCTCAGACCTCAGAAATCCGGCTACTATGCCGTTGAACTTCACCAAGTCCATCAACCTCGCCCTGTCCGAGCGTGGAATCGCGTCTATGAGGCAGTCGAATCGGCCGGCGCTGGTTGAGAAAGTCCTCAATGCGGCTATTCCCATGCATGGACGCATGATTCATGGCCGGGACCATGGAAAACTCTGGGAAGCAGCACAGGCATATGATGTCCATGGTCGCGTGAGTCATTGCCTGATATATACCGCCAGATCAATGCTAATTCAAGTTAGGCAATCAATGCAGCGGACAGATCCACGTTGAACAACGCTCTACTGGATGAATTGGAGCAGACGCCAAACGTGAAGCTCTTCTTCAACCACAAGCTCACTGGCGCGGACTTCCATGCAAACAAAGCATGGTTCGAACGTCGTCTACCCGGGGAAACTCCCATCCCCAATTCATCCAACAGAGCTCCGGAAATCGAAGTATCTTTTGATTTTCTCATTGGAGCAGATGGCGCACACTCAGCAACACGCTACCACCTGATGAAGTTCGCCCGGGTGAACTACGAACAAGAATACATCGACGCACTCTGGTGCGAGTTCCGTATCCCACCCACAGAGAATGGAAACTTCCGCATCTCCCCAAAGCATCTGCACATCTGGCCAGGCACGGAATTCATGTTCATCGCCATCCCTTCGTCAGACAGATCATTCACCTGCACCCTCTTCGCCCCGGCACAGCACTACATCCACCTCCAAAACTCCCCAGAAACCCTCATCGACTTCTTCGACGCCCACTTCCCAGGCGTCTGCCCAGACCTCATCACCCCAGACGCCCTAGCAGAGCAATTCGCCACAAACCCACACCTCCCCCTCATCAGCATAAAATGCACCCCGCACCACTTCAACTCCTCCGCCGTCATCCTCGGCGACGCCGCCCATGCTGTCCTCCCCTTCTACGGCCAGGGCCTCAACGCCGGCCTCGAAGACGTCCGCGTGCTCTTCGACATCCTCGACTCTCACGGTGTCTACACCTCCCCCTCCGCAGAATCCAGCACCCTCGCCCGCCACACAGCCTTCCAAGCCTACACCACCCACCGCGCCCCAGACACCCACGCCATCAACGACCTCTCCAAAACAAACTACCTCGAAATGCGCTGGGGCGTGAAAACCCCCCTCTACAAGCTCCGCAAGTCCTTCGAAGAAGCCCTCGATCGCTACTTCCCTCGTCTGGGCTGGAAGACGCAGTACGCACGCGTGAGTTTCAGCACGCAGCGGTACTCGGAGGTTATTCGCGCGGCGCACTGGCAGGGACAATTACTTGCGTTGGGGTTCGGGGTTTTTGGTGTTTGGGGGGCTGTGATGGCTGCGATGGGGATGTGGAAGAGTCCTGGGCCTAAGTTTCAGGTGCTTGTTAGGGGGTTGAGTCATCTTTGGGTGAGGCTTTCGAGGAATGCGGCCAAGTCTGCGTAATTATCTTTTCTATTGCTCTATCCTATTGTATGTATGTAGTTATTTGGAATAAATAAAAGTTTTATGTAGACAAATTAACCCCAATTTCACTGATATAGCACGATATGTTCATACCATAATTCCACAACCGATCCTCCCACAACCGATCCTCCCTCTGATGAAATCAAACAAGAATCCGGAATTCAACAATCGGCCGGATGGTGTAGTTGGTTATCACGTATCGTTAACAGTTCAAACAACTGATTCCGATAAGGTCCTGGGATCGAGCCCCAGTCTGGTCATTTCTTTTTGCTTCGTCTCGTTTAGTTCGAGGTAAATTTTTTATTTTTTCTTATTTCTTTTTTATTTTTTTTTTTCAACTCCGTGGTGCCGTGGTGTGGTGGGTGCGTGTGGGTCGGGTCGGGCCAGTATGGATTGAATTGGATTGGATCGGATGGAAATCGGGTGTGTCGGTTGATTGTCGGATGTCAATTGAATTGTGGATGGATGTCAATTAGCGAAAAGAAAGTGAAAGCGAATGAAATGGTCGTTATCGTTAGTTGTTGTACTCCGTAGGAATAGAGCATTTCCTTCTCTTTTGGGCTGGGTAGCAATCAAGCAAAAACCAGTGTCTTCCGGGACACTTCATCCAACAAGAGTAAGCCAGTAGTGCTACATTCAGACAGTGCCTCGGCAAATAAACCAGTGAGTCCCAAGATAAAAGGACAAGACAAGACATATCGGATTTAGACAGAGAGACAAACGGATAGACGTAACAGTCGTGAGTATTTTTTTTTCCCCAGCCGGTTGGACATTTGACAACAAGACAACACGGTAGCACAGTAGTAGTAATGGAGTATGCAATATGCCCGACAAACCAAAGATGTATGTAATGTAGCCTTCCTCCAGCCTCAAGATGCAAAAGGAACCGAACCAATCTTAGCCAACCAGAGAGGGGCACGAAGAATATCCGAAATGAATACATGAGCAGCAACATCATCAACAACAGGAAAGGCATCAAGAAACGCATGCGAAAAACGGGCAAATCCATGGGTCATTTCATTTCATCATTTCATCATCGTCACAAGACAAAAAAAAAAAAAAAAAAAAAACGCTGTAGTTCGAAAATGGAAACGGTAACAATTTTAAGAAATTCGTTGCTTATGCTGTCGTTTTATAGCCGTAGGTAGATAATCCTGGATAACCTGGGAATGGAATAGGCATTGTAAAAACCGAAGGAAACTGCTTGGCCTCAGCATTCTGTAAAAATCGGACGGACAATTCCTTCCTGGCAACTGGATAGTTGAAATAGAGCAATCCATGGTGAATCCAAAGACGGATAGACTGGCTGTGGCACCTTTTTTTTTTTTTTTTTTTTTTTTTTTTTTTTTTTCTTCCTCCATGGAGACGGAGTCATCAATAATATATGCCATGGGTGGATATCCAAAATTGTCCTATGGGTCCGGTGTAATCCAACAATGGCCAAACGGAAATATGTAGACGGCGATATCCAGGACGAAAAAGAGATAACAATAGAAAACAAAAAGAAAATCGTTCAAGGCGCAAACTTCACACGGCGACTCTTTCGTTGATGGATAAGTCTTTCTGTATCAACATACAGTTGGTCCATAAACTCCATGGCACAACAATCCTTAAGGATCTTTGCGACCTGGGTCCCAGCGGAGATGAGCTGGAGTACATTGCGATCATCCTTGATGGGCCGGGACTGGTGCTTGGCAGCATGCCTCATTTCCAGGGAGTTCTCCAGGACTGTAACTAATTGCTTGATCTGGCCGTTGTACAACAACCGGGCTGGAATCCGGCGCTTGGTGGCCAGTCTCTTCAGAAGGTACACCCATTCGGTCCATTCTCGGTCAGTAGGTCCGTTGACTGTTCTCTTGTCTGCTTCCACTGGGACTGGGAATTGGTACTTGGCAATGAAATCATATGCACATTCCGACAGTCGGTCATTGACCGCATTCAAGATGCCGTCCTGCTCCGAAACATCAAGGTTAGTGGGCAGGTGTGGCAGCTCCCGTGTCTGGGCCGCTATCACATGACCGGGAGGAGGCTTCAACAATTGATGTGGGCCATCGAATTCATCCCGGTTGGACGGTCGTCTTTGCGAGCGATGGCGGGTAGAGCTTCTGGACTTCTCGATAGCACTGCGGGTGCTAGCTTCAGCCAGGATTCCCGCATCGTCGAACGGTTTGCCAAAGTCATAGTCCCGTCTCAGGGCCGTCGGGGGCAGACGAGCCGGATGATCGAATTCACGATAGGCAGGAGCCGGCGGCGGGTCTGACTTGATGTTATCGAATGGAAAGTCAGGACTTGGGGGGAAAGGCTCGTATTTGCCTGACGACACGGGAATGTGGTAGTCAAAGTCTGACCAGGATTGCTTGTGCGGCTTTGATGCAGCGATCTGGTCAATGGAAACAGAGTCAAAAGGCGAAGGAAACGCTGCTCTTCGTGTGCTGGAGAGATAAGAAAAATCTCAGTATACAATTCCCGGTGGACCGCGAAAAGAAAAGGGTAAACACGATGCGGTAAAAGGGTACCTTGGTTGGAAGATCCACTGGTTCTCAGGTGAGCTACCATAGTTCTGGGTATGTTGAGACATGGTGCTGGTGCTGCCATGGGTGAGCTTCTCTCAATGCATTCGAAAACAAACAAGAAGAGGGGTGGGCAAAGGAGAAGTGCAGATATGCGATTGAGCTGACCTGTGACGAGACCACGATTCGGGATCACTGCTGATGGAATGTGCGCGCGATCCGGTATTCGATGCGGCACTTGAGAAAGGGCTGAAGTTCGCCATTATTCGAGGTGAAGGAAGAGGGTGCATGAAGCGAGATAAAGTTCGAGCGATTCGAATATAAACAAACGGGCACCGACGGATAACAGGGAATAAAGCAGGAAAGAAGAAAAAGAAAAAAAGAAGACGATGACGATGACGAAATAGTAAGATGAAGATAATATCGAGACCGGAAGTGGTATGAATGGACCAGGAACAGGAGCAGGGTTTATCAGATTAGGTTCTTCTTTCGTTCCTTGGATCCCGCACGGTAAATATATATAGAGAGAGAGAGAGAGAGAGGTCAACACTCTCCATATGAACCCGCCAGATAGGGCTTGTGAGGAACTCCACGTCCGAGGGACAGCCGGATCGAATGAAATGACGAAGATGTTCGATGTTCGCCCAGGGAACCCCTCGTAGGACCCAACTTGAACAGCTTGGTCTCACCGCCAATCGAACAGTTGGACCAGAGTGTTGTTTTTTTTTACTGGAGACTGGGGTCTGTCAGGCCGGGTAAGAGGAAATTATGGAATGACAAAAAAAAAAAAAAAAAAAAAAAAAAAAAGGCCACGATGATGGGGAGATCAGACGGGAAACGGGAATGAGTGATCTATAGCAATCAAAATCGTGACTAGTCAAAGCAAGCAAGCAAGCAAGCAAGCAAGCAAGCAGGGAACACGCCGAAGCGGGCGTCTCAGATGTCTTTTTATTTTTATTTTTATTTTTATTTTTTTTCTCTCTTGTCTCACTTCCCACACGGAAGACAACAGCAGCAGCAGACAATAGGCTAAGAACCTACAGATCCCAATATTCAATCACCATTCAATCCAATATTCCAATATTCCAGGGGAAAACAACAACGCCACCGAAGGGTGCAATATGATGATCCTATGCCCAAGAGAGAATAGTAAGAGGCGACATAGAAAAATCCAGCCAAAGAAAATGCAGCAGGGTCATGATTCATGGACCAAACCGAAACGTCCGAATACATAATAATCTAATCGTAGGAAGCTGTGGGCGGACGTGGGCGGAGCGAGAAGGAGGGCTGTTTGGGCAGCAATCCAAACGGGGCCACGTCCACTTGCGTTGTTGGGTCTGTGAGTTAGCCAGCAAGATGACTGTATTGTGTGTGGCTGCGGGAACAATCTCGCGTTGGCAAATCGTTCACCGTGGGCCAATACTGGAGAAGCCGACGAAGATGAGGCGTTGATTGATTGCTGCTGCTGCTGCTGCTGTGTTGGTGGTGGTGCTCGTCGTGAGGGACACCCGACACCGCACACAACTATACATACCACTCGTTACTATCTACTATGTACGGCTGCTCACCGGATACAAAATAAATGGCAGTGCTATGGATATTGCTGAACTGTTCGGTTTCATGCCACTTGCCAATCACCTCCAAAATGCCTCACGGTTTCTGCAGTTTCCGCCGTCCCCTCCCCCCGCCCAGTCCGGGGTCAAAAATGGCCCCTCTACAAGTACTCCGTACATTAACGGACAGTGGCAGCGTCGCAGCCTGTCATTCGGGAAGCAGCTAAATGCACGGAGGCATGGATCACAATCCTGTCTGTTCAGAAAGAAATAATAATACATGGCAATTATACCCTCTTGGTGCTATGTATTGGGCATACACCTCAGCGCTGCATGTGTTGTTGCCCAAGTCCCGGCCAACCGAATGGGCCAGGATTGGGTCCAGATTTATCGTTCTTGTGTGGTATCTGAAATCTTACTCCGCTGTGAGGGAATTCCCGGTAGATGGTGTCGTTTTCGTATACGGCATATACAGGGATGTCACTGTAGCAGTCACCAAAATAGAAAAGGAAAAAAAAAAAAAAAAAAAGCAATCACGAATCCATCAGGCTATTGAACTATAAACCGGAAACTCCGCGCCAAAAAATAGAACATAAAAAAAAGAAAAAAGGATATCATAGGCTCATATATTTCCATGAACAGTATCGCTTCATTATTCGCCGTGTATTATTTTTATTCAAAAGCCGGAGCTTTTCCATGTTCGATATTCATCGTTGCTTCTTATCACTCACTGGCGTTGGTAATTCGATCCCATTTCGTCGCGCATAGTCCTACATATACATAAAACCAATGGTCAGAAGAAGAGAAATCCCGCAGATTCAAGAAACGCATCGAAACACAGTCTCACCTCACAACTCAGCCGGATAGCCTCCTCAATTCCCACCCGAGCTTCGTATCGTAGGATCCGCTTCGCCTTGTCTCCGCTCGCATACCGAACAGAACATGCATCGCCCACACTCCCGCGGCTAAGGGTCGTCGACGACCCAGACACCCAGGTCGACATCTCACATACCCAACCAGCTAGATACGCCATGCACTGGGGAATGTAGATCTCAAAGGGTGGGGTGTGGCCGAACTGGGCCCAGATGGCCAGGCAGAAGTCGCGAAAGGTGATGGGCTCGTTGTTCTGGATGAAAAAGGACTCGCCGCCGGCGGTCCGTGAGGAGATAAGGTTCTCTGCTGCCAAGACATGCGCGTCCCCTACGTTGGTCACGTAGGTGACATCCCACAGGTTGTAGCCGTCTCCGATTATAAATGGGGTTTCCCATTTGGAGATGCAGGTGTGGATGGGCGGGAGGAGTTGAGGGTCTCCGGGGCCGCAGAGCACGGAGGGTCGGAGGGAGCAAGTGGCCATTGTGCTGCTGTTGGCTTCGAGAACTATTCTTTCTGCCGCAGCCTGTTTCAGGAATGATTAGCAAGGCCCGACCCGCGATTGCCATGGTAAGAGATCTGTATGGGTAGAGTAAAACAACCTTGGACTCTCCGTAGATTAGTGACGACGACGGTATCGGCCATTGTTCATCGATGTTCTCGTATGGCGTGCTCATATCATCCGTCACAACGCAGCAAGTACTCGTGTAGACAAATCCCTTGACTCGAGCTTGTCTCGCCGCATCCAACATGTTCCTGACCCCTTCGATATTGGTCTTCCGCACCAGTTGTTCTAGCCTTCTCCCAAACCGCTCGCTAAGACCTGGGACAATACCCGCTGTATGAATGACGATTTCCGGTCTGGCCTGTTGAAGCGCATTGTAAACTGTATCGGGAACGGTAACATCTGCTTGAATGAATGCGACGTTGTCGGGTAATTCGTGCGTGCCATTGGGAGGAGAGCGGTCCAGGACGGTGATGGTACACTTCGGATGTTGTTCTGCGACAGCTCGAGCGATAGCGGACCCCACGAATCCAGTCCCACCAGATATGAGGATATTTCGCAGCGGGGGCTTTTCTCTTGTATCGTGCATTGTTGAAAGGCGTAGTTGAACGTTAATGTTGGATGTAGGTTATGCGACGGAGGGGAGCCGCGGTTCCGCGATCCATTAAATCCCCGAACAGGACAAACAGAATGCAACCGCAGCAAACGACTACAGCAGTCAATTGAGTATCTCTCAAAAATCGATAGACATTGCGATAGATTTCAGTTGGTTTCATTCACTGCTCGAATTCATTGATAGATTGGCAGCATCTGTCATTGTATTCATACATTGTCTCTGCTCATACAGAGTCAAGAACAAGCGCAGAGAGAAATGGACAAGGAAAAAAGGGCACTTCACGTTATCATACTATACACAGCCCCAGGTATCCAACCCAAGTCGCAAAAAAGAACAATCCATAAGCTCGAAACATGATATGGGAGACGTTTCGACTGACCGAACTCCGGAATGAATGCAAACACGACAACCATAAAGGACAACGAGAATCAGAAGAGGAAAAGAAAACGAAGTCATGAACCTTCCCCAGCTTTAGAGCACTCTGCAAAGCACCAACCCACCAACCTTCTTCTCCACACACTCTCTTGCTTCCAAGATCCCCCGATCTGTCGAAAGGTAAAGAGATTCCCCAGGCGACCGGATTCCATCAACGTAGTCACTCGCCTCTCCATTGACCACCCGGCGGAGGGCCCGAAGGTCCAGGTTGATTCTCCGGGTGGGCTTGCTGATCGGAACCATCTTGCCCAACACTGAATCACTTTGCCAATACTTCAGTCCCAGCCATAGTCGTCTCGAGGCAATGTTTTTCTGTGTCACGGGCTCGAGTTCTTGAACTGTATCGTTGACGGCCGGGGTACCCAGGAGGAGATGTGGCGGGGGAGGTGCCTTTCCGCCGCGGACAACGGAGGAGAGGAATCCGTCGTTCTGGAGGGCGAGTGAAAGACTCAGGTGCATTTTTGTATTGGGGATCGATGTGAGGCCGAGACGGGCCTTGGTGGCATTGTTCAGATGCGAGCAGACGTGGGCGAGGTGGACGAGAGACATTGTGACGGTTCAATTGGCCTCCGAGGCCTGAGGGATTGCGGGGGTGTTGGGTTGTCTGGGCTGTCTCCAAATAGCGATTAGCAATTGTAGCATGTGGTCAATTAGCCGGAGAGCAAAAACTCACCAAAATCCCAGTGTAAAAGCTGTCGTCAAACTGTCAATCGCTGTATATCAACAACACACGGAGCAAGATTCGGAGAGAGGATGAAATTTCCCGGACCGAAGTTGATCCGGGCGATGTATAGCAGCAGCAAATCACACGCCGTATCAGCTCCATCACAAGCGCCGAGCATTAGTCCCGGCGCTTCGAGGACAACGCTGAGAGGCTGATGGGAAATGGTGCGAAGAGGGAGGTTGGCAGGTATTTAAGGATAGTTAAGTCTCCCCTCATTCCTGTTGTTTCGTCTGTAAACAACCGTTGGAGGATACATACTACTATACTATCATGCCTCCATTACAGGGTGAAGAGCGAATGCTGACTGTGTGAGTATCAACAGACGAGAGGAGTAAATGCAGCTTATTCTGACAATGATGGACTTGTACCAGCTTCGCGGACGTCCATTCCTACTTCACAGAGCCTACTCCCAAGCCCATCCATCATCGATTCGACAAGGGCTCGTATCTCTACATCTACCACGATGCTGCTCAGCACAAGTCCCGGGTTGAGGTCGCCAATAACCCCGGAACGCCTTTTCAGGATGCATTCAATGGAGGTAGGCGAAATCCCCTGTTTACAGGGCTGTGCTTGTGCTGATATCTATAGCGCTGGACCGTATCCATATAGACCATTCCACTCGTTTCCCCACTCTCTGCACCGTGACTGTCGACGGGCCAGATCCAAATCCCCAAGCGTTCCCTCCTCCACCCAATCCTGCCAGTCTATATGAATGGCGATTGCCCAGCAGCGACCAGAACGACCTCTTCCGCCTGCACACGCTGGACGTGTATTTCTGGACGCAGGAAGATGTCAACCAGTTCCTGGATGTGATGGAGCACATATTGTCTCCGTCGCAGATTGCATCAGACAGACACCCGCAGCTGGAGAACCACAACCACGAAGAGGATCACAACAACATTAGTTCGGTGGTACAGCAGCTCGAGAACGTCGCCGTGACAGACCCAGCATATCAAAACGGCCAGACGCGAAACTCTCGAACTGAAGCGTTCCCGCCCTCAAACACGACGCCGGTGCATGCTGGAATCAGCACCTTTCCCCCTCCCCCTCCATCAGCAACATTACCTCCTGCGCCCGCTGCTGCCACTCCGAGCATCAGCCCGACCCAGCAAGGCACGCCTTTCTCCCAACCACCAACAGAACAACACCAAGAACCCGCACAATGCACACCTTTACCATACAACCCCGCCGCGCCAGCTGCCCCAGAACCCATCCAGCATCGCGAAAAGACCCCACCCCCATCAGATGGTGTTGACGGGACCGGCTTACAAGCGGCCGTCGCAGCCGACCATGGCATCCCATACACGCCCCCATCACAAACCCCAGGCGCCTTCGCACCCCCTCCAACTCAGCCTCTACCCCATTCAATGCCTGGAGGCTACGCATCCCCACCTCCCAGCGCCGGATTACCTCCAAGCAGCGCGCCTGGTCTGACACACTCCGGGTCCCTCTCTTCCCGCTCCTCATCCGTCCAAAGTCCCCCGGGGGTGCCACTCATGCCCACATACGCAGCTAGTCCATCATCCCCATTCTTCCCAGGGAATGTACAACAACCGCAACAAGCCAGCAGGACGGGATCCCTCTCTTTCGCACTCCCTCCTCAACCTCAACCTCAACCTCAACCTCAACCTCAACCTCAAACCCAGCCCCAGCCCCAGCCCCAGGCCCAAGCTCAAACCCAAGACCCCAACGCATACCTCCAGCAACTTCAGCAACTCCAGCAACAACAACAAATCCAACAGCAATACCTCTACAACCCTCAAACCCCCCAAGCTCAACTCCAACTCCAGCTCCAACTCCAGCAACAGCAACTCCAGCAGAAACAGCAGCAGCAACATCTCGCCCCCGCCGCACAAATAGGAGCGTTCGCCATCCCCAATACCAATGAATTGGATCCCAATGCTCATCTCTACGCACAACAGCAACAGTTACAGCTACAACAGCTACAGCAGGTACAACAACAGCAGGTACAACAGCAACAGCAGCAACCGCAACCGCAACAGCAAACATTCTCAAAGGGCGCCGATTCCACGCCCGCGCAGCGATCAGGCAAATTGGAGAATCGTGCTGCGAAGGTGGAGAGCGGGGTGAATCGGTTTCTGAAGAAATTGGAGAAGAGGTTGTAATAATAGGGTCTAGGACCAGGGATTTGGGGTTGAGTTTATATAAGATTGTATAACTTGTTTTTGTGGGTAGGATAGGATAGGATGGTATAGTAATGCATGAGTGTGATACCCTAAGCATGGCAGACATGTATGTGACTCTGTATACCTGTAAACGAGGCGAGACTATCTGATATGTATAATTCAATGCTAACCTAACTACCTACAGTGCAATATAAATGAGAAGAAAGGAGATGAATCAATATCCACAAACTGTACCACTGTACAAACCCAATGAAATCATATAAATAACATATCTCCATTGACAAAATGACAAGCAAAATAGTAAAAAGGAAACAACACAGCACAAGAGAACCAAACAACTACCTAAACTACAACCAACGCGGTCCGATAAGACCTTGACACCGTCCTGTGCAACGAAGATAATCCGACAATATGTAGACCAAGAATAAAGAAGAGAAGAAAATGCTCAGATATGCAAAGATGAAAGATGCGATAAGCGCTCCAGGAAAAAACACAACTCCGCACTGGTAAATGCTCCGACAGTCCGATGCAGTCGGTTGGTCCGAACAAAAAACAGAAGGTATTTGAAGAAGAGAAAAGGACATCGCGATCAGAAATAGATGAGGTCATCTGGCGTCGCGATCGTAAGGGTATAAAGGGGGGAAAGAAATGAGAAAAGCCAAAAGAAGAACGGGCAAGGAAATAACGAGAAACCTCAGGAATTCCTCCAACAAAGATCTTCACTTGTCACAAATAGTTTATTTGTTCTCGACGTCGACTTCAGTTGCCAGGGTAGCAACCTCGGTGTTCTCAGTCGAGTTCTCCGCCGGGGTCTCAACAAGAGACTCAGCGACAGGCTCCTTGGCTTCAAGTGCGGCTTCAGGTGCGGCTTCGGGGACGGTTGGCTCAGCAGTGACCTCCTCAGGGATAGAAGGGATGTCGACTGGCTGTTCAGTTTCCTCGGGCTTGGCTTCAGCAGGGGCATCGTTGGACTCGGTCACAGGTTCCTCAGCAGAAGACTCCTGGACAGGGGATGCCTCAGCAACTTCCGTGGTGGGCTCCTCCTCCTTGGGCTCCCCAGCAGGCTCCTCGGGAGCGGCAGGTTCCTCAATTGGCTGTGCAGGCTCCTCAGGGATAGACTCTGCTGGCTTCTTGGTAATCTCCTCTGTCGAAATAGCCTCACTGTTCTCGTCCTTAGACTTGGGCGGCGCTTTAGCTGCGGGCTTGGCTTCCTGGATCTTCGAGTGGACATTGGTCTTAGGCACGACCCTCTTTGTGGCTTGGGTCGGCTTGGATGCCTTGGGAGGGCTCTTAAAGTCCGTCTTTTCTTGTGTCTTGCTGGCAGAGCTGGCGGTTGGGCGCATCATGCGAGCCAGGAACCCTTCGTCAACCGGCTTGGAACTGGCACTGCTCGCTCGCGAGCCTGGCCGTTCGCTAGATGACTGGCTCTGCGGCGACCCACGAGGTGTTTTGCGAACGCTGGAAGCGGTTGGGGTGGAGGAACGCGCGCTAGCTCCATTCTTCAAGGTAGACGGCTTGCGCGATGCAGTCGAGGTAGTGGTTGATGTTGCTGTTCCCTTCGGTTTAGCTGCCTGAGTTGACGCAGTAGCAGCGGCAGGGACGCGAGCAGGCCTGGTAGGCGACTTGGTCGCAGGCTTAGTGGTGGTGGTCGAAACGCGAGAGGCGGTGGTTGTCTTGGTCGCATCACGCGCGGGGGTTGTTGAGGGACGATTAGGTCGCGAAGGTGCCTTGGTGGCGGTATTCAGAGGTGTGCGGCTTGACTTGGAGGCGACGCTCTTAGTCGGCTCACTGGAGGTAGCGGGCTTAGTTGCGCGAGTAGCGGGTTTGGCCGGCGAGGTCACCGTGCGCGCTTTGGTGGGTGATCTTGCGGGGGACGATCTGGCGGCAGTGGACTGACGAGAGCTCAATGGCTGCTTGGTGACAATCTTGGCTGGTTTCCGAGATGACTCGTCAGTAGTAGGCGCAGCTGGGCCGTTCGATGCAGGCTGCGCCTCCTGCTTCGCGGGGGCGGGCTTCTCATCTGATGCCGGCGCATTGTCAGCCTTGGCTGTTGGAGAACTGGCATTCTGCGGCGATGCGGTTCCTAATTCCTGCTTCGATGCTGCTGACTCTGCAGGAGTGGCGATACCTAGACCACTGGCTGCCGTGGGGGAAGTCGAATCCGCGCTCTTCTGGCTGCCGGTGGTATCCAAATCCTCCGAATTGAAGCTCCTGACGCGAGCGGGAGAAGCAGGAAGGTCACTCGAGGTCCGCGACTGAGCAGTCTTGTCAACAGCCACAAAGCTCGCGCGAACCTTGGAAAGCGGCCTCGCGGAACCAGAGTTCTCGGAAGTGGGAGATCGACCGCGGGAGGGTGGAGACGAAGCGTTGGTTTGGTTGCTGTTGCTGTTGTTTTCGAATCTGGCCAGCAGGCTCCGGACACCTGGATGAGCCATGGTTGCTTCTTAGTTGAGCTATGCGATGGGGATGACGCGATTGTCAGGAGGGGAGCTGAACCTCGGATGAGGTCAGTCAGGGGAGATCCGCAGTATCCGTGGACGATGTCGCGCTACTTTTGCTGTTGAATCGCGCTATTCAGGGCAGATGGAAGGTCGCAAGAGGTCAACTCGTAGAGGCCAGATCGCAGGATAAGTGCCAGGGGAGGGGTTGGCAGGTCGCGTTGATATAGGAGAGGAGTGGAGGAGGGGGAGAGTGGGATGGAAGCAGACTGAATGACTGAATGAATGGATGAAAGTAGAGTCAATGAGACAGTCTCAGTGGTAGATTCAGTGGTGAAGAGAGCATGATAAAGATAGAGTAAATTGAAAGAAGAAGGGAAGTTGAAGAGATGAAGAGGAAGAAAGAGGAAGAGAGAGGAAGAGAGAGGGAGAGAGGGCGAAATGGAAGGCTGACGGGGAAAACGCCTCAGGCAACGGTTTCAGGGGTCAACGGCGGATCCGGAGTCTACTCCATACTCAGTGTGTGATGACTACTACTTTCTCCTAGTTACAAGTGCAGTCAAACTCAGACTAACTGCTCGGAGATGAAACTATTAAGGAGATTCAGTCTGTGCCCCCTACAGCTCCGGGGGAATCCAACGCACTTCCGGAGTATACAAAAGACTATGTAGACTATTCTATGCGATTCAATGTATCTTTCTGGAATCCGGCTGATTCACACTTCTAGCAGCCTTCTAGAGGCGATCCAAGGCGGAATCATCCTGGATATTCTCCTAGTTTGCTCCATTTCGGGACGTTATGCCAATCTCCCCCTGATATTAATGCGCAATCAATCTCCGACAGCCCTCGGTCTCAGGACAGACACCACACTGTCTTTTGATGCAAGCATAGACATGCGAGATTGCAAGAATGCTGATCGCATCACTTGCATCGATCTTGCATTGTTCGTTGTCAGAACGAGTTACAGTTCAATAGACATCCGTATTGACGCCATATGCTATCCGTTACAGCGCATAGACAACCGGAGAATTCGCCCGCAACAATTAATGCATTGACTGAAGCCAAAAATCAATACAATCAGCTTTTCAACTCTCAATTCTCAGCCCTCAAGCCTCAATTCCTTGCTTGCCTAAACATGTAATCCCATCTATACAACGGATCAACATTGCTCCGCCGGCTATAAAACCCGCTCCGATTGCGGATGCAAGAAAACGGCCTCATCCAGCACCACCATAGTCAAAAATAAGAAAATGGCTGCTGCCAGGACTCTTCGCATCGGTCAATTGCACTCGTCTCCCCTTCAATTGGACTTTCACTGATATCTTCTTGCAGGTCTCATCCCCGGTGACGGTATCGGACGGGAAGTCATTCCGGTATGTTATATCTCGGAGGGGTAGAGTGAAGGCACAAATGAAGCTTACAAGATTAATTTCAATTGATAGGCCGGCCGTCGGGTCCTTGAATCCCTCCCCTCATCGTTGAACCTGAAGTTCAGCTTCGTCGAGTTGGACGCCGGTTACGACCACTTCAGGAGCACCGGTACCGCTCTCCCCGACAAGACCGTGGATGTCCTGAAGAAGGAATGTGACGGTGCTCTGTTCGGAGCTGTCAGGTGGGTGGATTAAATCCAATTGCATGAAAATAAGATTGTTCTGGCGTGCTAACTACCTGCAGCTCCCCCAGCACCAAGGTCGCCGGCTACTCCTCGCCTATCGTCGCCCTCCGCAAGAAGCTCGACCTCTACGCCAACGTCCGCCCCGTCAAGACCACCTCCGGCGAAAGCGGCCGCGACCCCATCGACCTGGTCATCGTCCGCGAGAACACCGAGGACCTCTACGTCAAGGAGGAAACCAGCAGGGACACCCCCAACGGCAAGGTTGCCGAGGCTATCAAGCGCATCTCCGAGAGCGCCTCGTCGCGCATCTCCACCATCGCCGGTGAAATCGCCCTGCGCCGCCAGAAGATCCGCGATGTGGCCCCCGCCCCCGCCACCCGTTCGCAACCCATGTTGACCATCACGCACAAGTCCAACGTGCTCTCGCAGACGGACGGTCTGTTCCGTGAGACCGCGCGCAAGGCTCTTGCCGCGGAGCGGTTCTCGTCGATCCGCGTTGAGGAGCAGATTGTCGACTCGATGGTGTACAAGCTCTTCCGCCAGCCCGAGTACTACGATGTGATTGTTGCTCCTAACCTGTATGGTGACATTCTGTCCGACGGTGCTGCTGCTCTCGTTGGTAGTCTGGGTCTTGTGCCTAGTGCCAACGTTGGTGATGGCTTCGCTATTGGTGAGCCGTGCCACGGTTCTGCTCCTGACATTGAGGGCAAGGGCATTGCCAACCCCATTGCTACTCTGCGCAGTGTTGCGCTGATGCTTGAGTTCTTGGGCGAGGAGAATGCTGCTGCTAAGATCTACACTGCTGTTGACGCCAATCTGGACGAGGGCAAGTTCTTGTCTCCTGACATGGGTGGCAAGGCTACTACCCAGCAGGTCATGGATGATGTGCTGAAGAGATTCTAAATTAGTTGATCTATCATAGAATGTAAATGCGTTACGTGCTTAGGCACTCTTCTCATTGCATCTTAGTGTACAGTCACTAGGCTTCCCAACCAATATTCCCCAAGCTCCCATCCTTCTCCTTCGTCTCCTTGGTCCCCTCTTCAGCCTCCTTAATATGATTCTTCTCCTGCTCCGTCCCAACTAGAACAAGGGTAAAAAGTATAATAAAATAAACCTCCCCCGTCTCCCGATTCTTCAACACATACCGCAGATCATGGTTCCTCTCATCCACATACTTAATAGCATGCAGCGTGAAACCAGGTAACCGTAACGAGAAATCTACTAGGGTTAGCCCACCACCACCAAACAATACCCAAAAAAAAGAGAGGCCCACCATTAAAAACCAAATACGGATTCCCAAACCCAACCTGATAAACCCTCCCCTCCTCAAACACAAACCCCTTCCTCTCTTCCTCCCCCTGAAAAAACTTCATCCTCTCCCCCGCCTCCGCAGGCACCTTACACCTTTCCCTAACCTCCCCAGCATCACCCCCCTCATCCCCCTCCTGCACAACAACCCCATTAACCCTGGGCACCTCATCCCCGCTCTTAACCTTTCCCCCAACCCGGAACTGATTCCACGATGCCAGCGCGGGACTAAACAGATAGGGTTTATCCGCGTACGCGTCGCCGTCCATGGACGGGTCGATGGACCATTTTACCAGTCTGAGGGCGGTGTTGAAGCCTGGGGGTAGGCGGTCGCGGATGGGGCGGTCGAAGTCGTGGCCGAAGAGGAGGGCGTTGCCGTTGACGGGTTTTTTGAAGATTATGCTGAAGGTTAGGGAGTATTGGTCTGTTGTGTGGGATGGGTGGGTGAAGATGGGATGGGTTGTTGGGGAGGTGTCGGGGTAGCCTGTTTTATTTGCGTTAACGTTTTATCTGGTATTTGAGGGCTTAAATAGGGCTGGGACAGGGAGGTACCGTTATAATCCTGAATCCTAACAGCCAAGCTCACCGTCGCAAGGTCATTGTCTATGCGTACCGTTTCGTCACCGTTCACGGGGACCAACTGGTGCGTTGACGGGTCATATTGAGTGCCTGCTGTAACTTTGAGTCGGTACTTTTTGTGCTGCGCTTGTTCGAAGAGTTCGCCTGATGTCGCTGATGTGTTGGATTTGGAGGCGCTGCTGGAACGGCGTCGGCTGGGGGTTAGGTGGCTGCGGGAGGTGGATCGGGAGCGTGAAGCCATTGTATGCGAGAGTGTAGAGTATAGAGAATCGACTTGGACGTGTCTGTTTTTTTTTGTTATATCGGGTGGGCAAGTTATCTTGTGCTCGTTAGTATGCAGGTCGTCCAGGATATATATCGCTAAAGAGATACCACTTACAATCTCGTATATGCTGATATGCTGCAATATAATTGATCAAGGTAGCTTTGAGGAATACAATTGAATACTTCAACGCTTTAATATTAAGGCAAGTCAATGAAAGTTGATGTGACGCCGATCAACGTCATCGCGGGAACCAATGATCGTCAAGCAATGTATTAGCCCTATTATGATACAATCCAAGAATAGTAGCCAAAGTAGAAAGATAGCAAATATGTCAAGCGAATTAAAGATGAGCCGGGTCTGAAGGTAAAACATCCGAATTAAAATCACCCGGTTCATCATCCAAATCATCCGTGAGAATTCCAACTCCACTATCCATTGGCCTTCGGTGCTTGCCTCGACCAACATCGATGTCCACATGTCGCGACATACTGACCGGAGTGATGGGCTCGCTGCCTGTAACCGAGCCATCCGACTGAGGCTCCTTTGTCTTCAATAGTTCATAATTGGAAGACCGGACCTTGGCCTTGCGACGCTCCGCATTGGCGGTTTCCTTCATCATGGCAAATGACCGCTCTTGATCCGCAATCCATCTATTAATGAGATTTTCGCGCTCTTCAACCTCGAGCTGCAATTGCTCCTCCAGCACGGCATTGCCGCGACCGAGTTTCTCTGCTTCTGCCCGGGCTCCTTCGAGTGCTGTATTGAGCTCTGAAATGCGTACATTCATTGTCCCAATCTCCTGTTCGTGATGCTGGCGCTGTTCCGCAGTCTTCTGCTCAAGGCTCGCGATGGCCGACTGGTGTCCCTTTTCGAGACACTCAATTTCTTGCCCGTGATTCTGAAGCTGCCTTGCACTCTCTCGCTTAAGGTTGGTGATTTCGTCGATAGCCGACTGACGTTCCTTTGTGAGAGACTCTATCGAGGTCATCAAATCACAAGTGCGAATGCGATTATGCTCAATGGTCTGATTCAGTTCGCGAATATGTGCGTCACGCCTTTCAACCGTGGACTCGGCTGCACGGCGGGCTTTCTCCTCGTCAGAAATTTTGCTCTCCAATTCTGATACCTGCTGGATGTGTTGCTTTTTGCTGGCAGTATTCTCTTCTTCCAAGCTGCTAACGAGCGCCTCCAGATTTTTGACATCCTCGCGATACTGTTCAAGTGCTGCGTTCAATCTTTGGATTCCAAAGTCTTTTTTCTCTCCTTCTTGTTCCATCTTCCGCATCCGCATCCGCATGTGGAGCATGTCCCTTGCCGAAACCTCTAGGTCTTGGGCCTTCTTCGACGCAGCTTCGTACCGGACCGACAACTCATTAAACTGGCCTCTAAGCGCTTGTTCGCGGCCCAGGGATCCGTCATGATCAGCACGTTCATTGCTCAAGTCTTTTACGAGTGATTCCACACGCTTCACCAATGCGCCAAGTGTGGACTTCCCGTCATGCAGACCCGTTTCCCCTGGCACTGCACGTTCGAGCTCGATGCGTGCTGTACGGAACCGCGAGCTCATCTCCGAGATGATTTCGCCCGGGCTGCTCCCAGAGAAGCCAAGTGTCGACAGTTCCTGCTTTACTGATTCTAGTGAGCTAGTAGCATCAGAGGCACGAGCAAGGGCAGAAGTAAGAGTGGGAACGATCTGGTCAAAGAACTCGGGTGGTGGAGACGACTGGCGAAGATTGTTTCCAACGGTAGCGCCATCAAGAGAAGTGACGTTAGCGCGCCACGCATCAAAGAGGTTCTTTTTCTCTTTTCTGGCGGCCTCAAGGTCCAGCTCAAGGCGGCGAAGCTCAGCTTCCTGGTGATGATCGGGCAACTGCGCTTGGGTGGAAGAATCGACACCAGGAGCCGTATTGTCAAGCAGCGAAAAACCATCGGGGATAGCAGGTTGATACTCGACACCTCGAATATCGGGCGAATCGGACAGAAAAACCGTGTCTCCATCCATACCAGTGTCGTCAAGCATAATAGTATCGCCGTTCGTAAGTTCGGACTGCACATTGGCATCTTGGGCAGATGAAAACGAAACTTCCTGTCGAAGTCGACTAGTCTCCTCTTCCAACTCTTCGATGTTCTCCTCTGACACCTCCAACGAGAGTTCCTCCTGAGCAGGGGATTGGTCACCATCAAAAGCACCCGAGTTCTTCGCAGTCTCCAATTCTTGCCTCAGCAGTTCTCTCTCCTGCAACAAAGACTGCAGTTTCTTTTCATAACTAGCAGCATCGCGCTTCTCTCGCTCAATATGATTAATTTCATTACTGAGACCCATCCGGCCAATCCTCCGCTGTACCCGTGAATCTAAAGCCTGGCGCAAGGGCGTGAACTGCACCACCCGCTGTGTGCCTTTTCGCGAAGCAGGAGCTGACCGTCGTCGGCGACTTGGGGTACCCGGCACAGAGCCTATATTGCCCCCATCAAATGAAGTGCGCATCATAGCAGGCGTCAAACCTGTGGAAGGACCAGGATCCGAGAAACGGACCTTCTTGCTGCTCCCTGGTGTAGTAGCACTCGCGCTCTTCGATACATTTGCTCGCTTTCCAGACCGGCTCCGACTTCTGGTACGTGACGTTGGGGATTCAGTGACGCCCGCGTTGGATATGGAACTAATGCGTCGCTTTCTCGGGCTCCGTCTGAGCTCCATAGCTCTCGCCGTAGTCGCAGTTGCTGCCATGTTTGTAATATTGATAGGACTCAGATAAAGATCTGGTGCGATGTTAGTATGCATGTAAGCAGTATGTAAATCTGGAGGGGTAACTGACAGGTCAAATAACTGGACACGGTTTTGCCTACTTTCTCATCCAAGACATAATAAACAAACAATAGAAGTGGCTCCTTGCAGAGAGAAGACGAAATGATGATGTTGAATAAAGGGAAATGAAGAGTCAGAGCAGGCAATAATTCCCAAAGGGGAAGCTATGCAGGCAGCAGGAGGCACCTTCCCTTTTAGGACGCGTTAGGCGTCACCTCATTTTTGCTGGGTAAACAATGTCATGTGACTGACACCTAGTATCTCAGGCATGATGCCAGTTATTCGAGCATTACAGGTACAAATGCATACAAGTGCAAAGCAGTCCACCTCAGGATGCTCGAGCTCATGGACTTGAGCTGCTTAGATCGATGAGAAATGTCTTATCTTATCAATCCGACCGTGGATCACGAATCCACGCTCCCCACGTCCACCAACAACGCCTTAAAACAGTCCATACACACACAAACACTTACAAGTACGCATTCTCTCTGCACATTAGACTGCCCTGGGATGTCTTGCTGACTGTCTGCTTTAGACCGTCGCACAGCATTGGCGGATGATGTCATCTGTTCCCCTCCTAGCGGATAATCAACCACCGGGAAGACAGAAAGAAGCGTCCTCTTCAACCACACGATCTGGCAAAGTGTTGACATAATTATAATACAATGGCAACAAATATCGAACCGGGCCCGAGTGACGATGCGGTTCCCGGCATAGAGGGGAATCTTCCATCAACCGAAGCTCTCTCACCCAATTCAGAATCCCGACTACTCCAACTCCCCCCAGAACTCGTACAGCAAATCCTATCCGAACTCTCAGTCCTAGATCTCACACGAATATCTCGCACCTGCCGCAGCTTAGCCGAACACGCCTCCAACAACCTCCTATGGGCCGATCTGTTAAATGCCCACCTACCCTTCAAAATTCACGACCCCGGACCATTTGCTTCGTTCCGCAGTCTCTACGCAGCATACTATCCCTGCTGGTTTATCCCTCGGAATAAGGTCTGGTTCGCAGATACGGAACATACGGGAAACTTGATCCTGGCGCGATACGATAACCGACGAGGTGTCATTGAGGCATATCGAGTGGTAGCGGAACGAAGGAACCACGCTTTTCAGATATGGGAGTGGAATCCAGATGTCATTATCCAGTCGTTCAATCCCAAAGTCAGTCTTTGGTTGGATGATCCGGTGTTGTTCCTGAAGAATACCCCGTCTGCTGAAGGGCCACCGCGCACGCCGCGGTATCTAAACGGGGAAACCCGTATGCCTATGGCACTGGAGTATCACTACATCTTCAACTCATTTTCCCTATGTTCGAACAAATCCCCGGACAGGGAATTGGTCGTGGATCAGAAGTGGCCACCGCCAAATATCCCCAGTGACGAGCGGGTTCATCGAGACATGGATGAAGATCTGTCGGAACGGGACGAACCGCCACGGCATATCGAGGACGTCTCTGAAATCGCATTTCGCATCCGACGATGGGCGCATTTCCGCCTGGGGATGCCGTTCTTCACAGCCGGCAATGGTGAAACCCTTACGACCTTTGCGACGCTGGATCCTAGTCTATACACACCGACGAGAGAGAAGCCGTACCAGGGGATATGGGTTGGAGACTACTCGGCCCACGGGTGCGAGTTCTTACTATTTCTCCAGCGTGACACTACAAATGCCTCTACGGCATCCGCGGAAACGGAAAACACCGAGTGGATTCCGCACGGCCGTTTAGAGGCCATCAAACTTACAGGGGACCCAAATGTTCCTCGGGGAGAGATATCTTTCGCCGCAGAAGATATCGGACAAGGCGGGTTCGTCCGGGTTGCGAATGACTCGCTCTTCCGGAATGCACGAGTCATCCGAAGCGACGGCCATGTTGCTGGCTTAGGCTTTCGAGATGGTAAGCCGGAGTACTCCGTAACTACTGATAATGGTGAACTATGGCTGACACACACAGATACTTGGTTACCTTCTCAGCTTATTCTCCAATCTACCGATTGCGTGGCCCATTACTGGGAATCGATGGGCCATATCTCGTATTTCCGACGTGTCGATATCGACGCCCTTCTTAAGACCTAGTTGTTGTTTCATGATATACCCTTTTTCTGCATTGGACACTGCATTTTGGCGTTATGGTCTGATTTTGCACATGGCCTTACTTTCGGACTTTCTTAGACACTTCATCGTATAGCATATGCATATGGCAGAAAAGATGAACACTTTAGTTGACGGAAGTCAGGAATACTGCAACAAATAAGCAAAGAAAATAGGTATCATGGTCGAAATTCCTAAACGCCCGCATTCAGAAGACCTCAGGTTCATCACTCATAGCCCTCTGCCGTGGCACCGAGAGCAACCCTATCCATATACACCAACAACGGAAACCTTAATCGCCCTTCTCCAACGAAACCATACCCATCCCGTGTATCCTTGTACTCTCAAGAGTAAATCACCTCTTCCGCTCAAACCACCCGGACGACCCCAAAACAAACACACTCTGATCCATCACCCACTCGCCCACGCCGAGGTAGCTGTCGATCCACTTCTTAAAGTCTTTGTTCTCGGTGATCTTGTCGGAGTCGAGGCTGGGGCTGTCGAAGATCCCAGGCGTGGGATGAAGGGGTTAGCCTTTTCTTTTCTTTTCTTTTCTTTTTTTTTTTTTTTTTTGTGACAGTCATATGATTGCCATATGTGATGTGTATGGATCGTGAGATTATGGATCACGGGGACGGGGGAGCGTACGTGAGACCAGTTGAGCGCTTGACGCCGGCGAGGAAGGCGGAGACTGCCGAGTGTTAGTTTCTTTTCTTTGAAATTGAAACGCGCAGAGTGGAAAGGGGAAGGGAAACACACCAAGCACCGCGTCAAAAGCGTAATGGGTCAGACGGGCGAACTGTCACATCCATATCAGCGTCCATCCCATTCCGATCCTCCTCATTCCGATCAAGCCAAACAGCCAAGACTCGATACGTACCACCATGATGACTGAAGGAACGGGCTACACAGTAAAAGTAGATAAGGGGTATCAAAGAAAGAAATTTAACGAGAAACGAGAGAAAGTATACTCCGGGACTGAAGGAAAAGGTGAAGGCAGGTAAACTGACTCTGACTAGGCGGAGGCTGATCAGGTGGAGAGCTGAAAGGATGGACTGACCGCCGGCTGCCCGATCGGCTGTCCACGTGACCATGGTGCATGTGACACCAGGTGGCTGGTGCACTAGCCATATTGGAACTAGTGCCAGGCAGCGAGGATTTTGTCACCTGAAAAGATGAATCAGCAGATCTATTGTTATCTGACCAATCAGAGAGAGGCATATTTGGGATTAGCATCCGGATTCGGACTCAACAACTTTGAAACTGAGTGCCAAGAAGAGATCACCAAGGGCTTAACGAATTCATTGACCGGTCTAGATAGCTAAGAATGCCTAGATGCTAGAGTACTTACTACTATGTACCGTACAGAGTAGTGCTACATACTACAGAGTACAGTAGAGTATGCGGGGCTCCGGAGATAGCAAAGCGGTAGCCCCAACGGCCAACAACATTTTCCCTCCCGCGCACACGCCCACCGCCCCTCGTTCAAACTCACCGGACAACTCTCTTCCTTTTTTTTCTTCTCATCCCAATCGCTTTTTTCTCTCCTCTCCATTCCATTCTTATATCCTTTCTGACAGTATTCTGTCAACGTCCTTTCTCTCCTTCTTCCGTATTATCCTAACTCATCTTCCAAAATGGCCGCTACCAACTCCCTCGACCACCTCAGCAACCGTATGAAGCTGGAGTGGCACTCCAAGCTCAACACTGAGATGGTCCCGGCCAAGAACTTCCGCCGTACCTCCATCATCGGAACCATTGGTATGTTTTGTTCAGGGCTTGGGATTCTTTCTTCTTAGTGGGGCAATTGCTAATGTCGATTTTTTTCAGGTCCCAAGACCAACTCGACCGAGAAGATCAACGCGCTCCGCAGAGGTATGGGATACTCGATCAGAAAGGGAATCATAATGGGAGGCTGACAGTCCATAGCTGGTCTCAACGTTGTCCGCATGAACTTCTCTCACGGCTCGTATGAGTACCACCAGTCCGTCATCGACCACGCCCGTGAGGCCGAGCAAGCTCAGAAGGGCCGCCCCCTTGCCATTGCTCTTGACACCGTGGGTTGCGAACAATTCCCATTTCCAAGACACCACTGACCCCTCCCCGCAGAAAGGTCCTGAGATCCGTACCGGAAACACCGTCGACGACCAGGACATCCCCATCAAGGAGGGCCACGAGCTCAATATCACCACCGATGAGAAGTATGCCGCCGCCAGTGACGACAAGAACATGTGAGTCTTCCACCTTGCCCGTGCTGGTTCGCGTTGTCGCTAACAGGCTTCAAGGTACCTTGACTATAAGAACATCACCAAGGTGATCTCGCCCGGCAAGCTCATCTATGTCGACGATGGTATCCTTTCCTTCGAGGTCCTCGAGGTCGTAGACGACAAGAACCTGCGCGTCAAGTGTCTCAACAACGGTAACATCTCGTCCCGTAAGGGTGTCAACCTGCCCGGCACCGACGTTGACCTTCCCGCTTTGTCCGAGAAGGACATCAGCGACCTGAAGTTCGGTGTCAAGAACAAGGTCGACATGGTCTTCGCCTCGTTCATCCGTCGCGGTAGCGACATCCGCGACATCCGCGCTGTCTTTGGCGAGGAGGGCAAGGAGATCCAGATCATCGCCAAGATCGAGAACCAGCAGGGTGTCAACAACTTTGACGAGATCCTTGAGGAGACCGACGGTGTTATGGTGGCCCGTGGTGACTTGGGTATCGAGATCCCCGCCCCCAAGGTCTTCATCGCCCAGAAGATGATGATCGCCAAGTGTAACATCAAGGGTAAGCCCGCCATTTGCGCCACCCAGATGCTCGAGTCCATGACATACAACCCCCGTCCCACTCGTGCTGAGGTGTCTGATGTCGCCAACGCCGTTCTTGACGGTGCCGACTGTGTCATGTTGTCGGGTGAAACCGCCAAGGGTACCTACCCTTGCGAGGCTGTCCGTATGATGCACGAGACCTGCTTGCTGGCCGAAGTTGCCATCCCCCACTTCAATGTCTTTGACGAGTTGCGCAACCTTGCTCCTCGTCCCACCGACACTGTCGAGTCCATTGCCATGGCTGCCGTCAGCGCCAGTTTGGAACTCAACGCCGGTGCCATCCTTGTCTTGACCACCAGGTAAGCCTTCATTCTCGTGAACGATGAATCCTGCTAACTGAATTAGTGGTAAAACCGCTCGTCTCATCTCCAAGTACCGCCCCGTCTGCCCCATCATCATGGTTACCCGCAACCCCATGGCCTCTCGGGTAAGTGACACTCTTCATTGTCATGTTGAAATCCCAACTAACTGGAATAGTACTCTCACCTGTACCGTGGCGTCTGGCCCTTCACCTTCCCCGAGGAGAAGCCCGACTTCAACGTCAAGATCTGGCAGGAGGACGTCGACCGCCGCCTCAAGTGGGGTATCAACCACGGTCTCAAGCTCGGTATCGTCAACAAGGGCGACAACATCGTCTGCGTCCAGGGCTGGCGCGGCGGTATGGGCCACACCAACACCGTCCGCGTGGTCCCTGCTGAGGAGAACCTTGGCCTTGCTGAGTAAATCTAGACCTTCGGGATGTCAATCTCCCGCTTCTGGCGGACGACATTGTCATCACGCCAGGCATCGTAGAACCGGTCATCTTCCCGCATGATGACCGGAGGCCTCCAAAGAACAGAGCCTGGCTTATAAAAAAGCAATATCCAAGACCTGCCGCGGAACAAGTTAATGATCAAATTCGTGATTACAGAGAGCAGGTCAAGGAGTTTTTTTTTTTTTGATTATGGGATGCGCATGATGGGTTTGTTCGTTTTTTTTTTTTCCACTTACCTTTGGGAGCGTCTGATCTGATTTTCTTTTCTTGACATGTTTTTCTGTCAATTTTTTGTTTTCTTATAAAGATTTCGATTTCCTGGCTGTTAGAGAGTCATGTATAACGAGAATAATGGATTTCTTGATAGATTCAGCAGTGTCGTCTTGTATCATGATCCCACATAAAGAACTATCCCAACGGCCTTTTCAAGCCTTGAAAGACCACAAGACCGCAGAAAGACTAAAAAGAACGATAAAGCCACGAAAACCAGGATCCCAGTCCTATTAGTAGTCCTCGACCAATGCGGGGAGAAAAGTGGAAAGAGCAAGTCCCGAGTTCCAACCGAACCTCGCCATCGGAGTCCATACATAGTCCACTCAATGACCATCAACAGCAAAAAAAGAAAAAGACCAAAGAAAAAGAGAAAAAAGAGAGAGAAAACTCCCATAAATAAGTAATAAATACCTCAACAAGGGCACGGGCAAAGGATTCATCCCTCGACAGCGAGTTTTTTCGTGTCTTAAATCGAAATCAAATCACGGACCTCTTGCTGGTAAGTGGAATTCCCGAACGTTCCCGATGGCCGGATTTTGCCGATACTGTGCCGTCCGGTGGGCCGAGATTCTTCACACAAAGTCTTGTTGATTAAGAAAGTTGAAGGGGTAGAGAGAGTAGAGTAGTGGTTGTTTATGTAGAGGATGAGGATGAGGATGAGGACACTGAGGAGTGAAGTGGTCAGTTGTTGTATCACTCCGGGTTATGTACCTCTAGAGTACTTGTATACCGGATAAGGCCTCGGATGGAGATTTCATATGATATGAATCGACCGGACCGGTTACAGTCACTGCATGATATGCACGGTTGAGGCATATTCTGCAGTGGCATAGCGTGGTACTACGTAGTATTCTGCAGAGATAAGATGTATGTAGCCAATGGTATGCTCTTCTGTATAAACAATATCTCCAAAACAGAGTAAAAGCATGAACAGGAATATGTATACTATGCCATAAAGAAAACCTCCATATCCATCAATGTACAGCATCCCAAAAGAACGCCATATGTGCATGTCTGTCTTATCATTATCGTTATCATCCAGTCAATGGCACTAGGAACCAGCAATATCATTCCCATCATCAGCATCAGCGGCGTAATTAACCTGATGTCCAACCCTCGGATGCCAATATACCGGCGCATGTTGGAATTGATGCCAGCAACTACAACCATTAGCACACTCTCCACATAACCATAGAAATAGAGTAAAAGACACTCACCTCGGCGCCTGAAGCACATATCTCGCCATCGCCTCCCTAAACCGACTCTTGTACTCCTTAGGACTCGTCACGGTAGGTCGATTCTTGCCTCCACCAGCGAACCCCCGGTCCTTAATCCACGACTCCAGTCTCTTATCCCAGGTGTACGTGCGGATACAGTCGATGACACCGACGACTAGCTCCGATCGGCTTTCATCGATGGCTATCATGAGCGAGTAGTCCATGACGTTCTGGCGGCCCAGGAACAAGGTGTCGTTCCAGACGCTCTGGCTGAGTAGTTTCTTGGAGTGTTCCCGGGTGAAGAGCGGTGTTTCGTAGATGAAGTCTACCATGTTCTCGTCGAGAAGGACCTCGTTGCGTTCTCCTGTGCTTTCTACCTTGCGGTTTCGCATTGAGCCCTTGAGGTCGAAGATGCGTTGCGGGACGCGGTCGTAGAACAAGTTCTCCATTAGCAAGAGGAACCAGTTGAACTCGGTTCCCGTCGCTGGGTTCTTGATAATCACTTGGTAGAACCCAAACATCTTGGCAATAGCAGACGGCAGCTCGTGGAAAAGCGCCTCCGACATGATCTGGAAGTACCCCGGCGCGAACTTGAGGAATGCCTGCGTCTCGATAGGTGCCAGCGACTTCAGGATGAACCGGTTATCAAGCGTCTTCAGGAATATAGACTTCGTCTTGCCGCCTTTGGAATCCCACTTTGCGCAGCGGGATAGCGATTCCACGATCCGATCAGCGACGCCGCACTTCTTCCGTAGGGCATCGAACTGTTCAGCGTAGAACACCTTGCAGAGCATCTTGGCTTGTCCCTCCTGGAACTGGTACTTGAGATGGGTTCCGGTGTCACGCAAGAGCGCCTTTTCAACACGCTTTTGTTCCGCATCGTCTCCAATAGTCGGCTCCTCTTCCTCATGACGTTGCTGGATACTGGCTAGTTTCTCGGTGTAGTCGCTGGAATCCAGGGCAAACGCAATCAAGGAACTTGGCTCATCTTCGCGCACAATGATGTCGCAGTCTGCGAATACATGGTCCGACATGGTGAGCGGGTATTCGAGAGGCGCCCATCCACTGGCAGAGCGTTCGGACCAGAATTTTGTTAATAGTTTCAAGAGCGTGCTTCTCTCGTGGTTCTTGAGATCGATCGAGTCCATAGGTTCATCGTCTGGAGACATCTTTGGAATCTCTTCATTCGAGTCCATCATTTGAAGCCCGTCTGCCGAGATTCTATCTTCGTCGCTGTGCTCGCCGTCAGAAGCAATTGCCTCGTCAGTTCGAGCATGATCCTCATGCTCTGCTGGTTCCTCTGGCTCCGCTGGCTCAGTTGGTATTACAGGATCTGCCGATTTCTGTGTCGGCAGCTGCGGGAGAGCTTTCCTAGGCTCTTCTTCTGAGACGCGTTTCGGGAACTCCTCGCTTGTCCGACTCGATTCCAGACGCGGCGCTGACGACGAGATAAAGTCCTCCCCTTCCCCAGAGGGCTCTCGTTCCTCAACCGCCTCGCGGACGTTCTTATACACCTCGACAATGGGCTTTGACGACGCCAAAGGATACGCGCGCGAATGCGTGCCTCTGGCAGCTCGACGTTGCATCTCACGCTGCCGCTCCTTCTCGAACTCCCTAGTCATCTGCTCGAAATGTTTGGCCAAGTTGGACACACGCTTACGTGGAATGAACGAGTGACCCGACGGAAGCCTTCCATGCTTGAGGGCAGTGAGCCCAAGACGCTCAGTCAACTTCTTGTCCGATCCCTTCGGTTTGTCATGAGGAGGGTTCGGAGTTTCGTCTACGACTTCTGAACCTATACCTGCTAATCGAGTCCCGGTTCGACTTTTCTCCTTTTGAAGATGAGCGGGCTGAGATTGTGCGCGGTATAGCGGGGGCGATCTAGCTTTCCCACTACGTCGGAAAGCAGCTTCAGCGAGGCGTGGAATGGCAGACGGAGTTGGAGTGGTTGGAGTGCGTCTTCCAGGAATTTCGACGGCTTCCTGCGGGGGCTTATCCACTTGTAGCTCTGCCTGCTCCTGGGAAGGACTTGTAGGAGGATTCTCACTGTCAGGAGTCGGAACAGGCTCGTGAGTGTTTGTGGCGCTTGCGGGAACGTCCTGAGTCGGTGCATGCTGTTCTGTCTGACCAGAAGGAACAGCTAGGTCCAGATGGCGCACTTCTTTTTGTGCCACGGCCTGCTCCTGGGGCGACGACCCCGTTTTCTCATCAAGCGATGGCGTTGCTGATTCGACCTCTTCCACCTGAGGGGGTTCAATCTCGTCCCCTCTATGCTTCTTCCCGGAGTGCTCTTCAACAACAGAAACAAGCACGTCTTGGGCTTTTTCCGGCGAAAGCGTCATACGGCGCATCATAAAGGGTCGCCCATCCTCCTTGTTCGTTTCATTGTCCGTTCCGGCAGGAGTCGTTGCCGGTTCTTCTGACGGAGCGAAAGAAATCGAAGCATCCTTGAAAATCTTTTTCAACTGAAGGGTTGCCAATCTCCTGATATCCTTCTCTGAAGGGAAGTAATTCTTTTCAAATTCCGTAAACACGTTGTCCCACTCGACGACCTTCTCCTGTGCAGAACGAAGAACTTCGTTGAACGGAATAAGTTCCCAGTACCGAGAATTGGTATACTTCTCCTGTAGTCGTCGAAGCAAGTCGGCTTGATCCTCGGCTGCCTTTCTGTTCAGCAGTTCAATTTCGTTCTCGCACTGCCCGATGCGTTCTGGGACAACACTTTGGACGTTAATCCCCTTCAGCCGGGATTTAACAGAGACCATAAACTTGTTCAATCGTTGCTCCATTTTTTGGAAGACTTTATTCCGGAGTCGTAGGTCGTTGTCCACCTTCCAAGTAACTCGAGTTCTAGGAACAATGATCTCCAACAAGTTGATATTATCGTACTGGATCCGCAACGCCATGTCTTTGAAACCAAAATAACGCACATGGTCGCGTTGCAAATCATGAGGACAGACGCCGGCTCGAGCATGCAAATTCTTGCTCCAGAAGGAAAGCTCCAAGTATTTCCCAAAGGAGTACTTCCAGGTACTATCCGACATTGGGAAAACCTGGGTCTCGTTTCCACAGATTTTGCAGCAGCTCCACATCAGAATGGAGTCTTGCAAGCCTCGAAGCTTTGAGGGATAGTGCTGAATGAGCACACTTATTTGAGCTTCACCATGCACGTATTGACGATGGTGCTCATACATGCGCCGTTCACAGCCGTTCGCCGTACAGATGCCGTTGGCGGTGTGACATAGGTCTTCCACATATTGCCCCAACGTGCAATCTGGCTCGAAAACAGTATCGTCACCATGCTCATTGTAGAACTCGATGGCAAACGAGTCCGGACCAGAACAAGGAATTGAAGTTGTTGTGCAAACAAGGCTAAAGAGAACTGCGATATTCTGATGTGCGTATGGATCGAAGAGGTTGGAATTACTCCCAGACACGTAAGTCTCCCATTGCCGTTTTTGGGTCATATAGTGATGGAGCGCTCTGTCGTATTCCGCATCATGGGCCGCACGCAAGACCTCTTTCACTTTGAGGGGCGCATTTTGAGGTGATTCATGGACCATCTCAGGTGTGATGAGGATGAACTTCTGGCCCTTCGTCTTCTCATCTGTTGACGGATCAGAATCCACATCTTGATCCCGCAAACGTTTCAGATAAGCAAGTCTGCGTTCCAATTCTCTTGCACGCATGAGTAGGTGGGGAGGCTCGAATTTGACAAAGGGAGAGGCGGACAGAATTTTTCTCTCGTGGTCTTGCACCATGTCTTCATAGTACGTAGGCATAGGGACATCATCGGGGACCTCGGTCTCTTCGCTCGTTACCGTCAACTTCCTCTCAAGGGCAGGCCGTTCTCCGTTCTCATTTGGCTCTTGCTGAGCATTGCTTGTCGTGTCCCCTTCTTTGTATGCCAACAATGGGGTATTCGAACGCGTCCCGGCTTCACCCTCCTTTGGCTCAACCTCCGATGAAGTCGGTATTTTGGCGAATTCGTCTCTCATCACACAAGTTTCCAGCCTGAGATTGTAGACCACATACACCATGAATTCGGTGATGCTCTTTACTTTCCCAAGTACAGACTTGTCGCCACCTCGTAACACAATCGTACACCCAAGCTCTTTCGGGCAACCAGAGATGTACATGTATGTCTTCTTACGACGGTTGTAGACATACGTCTTGACATCAAAGCTGCTGCACTCGCTTTTCATCGGGGTGGTCACGAGTTTATCCATAGAGGTAATTATCTTCGTTTGTGTGCAACGAGATACCGCTTCAAGAACGGAAGACTTGACGTTGTAAGCCGTGGCGATGTTGAGCTTTTCGAGCAGCTCCAAAGCTAACCCGGAAACATTCTTCTCTGCCAAAAGAAGGTTCGGCCGCAAGGCAGCTATACGGCTAACAAGATTTTCAAGGAACTCGCGTTCCTGCCGGATCACAGGCTCAAGACTCATGAAGTGCTGCTGGTGACGCGCATATTCAAGTGGAAACGTAATGATCAGAATGTTAGGGTTAGGGATGCTTCTGGGCATGCTCTTGAGCGCAACATTCTTCCTGAAGACTAAGCCGGAGACGTACGATGTGTCCCCAGGCTGACCACCAACAATCTTCTTCAATTTAATATAATGACGGATATCCATATCATCCCCATGTTGAACGTCCGGATCAACCTCATCAGCCGCTTTCAAGAGAATGGGCAACAGCGCCGTCTCCCAACTCTGGGGATGAGGGATCGACGCATCACTCAAAAGCTGACGGAGAAGCTTTCGGACATGTTGCAAACTGGCCTGATTCATTTCAACAGGTGGTGCTCCGGCCCCTCTCATGGACGAGCTCCTAGTCATCTTGAACCCAGTTGAAGTCATTGCCGGAACCATAGAACCTGTATTCGAAGGTTCCTGTGTGTTACTGAAAACAACCTCTTTCGATGTTCGAGGTGACTGACGAATACTACTGGCGATACTCAAGTTGCGACGTCGGGGACGTGGGACATTAACGGCCTTCGAGCTGGCGATACTACCTTCATCTACCTCACGCCCGGCAGTGCTTCGGTCACCGAAAGCAGACCGGCCCTTCTTCATGATATTAAACAGCCCACCTAAGCCCGATTTCTCATTGTCGCCGCTACTTTTCGAAAGAGGACTCTCTGACACAGCTGAGAGCAAGCTTGGCTGTTCGTCGCCACTAGATGCATCATCGGAGAGATACTGCGCCAAATCTGGGTCTATTATATTGTCTTTATGGAAGGCAGGAAGTCGGGATTCACCATCAGTGTCTTCCACCTGGCGTCGTTGAAATGGGGCACGTTCATCATGGTAAGGCTTAAAATTCCGAATGTACTGTTGTCGCGAGTGATGGCGCTTGTGGCCTATTGAATGTGGCCTTCCGCTCAAAGAGGACTTCAATGATTTCGAAGATGTGGGCCTTGCTAATGGCCTGTCTGGACTGATCTCGAGGATGGCTGAACGACGATTGTGTCCCTCGCCAGCACGTCTTGTGGCTGGTATTGCCATCGTCGGTGCCTTCATAACACTATCCACAGACTGGGAAACTATTGATGATGTATCGTCGTCATCGACAAGAGACATTCGACGCGCATTCCCAAAACTAAGTTCAGAAACACGAGGGTTGACTGCCATGGGGCTCTGGTCACTGTCCGAAAATTCGGACGAGTCATCATCATGTGCATTAATCATGGCTTCGCAAGGCTTGCACACTCGTATGCTGCCAGGCTGTCCAAACTGGGTGCCTGGTATTGTGAGTGTACACTTGGAATCGAATATCTGACCGCAGGTCCGACAGTGGTGCTTTCGCCGAAAGGTGGAAAAAGGCTCGCCACAATGAAAACAATCCTTAGCATTCTCATCACGCATCCAAAATTCTTTGCTCAATAGATTACTCCTCATATGTGGCGTGGCACCATCACCACCAGAAACCTGGGGGCGCCTGTTTCGAGAGCTTCGACTCGGGGTGCGATCGAGTGTCGTGTCTAGCGGTGATATAGTAGATGACTTTGATATTGTCCCGAGTGACGGAGTTCCAGGCACCCCCTTATCAATAAGGCGGCCCGGACTTGGTACTGCGATCTGTTCTATAGATCTTCGTTTCGCTGATGCACTTGACGACTCCCCAGCTTGGGTTTCGCTATCCACAAACGGTCGTGAAGTTGTATGAGTTGGAGAGACTGGTTCTTCCTCATGGAGCGAACTATTGCCGGCTTTTGGAGATTGTGTAACACTGCTTGTCGCGGGTCCTGAGTTTAATTCATCTAGTCGGGATGATGCTGCCGAGCCGGTTCTTAGTCTCTCTCGTGTCAGATCCTCCGTCCCGTCCAGTGTCCGCTGACGCTTCTGAGTAGGTAAACCGGTGTCTAGCTCAGAGAAACCATGGCGATCTATAGCTCCCTCAGTCACCTGTCCACTCAAGGTGGAAGGCCTACTGATATCTGGAGCATTCGACCCCTCATTGTGAAGACTACTATGGGGTTTTGCTGACAGAACAGGCGAGTGCGTTAACCGCGAGGAACTCTGACTGAGCGACCCAGGGCGCGAGTTATCTCCTTTATTAGTAGCTGTAGAATCTATGCTCTGTAACGTATCGGAATGACGAAGGGGTTCCTTAACTGCATTCACATGGAGTTCAGAGACTGTTGGATCCGCAGTTGCAAGAGCACCAGTCGTTTTGGACAAGGGAGCAGCGGGGGACTTGATGGCAGGAGACGCCGAGACCGAAGCCTTGGAAGATATGCTGGCAGATTTGGAGGACAGCTTCGAGCCCTTAGCCGGACCCAGGTGAATCGACGCATCCTGATTGCTTTGGAGTTGTCCAGGAATTGGTGAATGAAGCCTTGATCCCTGCGAGGAGTTTGGGTGCATGTACTGAGACTCCGCGGCAGTAGACCTAGCATCGGAATGCTCTGATACCGGACTCTTCACCCGGGAGCTTTCTGATGCTTTATCCGACTGTTTTCCCACGCCGCTAACTATATCCCTGACACCACCCCGAAACCGACTATACAGCCCACTCAACCCTCCTTGGATCTCGCCCGATATGCTATTCTCATCCGTCGTGGCTGTCGGAGCCGGCGGGTTTGTAAATTCATTAAACACGGTAAGGGAGTCTGATTGGTAGGCCGCATTATGAATTTGGTCTAGTGCTGCGTTCAGGTTCTCTTGTTCTGCCTGGGTTGATAAAGACGCGCGTGAACCTCGTCGACCAAGCGGGAGGAATATGGAGGATGCGGACGGACTCGGAGTGTTCTGAGACTGTCGCGCGGACATATTGTCGCCGCTAAATGAGTAGGCGACGCAGAGAGATCGATCACGTAGGATATCATTGGATTCTTATCGCCCGGAGGAGCATTCGGGGTATTGCTGTGGAGTTGCCGTATCGTAGCTAGGTCAGCAGCCGAAGTTCTGGGACGAAGGAACCGAAAAGTGACCGGTTAGACATCGTAAGGACGTTCTCAGAACATCGAAATAGACCTGGAGTTGGAAAAAAGAAAGCAGTATCCGCCCAGACAACGAGATGCAGTCGAGCGTCAGCGCTGCAGCTTCTCCAAATCGGATATGCACGCCACAATGCGCCGCTGCCCAATGACGTGTTGTGGCGCAGGAGGGATATACATGTGGCTAGTGAAGATTCACGGCAGAACCACGAAGGCGGTGAGGCGCGTTTCAAGCGCGTTCACCTTGGAAAAAGATGGAGGGTAAGAGTCCTTGAGAACCTCGATCTGATATATTCTGCTTGATTGAAAATTGCAGGCTCCTTCACGCTGCTCAAGTTGGGGGCATGATGGCTTGTACATAATGAGTCCAGACCTTACGTTTTCTTCTGCTACGATGCAATATTTCAACGGCCTGCTTGAGCCGCGATCGTTCAATGATTATGAGGCAACGGATATCGCAGAATCTACTCCATTTGCATGATGGAATCTAAAGGGGACTGGATTGCTCCATTGGTTCAGCGATGTTCATCGTTTTACCTGGAAGGGCGAGGCGACGCCGATCTGGTGTTGGAGGATGATGGAAGTAACCTTCGTTTTACAAATCCTGGTATCCCGAGATCGGCTGTGATCTATCAGGTAAGGGCATCTCTAGCCTTGAGTAAAGCCTATCATACTGATTATATTTGCTTCTTGTCAGTACCTAAGCCCAAGGGAACGGCGCGTACAGACTTTGAATTTGACCGACGAGAAGACCCAGATTGAAGCCATCCTTTCGAGTGACTCGCTAGATGCGTACAATCGAGAATCACCGGATCGCCCGCTCGAGAGCTATAATCCCACACGCTATCGCATTGAATTGAAGGGCTATGAGATCGTCTTTGAATATTCAATGTCCCAACCGAAGGTCCACCTTTTCGTTAAGCAGTTTTCCATAAAATGGGACGAGGGAAAGGTTACGTGCTTCGAGGCGGGAAGACAACTGAAAAGATTTGGCTGCATTAAGACCCAGATGAACATGGTATTTGGCAGAGTTAGACAGGCACAACGCAGGCCAGGCACGGCAGATTCAGCACATAGTTCCGAAGGGTCCTTCAAGTCTCAAAACAACAATGATTCTAGGCAAAAAAGTCCTGAGGAGGATGACACCGAGACTGGAATATCCCAAGAAGTTTTCATGTCCCAAGTACCGTCTGGTCATCGCTTAGCTGCCTCGAATCGTGTCTCAAACGTCGACAGTCGCCCCTCAACGGTCTCAGCCCGTCTTCTAAGCAACCTTCGTCGACCTAGCGTTACTGAGGATGTAACGATGAGTAATGCGTTAACGGTCCCTGGACCTCCGGAGGATGCAAAACTTGGTGGCAAGGATATGCCGTGGTTGCGCTTGACAGAGCGGGAAATAATCGAGCTACGCGGTAAGCTGAAGAAGACTGCGGAGTGGCATCCCAGTGACGACTCGATAAACCACGAACTTGCTCTGCGTGGACGTGGATTGGAGGCATACAAGACTGCCAAGGCACGGGCAGAGGCTGAAGGAGCGGAGTTTGTCGACTGTGATGGCATCGAGAACAGTTCAACTGCAAGGGAACTCAACGCGAACAATCGTAATAAGGAACAGAACGAGGCCAATAAGCTAGAAAAACCGAACCTTCCAAGGGAAAACCAGCTCGACGTTGTTGCTAGAGAACAATCTACGCAGCGCAATGCTTCTGCCAAGGACCACCAAAAGGAATTTCAACGTGCTTCATCTACCGAGAAGCCAGCTGGACAGCCATCAAAAAACTATTTCGACAGACAAGACACTGACCCACGCAAAACACCATCACAATCAGCCTCGACTGGGGAAGAACAACCTCGTGATAACCATCCGGGTTCCACTGAAACCAAGAGTGACCCAAAGCCGGATAGTAACCGGGTATCCCCAGCAACTCCCCGCAAAGTGGAATTGCCTGCGAGTAGGGTAGTTGAGATTCGAAGTGCAGAGACTAACAAAGGCCCCCAAGAGAGTAAAATCAATGCCGAACGAGAGTTAACAGTAACCCGTTTCGAAGAACCAACTAAGGAAAGCGTGGAAACAGGAAGCACGGGCTCGCGTCGAGCAGAGAATGCCTCGAATGAGCCAGATGCAAATGGTTCGGACGGACAGTCAAATTCTGACAGGCAAGATCCTTGGTATGGTCTGAAGAGACTTCGAAGTCGTGATGTCAAGGTACCTAGGGATCAGCATAAATTGCTAGAAGATCATCGTCAGTGGATGCCTCCTTTGGCGGGAAAGTCTAACCCGCGAGGACATGTACCACCTGACCTACTGGCACAATGGAATCGAATTGTATTGCTAAGGAATCGTCGCACAAACGAAGGAGAACGAGGATCGAAAAGCCCGAGGTCACAAGCACCCGATAGTCGTGGTTCACCCCCCGGTGACACTGATTCTGCACCCGAAACGGATTCTGACGGCGGGACTCCACTTTCTGGTTGGTCTCGAAGCACAAACCAAAGTCGTCCTCGTAGAGAACTTCCAGCAAACAGTCAACTTCCAGCAGACAGTCCTGTATCCGAGAGACGAAAATCCAAAAAACCCAATTCGCCACGCCCAGGAGAAAATGTCAGAGCTGAAGACAAGCTTCCTGAAGATATCGACACAGACGTTCACGCCAATAATGAACAGGATCAACATACAACATATGAACACCCCGAAACGCACCCGGTACCCACAAAGAACTCGAGGCAAGTTGACAGTGAGCCGGTAGACGCAAGTGTTCTGGAGCCAACATCCGTGGCTCTGACTCAAAACTGGGAGAACGATTCTGATGATGAAAGTGACGAATCTGCTTTGGACGCAGCTGTTCCATGTCCACTAGGGGACAGCTCGCAAGCAGAATTTCCGGCCGAACAAACTGACCACGAACCTACTAGTTCGGGCCAATCGCTCCCCCAACAGGACAGACATGAACATGTCCAAGTTGTGGATACGCCTGCTACAAACCTAACCCACCGAATTTCTGAGAGACCAGCTAAGGAGAATGCCGCCAATTTTCAGCAAGAATCTTCCCAAGCAGCAATATCGTCGTCACAGTCACGGATCTTCAATACATATGTTAGCCATGCTCCATCCATGCGCAGTCCATCTCAAGATCAGCATCTTTCGTCTCAGACTAACGGGGACAATGAGGTCGACATCGTGGGCACGCAAATGAATGGTGAGAACTGGCCAACGCAATCGACTTCTAATTCTCACTCCGGGTTTGTCCCAAATTCTTCGGGACCAGAACGCAGAGAATCTGTCGATATCGGGACCCAAACGGAGGGGAATTCAGAGTTGCGGACCGAAGCTCGCACGTCCTTGAATAACGACAAACAAGTGGCCAAGAACTGGGCGGAGTTGGAGAAAATGATTGGCAGCGAGGCAATGGAGGTTTTGCAAACGGAGGACCGGAGCTACCTGTATACAGTCCAGCTGCGTAAACTCTTCAAAGAGGATGTGAACGAAGGGGCTCGAAAGTTGACACAGGCGGTAGTAACGAGGCTTCGGGATGTGCGATCAGGCGTGCCAACATTACCCGGGATTCAATCCGAAGATGCTTGGGAGGCGGAGAAGATGTCTGAAGAAGAGATACCGGACAGTGAGCTTCAGGAACTGGGATTGATGCGGGGTCCCAATGGCCTGCCAGTGCGGAGGCAGGATGTCGAGGAGAATGGCCAGGAGGTGGAAGCGAGACTGGAGGGTGACGAGGACGGTAACGGTGGAAATGCGGTAGATGGTGGAGCCAGAGAGAATGATGGAGAACTGCAGACTACTGAGCCCGACGAGCAAAAAGCACCCCTGGCGGCTATGTTCCCATCAGACGACGGAAACCTTGGTGCCACTGTCCCAAGTTCAACATGGGACTCGTCTATGGGTGGCACGATGGAAGACATCAAAGTGCCCAATCTCAAGCGCCTTGCGTCTGTCTTTGAGACAGAGGAAGCTTCCCCATCGAAGCGGCAGAGGACCGAACCTATCGGGGGCCAGGACGCAGAAAGAATCAGAAGAAGACAGAAAAAAGGCCCGTCATTCAACATTATGAGCCGTCGAGAAAGCTACATCAACACCACGGCAAACCGGGCTGAAGCAATGCGAGCCTATGAAAAGTTCCGATCCGACTACCCGATCTACTCAGGGGAGTTCTCGCATTTCATCGAATTGTGCTCGATGCTGCAATCTCTTCGAGACAGAGGTCACCTGAAACGGTCGTTTCTGTGGGATGATTTTATCATCATGCACCTGGATCAATACCCCACCTACCGGCAATTGTGTCAAGAGATGGATGCCAAATTTATTGACTACGAGGAATACTTCTCGACACATTTCTCCAAGCCAACCTACAAGAAGCGAAGTCTCAATGCCAATGGAATTGAGGTGTCCGCAACTCACTGGATGGCCACGAGCCAGCCAAGCGCGGCAGCCAGTCCATCTATCTCTCGTGGCGAAACAAACGGCACTCTCACGACCAGTTTCGTGAATGGACTTTCGGCGTTCCATGTGCATTCTTCTTTCGGACCAGGGACACAAGATGATCAAACTGATATCGAAAGTGATCATTTATCAGCCACTGCGTCATTCCCGCCAACTCCCCTTAAGAAACCACAACGCAAAGGGCCTACGTTTGCGCAGGGCCTCACTGTCAATGAGCCGCAATTGAGCAGGCAAAGCTCCCTTCAACCCTCCAGCCTGCCTTCTCGTCAGCCTTCTCGTCAACCTTCTCGTCAACCATCCATTGATAAGGATGGTAATCCCAAAGCCGCTAATGCTGCTGATCCTAGCGCTCCAGAGCCGACAGTCAATGAACCTGTTACCGAAGACTCCATGGATTATGACTCCGCGCTGGACGAGCCCGATGTCAGGAGACAGCTGCTGATGGAGAACGCTCAAGCTCTATCTGCTGGACAGACCACTATCGACGTGGTCATGACTGAGGGCGATACAGTTGAAGAACCCGCTGCAGACAATCCGTCAGAGAGAAAATCGACTCCTGAGCCCTCACGTCCCGTGGTTACCCGCGAAATTGAGGTTGAGCCTAGCATACCCGAAAGCGATAACGAAGACCAAGGCCATGATGAACAAGAGCAAGAGATTTATGATGAAATGGAAGAAACCCACTCTACCGCCAGCATCGAGCTGGGTGACGAAAGACCATCCACAATTTCCCAGGAACCTCGCTCTGATGTACGAGAGCCTGAGACATCCAGCAAGGTCGAGGGTGTCAACGAGGGCTGGTTCGCTTCTCTTCGACATCTTCGCCCACCGACAGGTCCCGTCTGGTCCGACGATCCTAACACCCCGTTCAAGCTGTGGGCGCGAGCGGACCAGAACGTCAAGGCCGAGGTGTCGCGTCGTGGCGGCAGATACCGTGATGTGGACAATAGGGGTGTCATTCAGCGGTCTAGTACGCGTCGTTCAAATTCCTGACGATTTCCTGTTTCCATGGCCATATATTCCAAATTTCCTGAATATACCTTTTACCTGCTATTCCTTTAATAACCCTGATGCTTTTCCTCTTGAAGGTGATATATGATGTTTATTTTTATGTGATATCCCCATATGACGGTGTTTGTTTTCATTGATTTAGCCTGGACTTATGCTGTACTATACAACTAAAAATCCACACTTAGTTGAATTGACACGAAGCTTGTTATCAATTAATAGACTGGGAAGTCCTTGCCATAGCAGCATTGGACAACAAGAAATGGCACTTCTTCGCGGCAGCGACTTCCTCCCATCAATAACTATGGGCGTCAATGAAGCCTGTGTGATGATTCAAGAGCACTTGATACGACCAAGTGCATAAACAGGCCCCAATAAAAAACGCTAGCGTAGATGATAACATGCCTGCACTTTTGAAACGCATAGCTCGCATGCCGTATCATAGGTACTATTCAGGTCGACCTTCGGAAATGTCAAATGTCCAGTCATAGATTTGCACCACTGCACCCTCTGTCACCTCTTTGCCTGTAATCATTAGGTCAAGAGTTCCTTGTAGCCTTTCATATTGCAAGGCAAGTGGGTACTTCTTCATGCAGTCGATTACTGGCGAGTAGCAAACAAAGTCCTTTATTGTCGACCAAGGGACTTTCTTCTCCATTGTATACCGACGCCCTTCCCCCCCCTCTGGGATTGCTGGCAAAAAATATCCGTGGAGTGGGAGAGATGGTGTACACACGGCTTACATCCGTTAAGAGCATGCCGTTGTCCAACATGTCATGGCCTCGTTCTTGGGTTTCTGCGCGGGTCAATGGGGTGATGTTGGTTAAACTGAGAGTTTTTGACTGCGCGGATGTCGATAGCGGTGGGACAGTGGTTTTTTGAGCTTTCTCTCACTCTAGCACGGAGCAACCGTTCCATCATGACCCTCGCGAGCCTGGGGGCGAAGACGTAATTTAGCCCCAACTCCATATCTGTCTTCGGAGAAAAGAGCTTCTTAGCATGGGAAGGCTGGCGTACCTAGCTTATATTTCCACCCATTCGCCCAAAGGAGTGTTATTGATAGCAATATAACCCCCGGCAGGCCACTTTCCAAGGTACCAGAAACACTGTTTCACGTTTGGCACTCCGCCTCCAGCCGATTGATGGATCACATCACTGACGTATAATACGCACTCCCCATTCTCAAACCCTGGTTTAAAAAGATTGTTTGCTTATATACTGTCAGGAATCCATACATGCAGACTCCGTTTTACATGTAAGATGCGATTTGTCCTAGAAGTCATGTTAGTCTGGGGTGGTTGATCTTTGAGTCCAGGAGATATTATTACCCAGCAGTCTCTTCCATTTATTCTCTTTGAAAGGTTTTCCGGTAAAAGGATTATGCTCCATGATCCATGAAGCTCGCTTCTCCGACGATTCTCAGCACGCTCCCCGAGCGCCTCTAGTTGCTGAGATCTGGGATACCAAAGGAACGCTGGCGTAATCGTTGAATTTCATGTTGACATTTGCCGTTTCGTACACATAAGTCATGGTTTGGCCAACGTTTTGACCAACTCAGTTTTGCACATCTGAACAGCCATAGTGTTCGTAGCAAACGTTTGCATTCGATGCCCGTGCGGCATAACGGCATGGACATATCAATTCAACAATTTGAATGGGACTAATGCTACCTTCTTGTGTCTTTTGCAGGTTACCTGTGTACAGTAGTCCAGAGTAATATTCGTTGAAGCTACTCCACTGCTTCTCGAGACCAGCGAAGCGCTCTGGATGCAATGCATTGCTGGTTATATGATGTGGTTATTGACTGAAACAAATGGATTGGAAAGGAGAAGCAACGCTAATTTGTGCGATATAGGTCCAATACTGAAACCAGAAAGACATAAGATCAAGTGAAATTACAGAAGAAAATAAGTAAAAAGCCTTTTCATTCACTCCGGACGCCTATTTTGCCTATCTAGACTGCACATTCATCGTTACCGTTCAAGGCCCCACACTTTGTACAGTAGCTCACACTCCTTGGTGTTGTCTTTACCCGCGTCGTCTGGGGATTCAAAGCTATCTATGTGACTGCAAATGAATGTATAAATATCGGCAAGTATATATTGCTGAAGGGTAGAGATTACTTACACTTTCTTCGTCGCTGCGTCCCAGTAGACACACTCAAGTCTATAGGGGAATGGTATAACATTATCTTTGACGCAGTCTCTGTTTGCCGTTAGCGTCACATATGTTGAGACCACAATCTATAAGGAGCATCATACTACCACTCCCAGGCAAGTCGAAATGCCTCTCTGATTCCCTCCTGCACCACAGGGGGCGAATCCCAATAAACAGACTTCATACTACAATCATCAACATACCCCAAACAGACACTCGGCACCGGCTCAATCAGCATGTAGATTATGTATCCACCCGGGGGCAAAGCTGCTGTCATCCTGCTGATCAACCTTGTAGTTGTGTAGGACAGGAGCAGACGTGCAGCCATTGGCAGCCAGCTTCTTCCGAGCCTCGAACTCAACGCTGGTATTGAGAGGAAATATTGAAGTGGCTTGTTTTTGCCTTTCCTGAGCGGGTTCGAATTTGGAGCCAGCGTAGGGAATTTTCAACTAGAGTCAATACATATTCTGCTGAATTGAACAGACAGACATACTGCATCATGATTTTCATAGTCATTAACTCATCTGAGTCGACATACTTGCAGGAGAACACCCCGAGCGATATAGAGAAAGGTCCAAAAATTCGTGCATTACATTTATCCTCCTGATGCACTTCCTCGCTCAACTTCTCGGCCAATACCCATTCTGAAGGTTGTTCGTTGTCAAAGCGAATCTGCCTTCCGATAAAGGAAGACGAAAAGAACACCTTGTCGGGCATTTTGGAACAAATTCCAGGAGATGTCAAAGTTGTGGATGATGAGGGAGCTATTGATTGTATGATTGTAGTATGTAATTGGAGTGACTATGTCACAATCCGTATTAGGAATAGCGTCCAACATCCCCATAACCATAGACTGAAATAACAGAAACCATGGTAACGTCTCAAAGCGAAGATTGAAAGATCTAGAAAACATTGAAATGACCTTGTGTCTGTCATAGTACGGAGTATACTGCTGTACTCCGCTTACTTTAGGGTGGGTCATCAGGATAAGCGTCTCGCATTAGCGCCAAACTAAATAGGGCCATACAGGTCGGGGAAGTATATAACTGTCTTAAATTGTCATGTAAACTCTCTCCACCTGTTCTTTTTTTTTTGAAAGTGTTCTCATTACTCCTTCGTCAACACACTCTCTACCCCTGACAATGCAAGGCTATACACACACCGGCCCTGTTGATTGCAACAAGCCCTTCAACGCCGAACATCTCAAGGGTAAAACTGCAATTGTAACCGGAGGTATGAATGCATTCTTAAGATCTTCCTATGCAACGATATTAATGACTACGGAGCAGGTGCCAACGGCCTTGGAGAGGCTTATGTTCGCGCCCTCGTTGCCGCAGGGTATGATACTGTCATCATCAAGGGATTGTCGGCTGGCTAACGAATTCCAGAGCAAATGTCTGCATCGGCGATCCTGACGAGAAAAATGGAAGCATGCTAGAAGAAGAACTCCCTGGGTAAGGTTCAAACATCCCAATTGCATTCTATCCGATAACATTACTGACAAACAACCGCCCGAAGCACCAAGTTCATTCCCTGCGATGTCTCAAAATGGGACGACCAACTCCGTCTCTTCCGCGAAGCGGCCTCCTTCTCTCAGACGGGAAAAATATCCTACGTCGTCGCCAACGCAGGAATTCACCGCCAAGACGAAGTCTTCTTAAACACCGGCGATGTTCAAGAACTAGAAGAGCCCAATCTAACCACCATCGACGTGAACATCAGAGGGACCCTTTATACGACGAAACTAGCCACACACTATTTTATCAAATGGAATGGACAGAAGCCATCACCCGAACAAGAGGATACGTGCTTGGTTTTGATCGGTTCGGGGGCTGCCTTTTTGGATTGCCCGCGGGCTCCTCAGTATTGTGCTAGTAAATGGGCTATGAGGGGGATTATGCATTCGTTGAGGAGGACGGCTTTTTACTATGGTAGTCGGGTGAACGTTATTTCTCCGTGGTAAGTATCATTGCCTCCAACCAGGATGACCGTCAGCAGCTCACAAGAAGCAGGTATGTCAAAACAAACATCCTGTCCGACGAAGCTTTTGAGCATGTTTCCAGTGTCGGAATACAATTTGCCGAAGCGGAAGACGCAGGTCAATGTCTACTGAGGATTCTCGGCGATACAAGCATCAATGGGCACTCGATCTTCGTCTCTGGAAGGAAATGGGCTACCAAAGGATATATGGATCTGGATCTGGATGATTATTCGGGCAATTCACTTGTAAATGAGATCCAGGAAGACCAGGTGAAATCGGCACCTGTTCCTCTGGGGTTGTTTGTGTGAAACCATGTGTTATTTTTAGATAGTGTTAAATGATGCGAGGGCTTGTAGTCCATTGATTACTTCTGCACAGGCAACCACAAAAACGAACTACAAAGTAAAGGTACGACTCGTGGCGGATGACAGGCAAATACCCTCTACATAGTAGACCGACTAGTAACTCTACCCGAGATGACAACCCGTTCCATGGGTAGAATATGTCCCACTTATGCAATATGCTTATGCCCCTAACCTAATTTGGAATGGTGAAATATCCACGACACGGAATCCGGGGGTAAATGGTCAGTGGAAGACCTCTGCATCATTGCAGCTTACCGGGCCAAGCATCCAAACTCCGATATAGACGCTAGTTAATGCAAGTGGATGACAGGATGCCCTACCTACTACGCAAGCTGTTCTTGGCACAAATTAGATATCAAATACAGTACGTAGAGAATGGCCCGAATATAAATTGCTTCTTTTGTCTCTTCCAACGAATCCTTTCAGTAGATTGAATCCTCACTCCCAATTATCCATCGTTTTCAACATGGCCCTCACCAACACAACCGCCATGAACGCCACAATGCGCGCCGTCGTCTGGCAAGGAAACCCCTACAGCATCGGCGTCGTCGATCTCCCCAAACCAACCATAATCAACCAAACCGACGCCATCGTCCAGGTATCACGAGCAGCTATTTGCGGCTCTGATCTGCACATCTACCGGGGGACGAACGAAGGGATGCCGGCTCCATTCGGTCTTGGCCATGAGGGAGTTGGATATGTATCTGAGGTTGGATCTGGGGTTAGCTCGCTTAATGTTGGAGACCCGGTCATTGTTCCATTTACTGTTGATGAGGGCCATTTGCATACTGGTCTTACAACGCAGATGTATGGTGGTTATGGGAATGGGGGTGATATGGGTGGGACGCAGGGTAGGTGCTTGCATTGTTTTATAGTATTTTGTCTGGCATGAGCTAACAGATATATGTTTTCCAGCTGAGTACCTGCGTGTCCCATTTGCAGACAATGGTCTGATCCCAGTCCCTTCTCTCGAGTACACCAACACAACCACAAACGAGTCGGTCTCCCTACTCAACGATTATGTCATGCTTTCCGACATCTTCGCCACCGGCTGGACCTCCCTCGACTATTCCGGCTTCCAAGCTGGCGACACAGTTGCAGTCTTTGGCGCCGGTCCCGTCGGCCTGATGGCCGCATACTCAGCCATCCTGCGCGGTGCCTCAACCGTCTACAGCGTCGACTATGTCCCCGACCGCCTGCAACTCGCCGAATCCATAGGAGCAACCTCCATAAACTTCCGAGACGCAGACCCCGTGCAACAAATTCTAGCACTCGAGCCGAATGGTGTGACCCGCAGCGTCGATGCAGTCGGATACGAGCAAGTCAACCGAAACCTAACCGTTCAATCAGATGTCATTATCCGGAACATGCTAGCCGTGACGTCTACCGGAGGCGGTCTGGGTACAGTGGGTGTTTATAATCGTGAATCGAACAGTACGGCGACGGCCCCGCGTGCTTCCATTGTGAATACTCATGTGGACTTTTCGCTCGCGGACTTCTTTTTTGGGGAATTCACTTGGGGCGCTGGGCCTTCGGATCCAATTGATCTTGCTCCGGAGCTTGTGCGTCTTGTTGCGTCCGGGAAGGCGAGGCCAGGGTTCATTGTCAGCGATGTTATCAATATTGAGGATGCGCCGGATGCTTATGCTAGGTTTGAGAGGCATGATGCTACGAAGGTTGTGATTGCATTTGACCAGTAGACAGAATCGTCATTGGAAGGTGACTAGATTGATACATATTTCGGGAGTTGTTTGGTGCATCGGGAGCTCATAGTGCAAATAACATCAAATGTAATGTTCGTTTGCCGCATTTTTACTTTTCAGAAGCAAGCATCGAAAACTATGATACTCAGGACGCACCAGCCAAAGTCGACAAAGCAGTCCCAATACCCAACCGATGCTCCCCACGTGCACCTTCGCCAACAGCCCCATGAGGCAACTGAGGTCTCTCACCAGCTGCCCCAGGGAAGTGATGAGTGCCCTGATCCCCGCCAGCACATTGGTTAAGCGGTATATGTTCTTCTGCTTGCGCCAGCTCACTCTTGTGAATAGATTCGGACGGGAGCAGGACGGAACGATCGAGTGCATAAGGCAGTCCACGGTGGCGGCCGCGGATTTGCATAGCAATGATAACTAGCTTTGAGATTGTCTGAAAGTGCCCGACAAATGAGGTATTCCCTGTAGTATATCCAAGTGAAAGTCCGATAGTGCCATATGCAGAGACGATTTCGAAAAAGACAGCGAAGATGTTAAACGAGGGTAGCTTGGAAATGGACAGTCGACCACCTTCAACAATCGCTATAATAAATAAACCAAGGAAGATGTACCATAAGTCGGAGCCTAATTGTCTCCGCAAATGGATGCCGACATAACTTGGTTGCTTGGTGTTTCGTTCTTGTTCATGGTCGTCTGCGCTGGAATAGACCCCGACACTCCGTTCTTCATATACATTGGTACGACGCACGGAGATGGCGATTGGAAAGACAGAAATGTACATCAGTACCAGGTAGCAGACGAGGGTGCCTGGATGTAGATTGGAGAGATCGATGATGGAGAAGCCTGCAGTCCGTGTTGAACATGCTTGGAACAAAGAAACGACAGAGCGAGTACCTGATGACATGGACCCAATCTCAGAATTGTCCAACTTGTGGTAGATTGGGAGTCAGCGTATGTGGACATGGTACAATATGTAAGGTATTACCTACATTGAGCACGACAAGTACCACCATGTTCACAACGTTGAGAACAATAACTGTAGCAAACAGCCACCAGGTAGCCTTTTGTGGGAAAAGAAGGGTGAAGCACCGTCGAGGATGGTCGAGCAAAAAACGCAACTCGTCCCAGAGCGGAGTGTCCCGTCTGACAACTATGGAAAGTATCCAGATAATGAACCGTAGCATACAGGGAAAAGCGGTGTTCCCGATAATAATTAAGAAGGACATGACAAGAAGCGGAAAGGCTGCTTGTTGGAAAGACTCCATTGAATTCGGTGTCATGGTGAGACCGAAATCGTTGAATGCTGACCCAGCCGTGAAAACACCCCACCAGGGTCGTCCTTGGCCAGCTTGACGGATGACAGGGCCGTATTTTGTGCTCCTCATGATCCACGGCACCAAACATATTAAACCGAAGACGTGGAAGAAGAGGTAGTAAGATATCAAGATGACGGCCAATGTCTTGAGTGAACGGTATTCAATGCCTCCAAGTTCGTCCCGCTGAGCTTCGTTCAGACCGATGAATGTTGAGTTCCGTCCTGGTCTCGCGTTCCAGCTCAAATACGGCGTTTCATCTCGGCTTCCTGCCTCTAAGACCACTTTTGGTTGTGGGTTGGCAGCACTGTCGTCCGGACTGCGCCTGCTCGTACCAGCTGCAATATCGTCATTCACCAGACTGCTACCGTTGCTACTGCTGCTCCCGTTTGAACTCATCTTACTGCTCTGCTGTTCCACGTCAGACGAACTACTCTCAGATACTGTCCCAGTGCGGCGTATTGTCCTGGCACTCTGAACTAGATGCTGAAACCGTTTCTCGAACCAATATATCCGAACGAAGACGACGGCCGTATGGATAAAAATCGGACTGGTCACCATTGGCACACAGTATATCACCACCTGCTGGTAGGTTCGCATATCGTTCAGATCCACCGTGTTCAGCCCGCTCTGGGTAGCCGCCGCACACCCAAAGAACAAAGCGTCGGTATATGAAACATTTTTGGCGGGGTATATAATGACCGAAGTCACTATCGTCCACAGCAGGATATAGGCATAATGGATCATGATGAATCTCGGATAGACTATGCTCTGGAGTGCTCTTCGTAGTTTGACTGCAATTGGTGTCTGGGCTGTGTTATTCAACCTGCCTGTTTTCCAGAAGCACCATTTGCACGCAGAGACGATGCCGGTCATTTATTCGGATCCTCGGGCAGCTGCCGTTGAGCCATGTGTCGATACGCCGTGTAGAAATAGTTGCCGGTAGACATTATAGACCAGCTGAATGTGAGGTGGAGGGATGAAGTCAGTTAGGATTGAGTTGGCAGAGAATCGACGAGTATAAAGGACCATGGAGTATGATGTCATCATGATCCTAGGGCTGCTGGTTACCCGTTTGGCTTTATTTTGGCCTGAGGCAAGAACATGTCCATCGGCCTAAGGGCACCTTGACCGAGATGAGCGACTTGAGGAACTTCGCGTGTTGCTAAAAGATGTTCAATACCAGTCACAGCACTGACAGTTAGGATGAAGTGGAGATAACTAGTTAGTTAGTTAACGATTCATTGATTATTAAGCTGCTTTACCGCTTTTGTTCTTTCAAACTTCTCCTTTTCAACTCACTAATTGCATCGAGGGATCTTCTAATCAGACGTCTGCAATACTCTCCCGTATATTATTAGGATATGGACGTCCCAATTGCGGCAAATGTGCTTGGTACCATAGGCGCCGTAGGTTTCTCGCCCCTCCCCATTGACTCGGCTAACCAGTTTCACGTAGGTTTGCTGGTCTGTCCAGGTTAGATAACCCTAACAGCAAAAATTGATATGCGGTATCATACTAATAACTTCATAGTTAATGCCCCAAATTATCATGAATTATCAACGACATGACACCGAGGGTTTACAACCTTCGATGATGCTCCTGTGGGCTGCTGCCGGTGTCCCTCTTGGAGTGTATAATATCGTAGAAGAACAGAATATAGCACTCAGAATCCAGCCCCAGATACTATCCTTTCTGAGTCTTGTCACTTGGGCGCAGTGTTTTTATTATGGGCGGGTAAAATGCTTCCATACCATATTTCGATATACCCCTGGTCTAACTCAATCCAGAAACGCTCAATTATTGCATGCATCGCGGCAGTCGTCCCACTACTTGGAATTCTGGGTGGGATCGAAACGGCATTGATATTCGCATTATGGACCGCCAAATACCGTGGTCTTGAATGGCCGCTTATCCTAATGGCTGTTCTCAGCGCGTGTTTACTTGCCGCGGGTGTGCTAAGGCATTACTATGATATCTACGTTCATCGAACCGTTCGCGGGATCAGCTTTATATTCGTTGGGATTGATGCAGCTGGAGACTTGTTCTCCCTGGTCTCTGTTTGTATGGACTCTTTTCCTATTCGGAGAAAAGGAACTTACTGCTAATGGATGAATAGTGTTCGGACGAAGCATCGACGTATTAGGGATGGTCATATACGGGACCGAACTTGTACTCTGGATAGGCGTATTCATTTGCGGGGCGATTTTCAATCTTGCGCCTTGGATAAGGGAACGTTCAAAAAAGCGGGATCAGGACAGAGAGGACAGAGAGCAGGAACAGGATGTGGCACTTCACCAGATGCCGTCCTCGAGTTCGGTGTTCCGGACTGCATCCGGGTCGGATGTGGTGATGAGGAGAGCGCCTCACCATCGATCCTGAAACTAAATATTCGTTGACTTTGTTTTTCTATAGCAATATGAAGAGAACTCAAAGATAATCAACATGGTTTCTTGTCCATCCGGGCTCGACTTTCGAGATTTGATTTGTCTTCTCATCACTTTATCACAACAGTACTCAGGGAGAGCAATTGAGGGATGAAAGGAGAAGAAATGATAACGAGAAGAGGAAGATGGATGGGATTAGACCGTATTTTCCAGAGCGGTTGTGCAAGTGATGCAAGGCTGATTTCTCGAAATCCACACATCATATTACTTATTCTTTTCCTTGATCCATTTTGTTGCAATGCCTACTTAGGGGCCCGGCGGGCTTGGCATTCCCAGGTTGGCTTCAGTTTCAGACAGTTGTGGGAGGTTGTCAGCGGTGACCAATGTTTGGCTCTGGCAGGCGGCAGTATCCAACCGCCTGGCATCCGAACAACACAGAACTATAGTTAGCCACTATCATCATCACATTCTCTCAACTAGCATATATCCATCTCATTTTCATCATACTACCATGCTGGCAACTGATTAATAATAAGCTCTGACTGATTCTCAAACTGATATCACACTGTAGACTGACACAGTGACAACCTGCCTGCTATCATTAGCAACATCCTTGGCTCAACCCCAAGACACAAAGAACATTGCATTCACCTCAAAGAAATCTCTAGAACCTATTTCTTTCACCATCAAACACACTAACTTGACAAGATGGCCTGCATCTTATCAATTTCTTTTTCTTCATTCTCTCATTCTCTCCATGCCAACTTCTACTATATCACTCTTCTTATCTCTTATAACCTTGTTGAATTCATCTGTCTAAACACCTGTCTATTTATCATACATAAATCTCCTAGTAGAACTGCTGTGCATACACCTGACACATTACCATCATCATGGCGGAAGAAAACCGACCTGCGCTGATTGATTTTTCCCTGATTCCTGAAGATGACGGCAACGACGACAATCCTGGTGAGTGAAACCCTTTTCCAACCCTCCCATTAACAGCCTAACAATGAGACAGAGCGTGAAGGCAAACTAGTGGGGAACAAGGGCAAATTGCAGCAGATACTCAATTTGACAGACAAAGGGGAGTGGACGGAGTGGTTGAGGTCATGCCTGGTGCAACCATGGTGGATTGAGTTATGGACTGAATGCCTCTCAAAACGTGCGAGTGGAGAGCGGGGAGTTGGTGTGGGTGAGATCCAGGCAAAAATCCTGGCTGGTGAGGGCAATGGACGGAATGAATACAGTGACCCCATACCTGAGAAGAAGGAATGGAGCGCCGCCGACCACATAGCAAGGTTCCATTTCATGGTGAAGACCTGAAACCTGGTGTCCAATGAGGGTGTGTTCTACAGCAAGAACTTTGCTGACTCCTACCTCAACAAGGTTGTCTGGGCCTTGAAGGGTTACCTCACCAAAATCCATACGCCATCACATATCAAAAAGCCCACCGGTGGGGCCGCTATTTTTGGTGAAAGGGTCTTAGGTGCGTATACCACCCACTAGCTAGTAGCCCCCCCCGGAAAAGCCTTTCTCAGACAAACCCTGATGCCTACATCTTCCAGATGCCAAGTGAAAGCAGACTGATTCATCTTGTACACCACAGCCCTCCAAGCTCAAGCGCATGGAGTCCGACAAGGCAAATGCTGGGTCTGAAGAACGCAATGAAAATGAACTCAAGGAGGCTGAGACCACCCAAGCCACTGAGTCAGAAGAGGCGGTTACAAGTCAACAGGTGGACACAGCCAATGAAGATGAGAATGATAGTGATGATCATGATGGAGAGCCACTGCTTCTGGACAGTGATCTATGGAAAAATGAACTCCTGAGCCCATGCAAGCAAATTGTCCTGAAGAAACAATCCACAGACTTCAACAGGGAAGAGGCATATTGGCAGTTCATGTTGATCACTGAAGCTCTTGCATGTACTCAAATCATTGGATTTACTGATAACGCACCTGCTGCTGTTGATAATGATCCATCAAGTATTGCGAACACGGTGTGGGAGCCACTGGTCATCCTCCCTGGCTCTAAAAAGTCTCAGGTCAGAACAGAGACATTTGAAAGTTCATATTACACCAATGCCACTGACCTGGAATCCTCTTATGCAGGAGAGATTGACTCTACCAAGGAGCCCAGTGATGTTATTATCCCAACAGAAGAGTCTATCGCCCGGCTGCAGGACCTTAAGAAAATCATTGACAATAAGGACTACCAGCGCGATGACCATGAACAAGCATGTCATTTCCTAGGAATTCAGAGCCATACAGTGCCCCATCTGTTGTACATGAACCGTTCGGCCATTTTAAAGCATTGGCAGCCGGTTGCCATTGCTGGAATCATGTGGATGCAGGAAGTGGACTATCTTCAGGGGGCCGTACTCGGAGACCACGTGGGCCTGGGTAAGACCTGGGAAGCTGTTGGCGTACTGCTATATGTGAGTTGGCTCATATTACTTCCTTGAGAAAGGCTTTTCCATACTAACCTTTTCAATTCTAGCTATTGGCAGATTAT